ACTTTTCTTGAGCCTATCTCAAGCAGAAAATCAGAGATGTGTTCATTGAGCCTGTTCAGAAGTACGTGAGCGAGAATCTTACCAACACTGGCCAGCAGTGATATAGCTACCTCGGTAATTTGCTCAATCTCCCCTGTCACCTTTCTTGAACAAAGACATGATACTTGCTTCCTTCCAGTCCTGAGGTACTTTTTGGGCTTCTCATATCTCTTGGATGAGCTTGTACAAGCAGTTGATAAGCTGAGCACCACCACATTTTCACTCTTCTGCTGGAATTTCATCCCCTCCTGGAGCTTTACCATCCTGTGTTGACCTGATAGATGCCATTAGTTCATCGAGAATTGGTGGTTCATCCAGACTGGATACAACTGGTCGCTGGACTAGGGCCTCTTTAGCCCCCTCAGCGAGATCACTGGGGTTGTTTAGTAGTTGGTCGAAGTGGTCTGCAGATCTGTCCCAGATCTTGTCTTTCCCCCGCGAAACTGATTCATCGTCTACAAACCTTTAGTTTTAGCATAACATGATTAGCACCACAGTCCGCTCCTCTCATTGCTCTGGTTTCCAATACATCCATTACGTTTCTCTGTCTTACTATGATGTAGTCTAACAAGTACTAGTGCTTGGATCTTGGGTGCGTCCATGTCATCTTGTATGTATCCTCGTACTTGAATAGGGTGTTGGTTACCACAAGGTTGTACTCTGAACATAGCGAAAGTAGAAGCTCTCCGTTAGCATTGCACTTGCCTACTCCATGACTGCCTAGTACTCCTCTCCATTTCTCAGTGTCTGAATCAACTTTAGCATTAAAATCCCCAACGAGTATCAGTCTGTCATTAGACGGTACAAGCCTGATTGTCTCACGAAGGTTACTGTGGAACTCTTCCTTCACCTCCTCTGTGTTGGTCATTGTTGGGCATACACACTGAGGAAAGTGGCATACATCTTTTGCTGTAGTGGGAGTCTCATAATCATTATTCTGTCTTTGATTGGCACTGGTTCCTCGTCCTTGTTTTCTGACTGACCATTTCATGAAACTGCTTGCAAAGAATTTAAGTACTGCTAGCTTTTGCCGGACTAGCAGCACATTATCGGTAGATGGAGGTGTTTCAGTGGCAAGGATAGGCCAAGACAAACTGACTCCAATATCTGTTGCAGTGACTGACCAGATGATAGGTTAGTTTGTCTCTGCTCTTTTTGAAATTTACGACAGAAGTGTTGATCACCTACAAGGATGTCCATTCTCACCCCGAGTAAGTGGGAGTCGTCCACCACAGACCTTAAGACAAATATTCTTTTTAATTCTGTCAGGATGCCAAGTTTCACACTCCACGCCCTCTATGGGGCGGGGCTGCCGGTTGAGTCGACTTCCCAACCCATGAGACGGGTAGTACTGGTTTTTATGGTTATCCAGTAGCAAGCAAACCAATACCTGACTTGACTTGGTGATAAACTGCTAGAAAAACATTTTCAAATGTTCCCAGAACGTTGTAGCAAGAGGTTAATCGATCCTTCTAATTTTTTTTAAGAAAGCCGCGACCTTTCAAAAACCACCTAATTGATGGCGAGACACCCGACACACGACCATTAATCAAACTCAAGCATGCGTCATTTTTTTTTTTACTTGATAAGATAAACAAACGAAGTCAATATTGTGAATTCTAACACTTTAAGCTCGTTATAAAAATGTTCCAGTTGTAATCAAATCGGCTTCACATATGGGTTCCTCTTTGTAGTGACTCATTATGAATCCAGATTATCAAATCGTTCGGTTAACTTGTGTTGCTAAAAACAATGTTTCCCTAATAACAGGAGAGGATGGCAATGGAAACCTAACAGCAGAAGCAATGATAGCTTTCATGAACATCGCCTTACTAGTTGCCCTGTTCCTGCTAAACTCCGATCGCATTCAGAAAGCCATCGAGATATGCAACGAATGTTTAATTTTGCTAAATAACAGCGATCAAAACAACAAAGATCAATTTGATTCAGTACTACTACAATTTTACAGCGACATCTATACAGTTCTTTACAGCGCTTATCGTCATATCTCTGACTACGTAAATGCGGAAAGATACGGCAGGAAACTGCTTGTCTTCTACAGCAAGTCTGCAATTCTGTGTTATAAACTTGGCGAAAACCTGAAAGCGAAGGAGTATGTTGCGAGGGCCCTCACCATAACGACCGAAATTGGCGACAAAAGCGAAGAAGTACTCTGTTACGTAAACCTAGGTGCTGTGTTTCAGTCGCTCGGGCAATACGACAAGGCTAAAGAGTATCTCCAAACAGCGCTTGTCATCACAAAAGAAATTGGCGACAAAGGAGGAGAGGCAATTGTTTATGAACAGTTAGGTACTGTGTACCGGTTCCACGGGCAATACGACAAGGCTAAAGATTATCTCCAAAAGGCGCTTGTCATCAGAACAGAAATTGGCGACAGAAAAGGAGAGGCAACTCTTTACGGAAACCTAGGTGTTGTGTTTCAGTCGCTCGGGCAATACCACAAGGCTGAAGAGTATCTCCAAAAAGCGCTTGTCATCACATTTCAAATTGGCGAAAGAAAAGGAGAAGGAATGTGTTATGGAAACCTAGGTAGTGTGTTTGAGTCGCTCGGGCAATTCGACAAGGCTACAGAGTATCTCGAAAAAGCGCTTGTCATCAGAACTGAAATTGGCGACAGAGAAGGAGAGGCACATGACAACAGAAACCTAGGTGTTGTGTTTCAGTCGCTCGGGCAATACCACAAGGCTGAAGAGTATTTCCAGAAAGCGCTTGTCATCACATTTCAAATTGGCGACAGAGAAGGAGAGGCAACTGGCTACGGAAACCTAGGTACTATGTTTTATTCGCTTGGGCAATACGACAAGGCTATAGAACATCTCCAAAAAGCGCTTGTCATCAGAACTGAAATTGGCGACAGAGAAGGAGAGGTACATGACTACAGAATCCTAGGTAGTGTGTTTCAGTCGCTCGGGAAATACGACAAGGCTAAAGAGTATTTCAAAAAAGCGCTAGTCATTGGTACGGAAAGTAGCGTCAGAGAAGGAGACGCAGCGGACTACGAAAGCCGAGGTAGTGTGTTTCTGTCGCTCGGACAATACGACAAGGCTAAAGAGCATCTCCAAAAGGCGCTTCTCATTAGAACTGAGAATGGCGACAGAAAAGGAGAAGCAGCTGCCTACAGAAACCTAGGAACTGTGTTTCACTCCCTCGGGCAATACGACAAGGCTAAAGAGTATCTCCAAAAAGCGCTCGTCATCACAACTGAAATTGGCGACACAGAGGCAGAGGCATCTGACTACGAAAACCTAGGTGCTGTGTCTAAGGCGCTCGGGGAATACCACAAGGCTAAAGAGCATCTCCAAAAAGCGCTTGTTATCAGAACGAAAATTGGCAGCAGAAAGGGAGAGGCAAATGTCTACGGAAACCTTGGTACTGTGCTTCAGTCGCTCAGGAAATACGACGTGGCTAAAGAGTATCTCCAAAAAGCGCTTGATATCACAACTGAAATTGGCGACAGAAACGATGAAGGAAAATGTTATTTTAACCTAGGCACTCTGTTTCAGTCGCTCGGGCAAAACAACAAGGCTAAAGAGTATCTCCAAAAAGCGCTTGACATCACAACGGAAACTGGCGACAGAAAAGGAGAAGGATCATGTTATGTTAACCTAGGTACTGTGTTTGAGTCGCTCGGGCAAAACAACAAGGCTAAAGAGTATCTCCAAAAAGCGCTTGACATTACAGCTGAAACTGGCGACAGAAAAGGAAAAGGAACATGTTATGTTAACCTAGGTGCTGTGTTTCAGTCGCTCGAGCAATACGACAAGGCTGAAGAGTATCTCCAAAAGGCGCTTGATATCACAACTGAAATTGGCGACAGAGAAGGAGAAGGATCATGTTATGTTAACCTAGGTACTGTGTTTCAGTCGCTCGGGAAATACGACGTGGCTAAAGAGTATCTCCAAAAAGCGCTTGACATTACAACTGAAACTGGCGACAGAAAAGGAGAAGGAACATGTTATGTTAACCTAGGTACTGTGTTTCAGTCGCTCGAGCAATACGACAAGGCTGAAGAGTATCTCCAAAAGGCGCTTAACATCACAACTGAAATTGGCGACAGAAAAGGAGAAAGATCATGTTATGTTAACCTAGGTACTGTGTTTCAGTCGCTCGGGAAATACGACGTGGCTAAAGAGTATTTCCAAAAAGCGCTTGACATTACAACTGAAACTGGCGACAGAAAAGGAGAAGGAACATGTTATGTTAACCTAGGTACTGTGTTTCAGTCGCTCGAGCAATACGACAAGGCTAAAGAGTATCTTCAAAAAGCGCTCGACATTACAACTGAAACTGGCGACAGAAAAGGAGAAGGAACATGTTACGAAAACCTAGGTATCGTGTTTCAGTCGCTCGGGGAATACGACAAGGCTAAAGAGTATTTCCAAAAAGCGCTTGACATCATAACTGAAATTGGCGACAGAAAAGGAGAAGGATCATGTTATGGCCAGCTAGGTAGTGTTTTTGAGTCGCTAGGTGAATACGACAAGGCTAAAGAGTATCTCCACAAAGCGCTTGTCATCACAACTAAAATTGGCGACAGAAAAGGAGAAGGATCATGTTATGGCCAGCTAGGTAGTGTTTTTGAGTCGCTAGGTGAATACGACAAGGCTAAAGAGTATCTCCACAAAGCGCTTGTCATCACAACTGAAATTGGCGACAGAAGAGGAGAAGGAACATGTTATGTAAACCTAGGTACTGTGTCTATGGCGCTCGGAGAAGACGACAAGGCTAAAGAGTATCTCCACAAAGCGCTTGTCATCACAACTAAAATTGGCGACAGAAAAGGAGAAGGATCATGTTATGGCCAGCTAGGTAGTGTTTTTGAGTCGCTAGGTGAATACGACAAGGCTAAAGAGTATCTCCACAAAGCGCTTGTCATCACAACTGAAATTGGCGACAGAAGAGGAGAAGGAACATGTTATGTAAACCTAGGTACTGTGTCTATGGCGCTCGGAGAAGACGACAAGGCTAAAGAGTATCTTCAAAAAGCGCTCGACATTACAACTGAAACTGGCGACAGAAAAAGAGAAGGATCATATTATGGAAAGCTAGGTAATGTATTTCAGTCCGTCGGGCAATACGATAAGGCTAAAGAGTATATCCAAAAAGCGCTTGACATCACAACTGAAATTGGCGACAGAGAAGGAGAAGGAACATGTTATGTAAACCTAGGTATTGTGTCTCAGGCGCTCGGGGAATACGACAAGGCTAAAGAGTATCTCCAAAAAGCGCTTGACATCACAACTGAAATTGGCGACAGAAAAGGAGAAGAATCGTGTTATGGAAACCTAGGTGGTGTGTTTTATGGGCTCGGGCAATTCGACAAGGCTAAAGAGTGTCTCCAAAAAGCGCTTGTCATCGGAAGTGATATTGGTGATAAGAAAGGGGAAGCAGAACGTCTTTTAAATCTTGGAATTGTGTCTAGAGCTGTTGGAGATTATGAAGCTTCAGAAGTATGCTTTGAGAAAGCTTTATCCATTTCCAGAGAAATTGGAGATAGAAGAAAAGAGTTCGAAATCCTTAAAGGTTACGCCTTTTTGTATTTATGTCAAAAAAGAATCAAAGACTCCCTTTCGTGTCTTCATCTGTGCATTGAAATGTACGAGGAGCTGAGATATTTCTTGGGCGACAATGATGAGTTCAAAACATCATTTCTGGAAGAGTTTGTAATATTTCCCTACAAGATTCTTTGTACTCTGCTTTGTGGCTCTCGAAACACTCGTGATGCTCTTTATGTTGAGGAGTTGGGTCGAGCAAGAGGCCTATCAGACTTGATGGCAAAGAAGTACTCGGTTGAAACGCACATCTCTACCAATCCACGATCTTGGTTTGGCATTGAAAACATTTTAGGAGAGAAAAATGACTGTACTTGTCTGTACATTTCTTATTTTTACTATGATCTGTTTTTGTGGATCTTGAAATCAAGTGGAATCCTTCACTGTAAAATAATATCGCTAGAAGAGAATCTCGTTCAGGCTGGGTTGCCCAAAGATTTGCCTTTGAGTGAATTCTTGGCTGATAATTTCCGGAGTCTTGGTATTTTGCCCACTGAAGATTGCGAAGATCGGTCTTTAAATATGGCTAAATTGCAACCTCTCTCTCCCGAACAAAAGAGCTCAGCAAGAATGCGACTCATGGAAGAGGACGAGGAAAAGAAAGTCATTTCAAGTCTATCTTTGTGTTACAAATTGTTTATTGCCCCCGTTTATGATTTGCTTGAGGAGCCTGAAGTCATTATTGTTCCTGACCCCAGGTTGTACAAAGTTCCTTTTGCAGCCCTGAGTGAAAAGGAGGGAGCCGAATACCTGTCGGAGACTCATAGGATCCGTGTCATTCCTTCTTTGACGACACTCAAAATCATTCAAGATAGTCCAGAGGACTATCACAGCAACACTGGTGCCTTGATAATAGGCAATCCCAAGGTTGATGGGCTGCCACCATTGCCAGGTGCAAGAAAGGAAGCGGAGATGGTCGGACGACTGGTGGGTGTTCCGCCTTTGGTAGAAGAGGAAGCAACGAAGCAGGCAGTACTTGAGCGGATAAGTTCAGTGAGCCTGATACATTTTGCTGCCCATGGTGACGCCGAAAGGGGAGAAATTGCCCTCTCTCCCACTCCTATTCCCAACAGTCAAAATGCTATCCCACCACAGGAAGCTTACATGTTGACGATGGCTGATGTCTCGCGAGTGAAAGTCAGAGCTAAACTAGTGGTACTTAGCTGCTGTCACAGTGGAAGTGGAGAGATAAAAGCCGAGGGAGTTATAGGAATTGCCCGTGCGTTCTTAGGATCCGGTGCTCGCTCGGTGTTGGTTGCGCTGTGGGCCATTTCAGACAAAGCAACAGAGCAGCTGATGAGTCAGTTCTACGAACACCTAGTTAAAGGAGAAAGTGCTAGTGAATCCCTTCATCAGGCCATGAGGTGGATGAGGAAAAAAGGCTCTACCTATGTGTCTGAGTGGGCTTCGTTTACGCTGATTGGAGATGATGTGAGGCTCGAGTTTCACAAGCAGAGGTAAGACTCAGTGAGAACAGGTATTTCATAAATTAAAGTCAATTAGATGTGAAGGTGGCTATGACTTACTGGTCGCTGACGGCCGGCAGTTATCTTTTGTAACCTTGAATATCAAGGCTAGTTTCATGCCGTTTTTTTTTTTTTGTTCCTTTCAAAGAGTAACAATTTATTCTCCCAGTTAGGTGTAAAATATAGAATTTCGAAAGCGTCCCTCTGCCAATCAGATATAAGTGTACATTTGCCTACATAATGCGCCTGGTATAACTGTATTTGCTTTGTTTAAGAAATGTTGATTAATTTGTTTTTAATTGTTTTTTTTTTACGTTTGTTACAGGAAAGAAGATGAGAATAGCTTGAAGTAAACAGACCTTAGAGACTTAGCTGGATAAACAAATAGATGAAGTACAGCAAATACTCTATCGGTTATTTCATTGTGTAATTAAAGAAGGGAAATCTTCAATTAAGCATATTAATTTCAATTTTTTGCGTTCTCTTTTCCGATCTTCTCAGAAGGAGATATTGGTTACGTATCCGAGAATATTTTTTTCGGCATGAAAATTATCTTATCCGGCCGATATAATTAGCACGAAACATTATTGACTTAGGGCTCTTAAGCGAAGTGAAATCAGGAAAGTTAAAAGAGTAGTTTAAGCATCAAAAACGAGCCAGTCAAGTCTCACAGGTTTTTCTCTCAAAGCCTTTTGTTATAGGTTTCGTTAACAGAATCTTAAATTTTTGATGTAAATCTCAACAGAAACCTTTTCTTTTGGTCAGTTCTAGTACAACTTCTAAGTGCTTTAAAGCTGAGGAATAAAATATAAGGATTTCAAATAGAACCATGGAAAAAGCTATCAAGGTCAAGAATTTTATTACTATAAAGTGGAAAAATTACAGCAGCAATATTTTGAAACTGGTTCAACTAGTCACTTACGCATTGTAATGTTTGAAATAATCTGTTTGCATGGTGATTTGATCGTTTTTAAGTCAGGTCATTATCAAAATGTTGTTTAGGGAATCAAAATATTCCTGTTATTTACCACACTTTATACACTTTTTTGGGCAAAGTTTCTTAAGAGATTTTGTAATAATTCCAAAGACGCTAAAATAAAAGACAGCTTAAAAGAAATCTTAGAAAATATCGCGAGCGTTTGTTTTAACCAGGTTACAGAGTAAAACAGATAGCACTGTTGTTCATTGTTAAGGTGGCAAGGTGGCGGGATAAAAGATGCAACTGGTAGGAGTGTCTGGATGTGGTCCACTGACGCTTTCCTGTGCAGAAAGCATCAACAAACGCTATCATCGCAATCTTTATGCAACCAATCTGCAACCTTTTTTCAAAGGTTGAAACGTTGGGGAAAAACGGTGGGGTAAGCTGTCATACCTGGCAACTTCAAGAGAAGATATAAGAGAAGCCCATACGATTCTGGCATATTGTTTTACTGACTCGCTGTGCTCACTGCACGTATACACCTCAATCCACCAGTAATGTCTTAGGGCAAAGTGGTTTACTGTCGTTTCTTTCAATTTTGGCTCATTCTCCCGGACCGAAGTTATAAGTCACGCTCAATAGAATATAATTTCAACTGATGCTGACATCATGCACTTCATCTGAAGAAGAGAACACTCCCTATCTTCGAAAATTTGGTTACAACATCACGAAGAACGACGGGTGACGCTATATCGAAGGCGTTCGTAGAGGGTTAGAGTACACGGTAATTTTGGTCAGCGGGAAAATTATGAAACCCGCAGATATTGCGAAAGCCCGCGAAAGGATGACATCTAAAAACTGAAGACAATTTTTGATTAAGACACTAGAATGCGTTATGGTGGCGGCGACTAATCATTCTTCTTTAAATAACTCGGAGATTGATTTCCTTAAGGAAAACCTTGAAAATTGTTCTGTTGAAAATCAGTACTTCTTGGGTTATTTCGGGGGGAAAAGAGACGAGTTCGAGGATATGCTCGAGAGGTTTCTTCTTGTTCCACATGCTTTGTAAAGAAGGCCTTGCACTCAAAGGAGTTAAATCACAAAAGGTTTTCGAAAAATGTTTGGCAGTTTCTTTTATTTTTAGCTGATTTTTTTGCCTTTATCAATTCGGTGTGGGCCTTGTAGAGACTTGATCTTTTGCCGCAATTTTGTAAAAACTTACGCAATGCACCGGGCGTAAAAGTGTTGAAATATTTAAAAGTATTTCATATATAGGGAAGCCCTTGGAAAACACTATTAGTGCGCATTATGCATTTGCAGCGTCTCTCGTCTTTGAACACAATGGTGGTAATGTACCGATCCAATTTTGTGGCAAACCGTTTACCATCGTAAGCAATGGAACTCGGCATCGTGAGAATTTCTTTTGAAAACAGAGTTTGAAATGTAATGAAACGTACTTGTAATATTCGATTTTTGCATAACCCGCGAAACTGTTTTAATTTTTCTAAGTATTTTAGTGGAGGAATCCATCGAGCTTTTCGCATACTGAGGAAACGAAATCGGGAAGGTCATTTACATCCATTTACTACAGAATTTCCCATAAACGTAGCAAGTGTACAATTCCTGAAATTCCCGTTCGTTATTTCACGAATTATCTGAAGTTTCAGTGTTGACAAATTTTTCGTATTGTGTAAGTAAAAAACATTGAACTTCTCTCAACGGACTCAACGCTGCAAGGAGAATCTCTCTCATAATTTACTTTTTAAGAGACGACATTACCGTCTAAAATTCAAACATTACCGTTAGGCTTATTAGCGCATTGATGACCTAGTAAATAGCTCAAACATACTGAAAACATTTTTATTAGTTTTTGTATATCTTTATCTGTGAGCCACATGTGAGTAATCAAAAACAGAGCAGTATAGTTTGGTGGCTTTTTTTCATGAATCTAGGATTTGGGGAATCGCTATAAACTACGCGATGACGCATTTAGTAATATTTCTTCTCCTCCTAATGATTGATACTGGAAGAAAATAGTAACGGTGTAATGCCATTTTATGTGCCTGTTATAAGAAAAAATTTGTACTCGCATTTAGCTTACAGGTAAAGATCCCATGAAAATTTTTCAAAAGAAATATATATCTCAGTGGTTATTTTATGACAACCACAAATTACTCAAACAAAATCAAGAAACTCCCGCAGGACCTCAAAGCTCCTTTGTTCAGAACGATCTTGAACAGTCTTTTTTGAATTTTTCGTGGGGAACAAGTGCTGAAGCTTACATGATGTATTTTAAATTTAACCGCTGTACTATAAACTTGTGTGTTCGACCTTTGACGAACGTCTTCGATAGAGCATCACCCAAGAACGACGAAGGTCGTAAGCTGTCTTAAGATACCGCTGACTAGCATGTGTGTAGTTGTGAGAACATCGTCCCCAGGTTCCAGACTTCGTCAATTCTTCCCCACCTCTCCACCCCCGAACTGGTCTTTCAATCCATTGAAGAAACTCTTCTACATCCAGAGATTTATTACAGTTTTTATTCAGTATAAAGAAGGGCTGGAAAATAAACTAACAAGAGCTCCACTTTTAGGCTTGGCTAAATCTATATAATGCTGAGACTGAGAAGTAACGGCTCGCATAGGCGCCAAGCCTTCGATTTCAAGGCAGTGGGACTGTGGTGTAATAATCACAAATCATACCAGAGCACACGAGCAATATCCACGACATGTTGGAGGAGCAAGCAAGCTGATTTGTCTGATTTGGTGTGTCCAGTCAAATGATGGCTTCCTCAATGATTTAAAATGTTATATTCTTAAAAAATTTAACTGACGGATGATCGAAACCTGGCATTGATCTTGAGATTCGCTGGGAGCCCACAACGGGCTGTATTCACTCGTTAATAATCCCTTGGAGTTGAGCGCGACATTTTGTAGTAATATTGACTTTTAAATCGCCAAAATTTCTCCCATTAATGTTAATGCTTACATCTTGCTAGCGCTGTTAGACTTAGAACAAATCCCTTTCCTCGCGGTCCATCAACCGAGAGCTGACAGCCTAACAGGCCCCCATATTGGACACTCGCTTGACTCCTACTGGAGACCTTGAAACTCTCGTCCAATGCCGATTTTGCAACCCTTTAAACCCACACCCTATCTTACACTTAATTTATTCCATAGTCTGCTTTAGGCTGTCGGTCAGAGTAGACGGGCAAAGAGCAGACACGTGAAAAATGGAAAACAGTTGCTTATTTGATAATGACACTGTGCTAGTTTCTATAGAGAAAGCTGTGTTTCGATAGATATAGTCGCTTTTCAGAGGCAAGAAATAGGTCTTCGCCGGTTGCTAAGACATCTCCAGTTTTCTCGTTCGGACCTCTTACTGAAACTTTACTTTTGTATACGGTGTTTTGTTTAACGAGTTGCCCCCAGGGATTCCTTAATTTGCTAAACCCTTTAGAGGACATCCGTTAAAAATGAGACAAAAATTTAAATTTTGAGGCAAGGCTCATAATTTCAAATTGTTTCTATTTTTGCGCGCAAGTAGCCCCTAGTAAGACAAGAAACGCTGAGAATTTTTGTCTCTCAAATATGTTTTTATTTTCGAGAAAAACGAACTTATCGCTTTTACCCTAAGGAATTGATATATCGGGTCATGACAGACCGAAATTGAGCACTTTCGTTCGCTTTGCGTTTCAAAGATATTGCGTCAAGGGAAATCCAACCAACGTGTGCTCTTTCACAGAATCTTCCTCCTCTGTAAAATGTTAGTTTTATAGTAATTGGTTGCTTAGTAGCTTTAAGCCACAGAAAAGAACAAAGTGCTCTCTTCAGTTACGAAAAACGCTGTGACTAAATGCCCGGCAGCCGGTCACGGTCCCAAATAGACTAAATGCCCGGCAGTCAGAAATTTCCACAGATTTTCCACCGAAAGGTTCTTTCAAACTTCAGATATTTTTATTCAGAAATATCAAGCGATTTCAAAAAATTGATATTCATTTCCAGAGGACAAACTCTTTGAACTTGAGCGCACTGAAATGTCGCTCGGTTGTCGACAATTGCACGCCTCTGATCAGACTGCCTCATGATGAAGGCGAAGCAGATCTTCGACTGCGGAGGCAAAGAAAATGAAAGGAGACTTAATCTTTGTTCCAAACTGATCATCACTCCAGTCGCCGATCTACTCACTGAGCCGGAAATGATAATTGTTTAGACTCATAGTCTAAACCATCCTTCTGGCTCACCTTGTCGAAAACTTCTCCAGCCTCACGTCAAGTTCCTCTTGTCCAATGTGTAAGCAAATTAAATGTTCGCGCTTTTCTCGGTGTTTACATTTTTTAATACAATGGGATCCTTTCAACCAAAAACTCTGGGTTCAGACTGAAGTTATTAACTGGGACAGCCTTGAATTATTTCACAGGCAATATCCTTCAGAATACTGACGCTGGTAATATACAGGTGCTGTTTTCCTGGATCTATCTAAAGGTTTCGACACGGGTGATTGTCACCATCCATTGCAGAGGCTAGCGAACATTGGTCTTACCTCTTCCACTTCCCTGTGTTTTAGATCTTACCTCACAAACAGTTCACAAATCACATCAGCCTGTAGCTACTAATATGCCCATATAAGTACCTCAAGGCAGTATCCTGGGATCACTACCCTTTTTGATTTAAGTAAATATTCTCCCAGGCTTTCAACCAACAAGTGATACTATTCTCAATGCCAACGATACTATGATGTATAACTCATCAAAAACCTTAGTTACTTTGAATATCATGACTTGGAAACAGTTTCAGAATGGTTCCCCAGAGGTCTTTTAACTCTTAACATGTCAAAATGTAATTTTTCGGCACAGGAATTGATAGAGTAACACCATTCAAATACTTCAGTAGGTTTCAACCAGTCTATGACTTGCCAGTCAAAGCAACGTGCAAGACCTTCTTACCGTCCAGAAACACATACATTATTTATTTTGATTTCCTATTGACGAAAACAGGTGACTTTTCACTATCGCTAAGAGCCATTGTTTTTGGTGCGACTTTTACAGCCCATTGGAGGAATGAATGGACTTCTTCATCTTCTCGTTAATCGCAATAATGTGGAATTCATGCCTTCTGTGGCTTCTGGCCAATGAGCACGCACTCATCGTCGCCTTGGGGGATGGGAATAAGCAAGTTTGGTCTGAAGACTATATAACAAACTACTTACTTATCTCGCTTGCTCGAGCCGTTCTGGGGAATATTGGCCCTCGTTCGTTTTTTGTGCGGACCGAGCGCACGACTACTGGCCAATATTCCTCAGTGCGGCCCTTACACTCGGTTAGTAAGAGGTTAATATTTTTACTTTAGGGTAAAAGAGGAAGAGAAAAGAGACGGCAAGTTGTTAAACTTTTGGTATTTGCATGGAACGTAACGCTTGTCGTTTCCAAGGTAAAAAAGAAAGGAGCAAAATTGCAACGACTGTCTAAGACGATCACGATACCAATTTGCGTTTTTAATTGAATTAGACTAAGCAACTCGAAAAGAATGGTGTACACTGTGATGCAATCAGGAACGATATGCTAGAAGCTTTCTCTTTTTCTTTTTCAGGTTTTAGTTAATTCTTTTAAATCTGATTAGGAAAAAGAAAAAATAAAAGTATGTTACAATGTTAGATTCTCTAATTGAGGAACAAACTGGACTGAATGCTTGTGGAGTGAACACCCATCATAAATACTGAAGAACCCGGGGCTCTTAATCAGCCACATCGCCATCTTTTTATTTTTTCAACGTATTCTACTGGAGTTTTTAGCGTAGTTTTCGCTTTACATGTTTTTCAATTTTAATTAAGTTGAATTATTGTCGAATTGGGAATTTTGCTCAAGCGTTTTGATCCATTGTTACGCGAGTTTTTACTAAGACTGATTGAAATTTCGCTCGTTGTTTCAGGTTAGAGTGGAATCCTGGTTGATTTGTGGTTGTGAATGCGATTGTCATCAAATTACCTTTAATTGTTACTGTGGTTTTCCAGGATCAGTCTCGACATTCGCGACCTGTACTTTAAGATAATCCCATTACCTCCTTTGCGACTCGACTAAAGCGACGTCCCAGTGTGATTTGTTTTAGTCGCTGCAAGCCTTACATTTACCAGGTATTCCAAGGCAAGCCACTTGTCTGCAAATAAGGCCACATTTCAGGACCCTTGCAGCCGTTCAGTTACACGATGTAACTGTAAAATCACTTACTTGGTTTTAAAGCAAACTGACGGACCAACGTAAAGGTTATAGAAAACATTTTGTGAGTGAGAAAATGAAAGGAAAGCTTATCAAGAGGGATGTGTGTAGTTGTACGAGTGAGATGTAATAAATTCCGAAAATTAAACTAGGATTGAAAATAGACATTTATAGGCCGCTGGGAAGCGAATTTATTCCAATATACACAGTTATATACAGATTGAAAAAAAGACATTAATCAGTCCTTGATACATCAACTAAATCTTCTTCAATACTCCTTCTCAACAAATTTTTCCTTCATTTAACTCATGGCGGACGTGGCATTGGTAGCAGCTGTCTCTGCCCGTTTGATTTCATTGGTGATTTGAGTCAAGTCTTGAATAAATACTTGGATCTGATAATGAGAATAATATATCATGAACAGATTAGATGACAAGGAAAAAGTTTAAAAATGATTTTTCATCACCCAAAGAAGTTGAGCAATGAATTGAATTTAACTATAGACAATCTTTGTCGACTGACAAACAAGTGTTGTTTGCTTTATTAGAACTTTTACGAAATTTATCCTTTTGGGAGGAAGATTAACCTTACATAAGGCTCGTAATTCAATTTACGTTTCCTACAAATACACTTTATTCTATTAAAAATTGGCCCATCATGCTTCCTTGTAAAGTTTTATTGTAATGCAGCAAATAAATGACTTAATAAATAAAAAAAATTATCCTGAACTAGGCTCGTTTCTCGAAGGTCTAGGTAATTCAACGGGGCTGTAAACCTGTTCTGTTTTAATTCCAGATGGGATTTCAAAAGTTTTTAAAATTATCCAATAAAAATATCAGCTAAAGAAACAAAACGGACTGGCTAAAACTTGCAGACATGGTTTACAACATCCTAAGCATCTTTTTATTTCATTATGACTATAGTATAGTACCTACTCACTGAGGCATACGAAAAAGACAACTAATCCAACCAGAAGATACCGGTTTGTTAAACATGTAGATGTCTACGTTCCTGTTTGTCTCCTCATTTAACATTACCTTAACATTTGACATTACCTTTTCTAGCTGTTTTTCAGTATGTTCTATGACTGTGTTTTGTTTAAGGTGTCTGTTCACTAACATGAACAAGTTGTGGGTTGCCCTGCGGTGAAAGAAATACAAGCAAACAATTATGAATATCTATTTCCGGATTGTAACTTTTGCAAATATATTCCATGATACACAATGCATTCATCACATACATTTTTATTCTTCCTAAAAGAAGAGTTTTCTTGGCTGCTGTATTTTGTATATGTGTCCACTGAGATTCCCTGAAAAGACAAGTCAGCATAGTAACCAGTAAGAAACTACAACCTTCTTTTAGGGAAATACGATAAGGATTTGATAGCACATGACTAAAATTAAGCAAATGAAAATTGCTTCAAGTTACCATTTCACTGCAACACTCTGGGCTCTCTCAAGTTGCGTCTGTAAATGTGCAAGCTGTTATTTAATGGGAAATCAAAAGGGAAACTGTATTGATTGGGTTGAAGTTCTTCATGTTCAAATTAGCAATTTAAGTAAAACATTGATTCCTGGCTAACAGAACCTTAATGGATAAAAAAAAAAAATTGTAGCAACCAGAATTTACTGCTTACCTGATTGTTGTAGTTTAATATCTCATTGTTCTTTTCCTACAAATCAGAACATTTTTAACTGGTTAGGTCTTAACCATTGACTGCAATTGACAGGAGCAGAGACAACTTCAAAATACAATTTTACAAATTAATGAGACATGTAGTACATTTACCTCTGTAAATTTTACCAGTCTTCCTTTTTCTTTTTCATACTTTTCCTGATTTTTTGTTTCTCTTTCCAAAAGGTCCTTAAAACAAAAAAATAAGTACAGCAAGAAGTGAGAATTCCTCCTTGAAGGAGAGCCAGGAAGCTCTAATTCATTACCAAGGCTTTCAGTTCATTAATCCTTTAGTTCATCAATCCTTTAGTCCATCTGAAATAAATCTAGCTTATGTCTAGAAACACTCACTGAATTTGTGGAAATTAATTTTCCAGTATGTTGTACAAGCAAACCACATTTTATCATGAAAGCTCATCCCTTGGGACCAATATGGCTCCATGCCTTGAACATAATCATTATAGACCTCATGGTGTATTTGATCATTACCTGATGTGTTGCTGTTAACGTATCGTACCGAGCAATAACTTCCCGAATCTCCTGAAACTGAAAAGAAGGATATCACAAAATTAACATCTCAGTTAATGTACGCAGCCACTTCAAAATAAAAATTATGGATCAGTTATGTTTGTGAGACAGTCACCTCAGCATTGAAAAATACTAAAGACTTCAGAGCTACATGCTCACTGCCTACAAAATTTATCAAAATAATTTCCCCTTTTTTTTCAAATTAAATCTGTTCAAAACAATATCACTATTTGTCGACAACACCATTTTGTCTTGGAACTTGCTTGTAGAAATAGATAATGATCTTGTGTCAAAGTAAAGGGCTATCTTTGGACTAGTGGTTCAGGGTACTGTTAATCAACCTGGCAGAAATGAGCAACATTAATATATTACACAGCTATTTACAGAAAGCTAAAACAAAGCAATTGACATTATGCTGGTTAATTAACATACCTCCTCTGCTGATTCCAAAACCTTTTCCAGATATTGCTGATAAATGACATTTCTCTCCAACTTGTATTGTATGTGATCCCTCTCTTTCATTAAAGTAGCTGTTTCCTCTTTTAACCTGAACAATGCATACATATTCATTCTACTAGATAGCTGCCATGACACATGTACATAATAGGTCTATAACTTTAAGATGGACTGGTCTCCAGTGCTGCCTTATACTATTTTCTTTTTTTTCCCACTCATTTAGATGATTGGGATTGGCCATCAAAAAAATTTTACACTCTGCAATACTTATTGCCTTGTGGAAAATTCCTTCATTAGCAACAAAAATTTAGTTTCCCAAACAAGTCATGATTCACAAAGTTTTTAAACACAAACAATTTATTCTCACTATGAAAAGGGATTCATTTGATTACACTCACATACACAAATGTTTACTACCGGTATGTTTCACTCCAGTCCCTTAAAGCCTTTCTTCCTCTCACCTTAGTGAATTATATTATACTGACATACGGTCAATGTTACCAATGTCTTGTGTGCTGATTACTATACTGATTAACACATTTTACAAGTGGGCCACAATGCATGGGCAACATTGTCCATAAGCAAAATTGATTTATACCCTGGCTTTAAGTATCCCACCTTGCAATTTCCCTGTCCTTTGCCCTTCTCATATCTCTTTCTTCAGCAGCTTTCTTAAGTGCTCTTGCCCTCTTAGAATCATTTTCCTGAATTTAAACATAAATAATTTATTGTTATACATAACAGCAAATGTGATATTCCTTCATTGAAGATCAATTCAATTTGATCAATTCCTTGCACATTGTTTCACTAAATTTTCTTTTGTAAGTTAGTAAGTGGACTTCATTTAACAAGCCAGGGTAAAATTAGTCAATAATTTCACAAATGAACTCATGGCCCTCAGAATAAATGGAAATCTAAATAAAATAGCCATAGTATATAGTATAAAGTAAACATTCAACTAGAATACAAAGCTATGATAATTGAAGAATATAGAACTAATGATAGAAATTTTTACAAGAAAAGATATTTTAAAAGGATTTAAAACCACTGAAATGACATGAATGATTTGGTGAGAATTTAATGGCTTAAAATTGATTTAAAAGTGAACTTAAAATTATTAGCAATAAAACTCTGTTTGAGGTCCACAATTAGCAATTTCCTTTCTTTAAAAATGTTTGATCACAAACAGTATTTCTTTTACATTAAGGGAAAATTAAGATTACTAAGATGAGCAGAGATACATGTATCATGTCTGTCAGAGTTTCTGATGTAAGTAAATTATTAATATATATAATGGTAATAGGACCAAGTGGAGTCCAATTCGGTTTGTAATCATACAAGTGATAAACAAAATTGGATGACTGTGAAGCGGGAGTCTGATTTGTTAATCACAAGGATGATTACAGACAGAATTGGAGGACACGAAGTCCTGTCACCAATTAATCAAAACTATGACAAAATTTGAGAAAGAAACGAGACATCGGTTATATGTTTTCATAAAAGAAAAACATCAGTTAACCTGTCCACTTACACAGACATGATGTCTGAACTGTCCCTTTAACTGTCCTTTTACATTGTCCAATTACCTGCATGATGCATAAACTGTCCTATTACACTGTCCAATTACAAGCATGATGCGTACACTGTCCTACTAGTGCTCAAATCAGGCTGGTGGTCACCAGTCACATTCAAGAATTTTGTTAAAGTTTTGATTATATGGGGTATTCAATGCTGCATTTTAGAAATTAAGGTGCATTTATTCTTATGAGATTCTGCATAAAAGGGATTGCCTTTTATGCAGAATCAATAAATATAAATCAATGCACTTTAAAATGTTAAATAAACTATCTGAAGATGCTGTTCTTTCTGCACCAAGGATAATGGCAGCTTCTTGTTTTTGAAGGCACAGAACAGCTGAAATTTCTTAAGGTTTCCTTTACTACAAGAAGTCAAAATCATGCTTCCATAGAACAATTCAGGTTTGATAATTGTAGAGTAGTATGTTTTTTGCTGATTATGTTCTAAAGAAGGACTTATGTGATGAATGAGACCAATAGGTTTGGCCAAGTTTTTGCATACAGTCTAACTACTCAGTCTGGATATTTAATGAAAGGTCCTGATCTACTGTAACACCAAGAAGTTTGAAGTTAGTGACATACTCAATATCACTTCCATTTACACTGTAAGTTGACATAAGGCAACAAGTTTCTGCAAAAATTTCCCTGTTACCAGCATGGACTTGGTCTTTTCAGAGTTAAGAAACATTTTTTTCTGTCCACCACACCTCTAAACATTTGAGATCTTGACTGAGAGCATGTATCAAATGGGGAACATTTTGCCAGCTGGGGCTTTTCAATGAAATTTTGTCATCAGCATAAAGGTCTAGTGTCAAGTCACAATACACTTTAAGGCATGTAGTTGGTAAATTAAAGGAAGAGATGAATATGAAAGCAATCTTCACACTAATGAATACTACTTAAAGAGTACTGAAGGGAAGAGAGAGGGTCCCAGGATCAATGCCTGAGGCATACCTTACTAAAACTGCTTACTGTTAGAACAGCAGCCATTTATACACAGTTATCCTTGTCTATTCTTGGCATAGTTGCTTTTACATGCAACTAAATTGATATAAAATTTGCCAGATTTTGTCTGAAATCCATTTATGAACATACCTTTAAAAACTTGTCAAACTTCAGCAATGATTCTTTTAGCTGATATTCCTTTCTGTCAAGCTCCTCTCTTCTTTGTTGAAGGCTCTCCATTTTCATTTGAAATTCCTGAAGAATTTGAAAAAAGTAGGGAAAGCGAAAGTAAAAGGCACAATAAATAAAAAGAAACATCTGGTAACCCCCTCCCCCACAGTGGACTGTAAGTAAACAACAGTAAAGAAACAGTAAAATGAAAGAATCTCTAAGTCCTACTTTCTGAGGAATTTTTAAATTGGAATTTCTAATAATAAATTAATAAGATAAAACTTATCACGTCTTCTTACTGAATGGCAAATGATCTAGGTGCATCACAGGAGCCTTGATTGGTACATGCAAGTCTGAACAATATGACTGAACTTGACAAGAACTAGTGCACAGATCTATTTTTCAAATAGCTTTATGCAACACTTGTGCTGCATAACGAGAAGTCTAGAGGTCACAAATGCAATATTGAGGGCTTCCTGTCAGTTTTAAAGCTCCTGTCAGCAATGCTGACCTTTCTTGGGTGCCGACTGAAACTCTTTCAAGAACCCCTTTTCTTGTCAGTCTTTTCCCTTTGGGTATCTGAAGATGTATGCCCTCGACACCTGATATATTGTATTTGTAAATTTTTATTTTGCACTGGCTATGTGGAAATTCTCAACATAAGATGAAAAGAGTTACTTTCGTTAGCCTCACATGTGCACTACAGAAGTCCCTAAACCGGTGATTCAAAATGGTTTAATTTCATAGAAAATGTATCTATTACATGCACAATTGTATACAGTTATACACTTTGTACCAGTTCATAAATTATGCTGCGTTCTACCTCTTTGAATTTTCTATTTGTTGGGGTGACAGAGATTGTATAAAAATAAAGTGTTATTTGACGATATATCTAACGGTAAACTGATATATTCCGACCTCTTTCTGAGCTGCAAGTGCTTGCTCAACTTCGGACATTTCTCTTCTCTTTTCCAGAAGTCTTGTAGCCGGAGTGAGGTGGTCGTCCTCGCGTTCTGGCATTTTTCTGGTGAAGAAAGCATGACACTGATTAAGACTAACCACTTTGCTCGTTGCATATAACAACATTGTTATCTGGACAGTCCAATACATTAGAAAGATTCACATATCGTGATTTTGCCACTTACACGAGGATCTTATCCTCGAATGTGGTTCTAAAGTATTCTTCTAAGTTGACTGTCATTTTGAAACGTTTCTATATAATCTGCAAAATCAGTTTTTATGTTTCGTCGACTACGTCTCTCTCCAACCAAGATGGCGGAATTGCGTTGTCAAGGAAACGTTCGTATTGCGGATAATAGAGCTTGAAACTATCCCAGAGGTCAGTGCGTTTGTGTGAAAAATGGCGGCAGAACTGCAATGTTTTTATATCGAGAGATGTAGAGGAAATCCCTTCATATTATCTCACAACTCGTATTTGATGGAAATTTTTATTTGACGCTGATTCTTGATTCCAGTATGTCTTCTATCACTCTCTGGGTGAAGCCGGACGCCTTTGATTTCGGAGCAATTCATGCGCCATTGCCTCCAAAACTGACTTTGCACGTAAGTTGAAACCTGTCAGTGCAAGTAATCACTGTCATTTTCGTTCCAAGAAACGAATGACCTTTTCTATCTTTTTAGATTTATCTACCTATGACTCATGAAGTGTATTGATTTATTTGATTGTCCTGTATGTTAAGCCCTAACTCTTATTACTTTTATGCTCTGTGCAAATGTAATAATTTTGACTAGGTTACATTTTGGTTTAAAATCGCTTAATTGCTGTCACTCACGATCGGCCCGCAGGCAATTAGGGTGTTCAAAAACAGCTCGCCTCTAGAAACTTCATCGTCATCCGTTTAGGAGATGCGATTGACTGGAAATGACCTACTTGTAAACACTGTGTGTTTAAAGTTGTCCTCATATCAAAATAGAAGATATCACTAAAGATATCACGCAGATCCTAATACAAGCACCAGATTTTGTTTTGTCAATGTGTTAAGTCAGCACATTATGAATGCAAAGTTGAGGGTATTTGTTAGGCCTTTGAGATGCAGAATTCATTCTCCAGCCACAACTTTTTGTGATAAAATCTGGAAAGTAGCACTGATGACAGGAATTTCATTTTCAATCTTCCCGTTTTTATTTTTTTACTGTTGGCCTATTTTAAGGGTTTAGGAAGTCTTCCTCTTATTTACACAATAAACAGAGTCAGGAAAATAGAGAGGTTATCTCTTGGCAGCAATTCAGGAATTTGATAAAACATAGCTAACAGCTGATTTGATAAATGTTACAAATGACTTTATTCTGAAATTTAGATCTAAAAATTTGATCAGCTTATTAGTATCTATCTTTTTAGAACTTGTACAAGCTGTCCATTTATGCAAGAAACAAAGGAGAAGCAGGATACCCTCAGCTGAGGTAGATGTGTGTTAACATTCAAGTTACTTGGACATGTTTGTTGATTATCGTTTTACCAATATACTGACTTTTATAAATTAATTGTACTATTAATACCAGTGATTATGATAGTTTAGTAGGTGTTGTACATGTACTTTGGACAAAATACATATTAATTGTTCAATTGGACCTGTGAATGTCATTGCCCATTTGTTGGCTGGAAATCATTGCACTTCTTGTAGCATCAAGAAATTAAGAGTATTGCCACTACCTTCCCCTCCCCCCAGGATGGGATACAAGTTTATCACTGGTAACACCCAGCTCTTTGAAAGCTTTTTCTGATACTTTGCTTGGAAAAATTAATACTCCTGGGTTGAGAGAGGTACTGCAAGTTAAATTGTCAGAGAACACAATACAATCATTGAACCAGGGATTGCAAACTTGGATCTCCTGATATCTTGTTCCATTCTGACAATACATAATTGTGGATTTGAAAAACTTATCATCTGCTCCTCTAAATAATTAGTATGTTTGGTGAGTAGATTTTTCTGTTCATTTTGTAAGAAAGTGTTCATGGTTGCTAGCTTACCAATTGATTTGCCCTTTGCAGAGGTCTTAAGGCTGCATAACAAGATAGGCATTCCACAGTTTTTTATGAATTTTATTTTTCTCTTAATTGAGAGCTTTGTGGAGAGGGAGCAAAGTTTGAGAAAGGAGAGCTGCTCAGGTTGAGAAAAAGCAAGGCTTTGCTAGTCTTTGAATTCTGACATTTAGGAAGACTGAAATGAATGTACTACTAGGATTTTTTGTCTTGGTTCTTTACCAATTGATTTGCCCTTTGCAGAGGTCTTAAGGCTGCATAACAAGATAGGCAATCCACAGTTTTTTGTGAATTTTCATTTTTTCTTAATTGAGAGCTTCATAGAGAGGGAGCAAAGTTTGAGAAAAGAGAACTGCTCTGGTTGAGAAAAAGCAAGGCTTTGCTTGTCTTTGAATTCTGATGGTTAGGAAGACTGAAATGAATGTACTACTAGGATTTTTTGTCTTGGTTGTTTTTAAAAGTTATCATGGTTACTAAATATTGTCTTATTGCAGTCCTATAAAACATTATAAATAAATGTATGAAAAAATTAAGATAAAGGAGATGGAAGGATACACTGTTTAGGGAGGGAAAATTCAAGATTTGCTTGTGGAAAGGGTGTCATCAATCATTTTGCCTTAAAGTTTGATATACAAGATATTTTTCTTATTGAAGATTTTCCTGTTGTTGTTTAGTTACCCTGTGTGGAAGCATGTCGCCTGCAACAAGTTACAGATGTCTGAGGATCTGGCATGGCTGTAAGTTGATATGATGCTCATTGAAAAATAAATGTATATCTAATAAATGAAAAAGATCTGTGAACACCTTTCTCAAAAACTAAATGTTAAAAAGTCAATGAAAAGTCAGCAGCTCAGAAAAAATCTAACCAAAATGATTGCAAAAGATATGTAGAGTAATAATTATCTAGTGAGAATCAAGCATTATATACTTACATCAAATGAGTAGAATGGCACTTAACTTGAAATGATAATTATATCCAGTTCCATGTTTTGAATTGTATAAGAACATTTAAAAATTGGGAAAGATTTGTTTTTTTTTTAAATTTTTATTTTCCCTTTGGCCCACTCTACTGGTATCTTACTGGAGGGACAAAAGGCAAAACATATTTAGACTTGTCAAAATGTTGCAATTAAAATTTAAATTATCAATTTTATGTTTTGTGCTGTTGTAAATATATGTGAATGTATTTAATTAAAGTATGCTTTTCACCAGATACTTTGAAACCTTTGACATGCTTTGTGGCTCAAGTTTTAAAGAGCATTCAAGATGGAATGAAATATTTTCTCAATGCAAAAGTTTGGAAGAAATAGGTCAGAAAACTTGGGCTTTATTACTTTGCAATCTATGCAAATCATGATCATAACTATTTAACACTTCAACTCCCAAGATCTGATTATTAATTCTCCCTTTCAGCTGTGACGCATTTCATTGTAAACTAATTATAAGAATTTTGTGTTGGATAAAGATAACTTCTACCTGATTAACATGAGTATTCGTATTACGCGTTTATTGGGTAATATATGGACACTGTAGAGAGAAGATACATGCTAATCACTTCTGAGAGTTAAAGGATTAAATGACTGTAGCTGAAAGTTTTTTTGCTGTTACCATGTGGAGTTGCTTCCTTCCCTACAACCACATTTAGAGAAGGGAAATGTTGAATAGGGTGTGAGTGAGATAAGAACCTCTCAAGGGATTCAAAAGGTAGCAAAAACACAAACTGTTTTTTTGCAAAGTAGCTTTTAAGATTGAGGTGCTCACCCAGTTATAAATGGAGACAGGGAGGATTAGTCTGCTTTAAGGTCTTAGGATGTCTTTTGAGAATTGGCGATTTTGATATATTGAAATTCTAATAAGACTCTGAGGCTAGGGGGAATAAAATAAAATAAATTGATTATTCATCCCTTAACCTCTACATGATCTCCTTTGTTTTATTTTCCTAGGCCTTTAAGCCAAGTTCGAATTTTTAATATATAGAAAATGGCGTATTTGATATCATTTTCCTAATCTCTGTCACTATGTTTATACATGTACACCAAAAGACAAGAAATTTTCAGTACTATCAAGGACTTTACTTTTTGCAGATCATTTGAGATCTCAAGGCTCAGTGAGAACATTGCAGTTCATTCTATTTCTGTATATTCAACAAATTCACAAGATATCTTTTAAGGCTTCTCTGGTCCTGGGAGGAGAAGAGTATCCTTTTATACTTTCTTTTTCACAATGTTTTCATTTTCAAGTAATTTAATTGGAATGCAATTATTGCTTTAACAACATGATGTTGTGAACATTGCTTTTGTCTCAACTGTGTTAGATAATATTTCTTAAGCAATCAAACTCTTAAAATATAATATTGAATAAAGAGCTTTTCAGATGATATTTACAGGGTTGATCTAAGCAGTATTTCTGTGTGTGTAAACACAGTATTTACTCTGTAAAATTTTACTTAATATTAACAAGATGGCCAACACGTTCACGATCACCAGATTTGGAAAAAAAAGGATCTGTTGCAGTTAAGGTACAGATGACCTAAAAATAATGATATCGGTAATGATGATAATTATCATAACACTAACTGATGTGTATTAGTATTAATAGTAATCATGGAAATTATTGTGATTTTTTTTTTAAGATGGAATAATCAATTAAATTTTAACTTCTGGTGAAAATTTTTCGTCCTAGGTTGATTTTTATTTTTGTTCTGCTCCTAATCCTGATTATGAATAGTTAGTGTTAGGATGCAAAGGAAATTGAGAATCAACTCACAATATGTTGAACATTTTTCTCCTTAAAGTAAAATGTAAACTACACCCATTAAAATAAATTGAATTTAACTGTAAATTTGACTTACGCAGTCAAAACATACATAATTTCATGTTTAATGATATTTTTCTTGTGCTCTTAATTTTTAACTTTTCAGAGCCTTGATGAGCATGATCACATGATGTTTGTACTACATCATTTGAATGACATTTTGGAACTCTTGATGGAACCGGGTATGTAACCGTACTTAAACCCATTGCACCCCAATGTCAGTATGCATATTCTCCATGTTCTTTATACATTGCTAAGGTGTTGACAAGAAGAATTTGGTCAACTATGAAGAGCACCTTAAGCTGGTGATCATATCCTTTATTCTTGCAACTTCAATGTGTGATTCTGGCTAACTTAGGGAATTTACTTGGACACAAACACACAAAATTACTACCACAAGGTGATATGTTTGCATAATTTCATATTGCAGTATGTCATTATTTTCAGAGTCCAGTGGAATAGGCAGTGGTAGTGAAGCCTGTCTTACTGTTGAGGCTCTTGATGCTCTTGGGTTTCTCATCACAGGATCTATTGATAGGAAGTATGTATACCACTATAAAGTATACCTTGGATTTGAATGTTATTTATGTTGAAAATGTTTTGAATAGTTTGATTGTTTTATTTGTTTGTGTCACATTGTTCACCTGAAACAAAGGAAAATTTTATTAGGGGTTTAAACAAAGTTAGTGCAATAGCAAACATTTGAAAGTTAGCTTTGGGTGTTTTAACTTGAGTAAGGTCATTTCCTCAAAAGACCTCAGTCTTAGGGCCAATGTGTTTCTCAGCCTGTGTTTGATGTTAAATTTCTTGCTTTACTTCTGACATCCCTCTCTTGGATAAACTAACTATGAAGTATATCTGTTAAATAGTGTGCCATATTTAGGAAAACATATCCTGCTTCTAATCAAATAAAATCAGGGTAAACATTTCGCCTTGAGATAGAAGGAATAGCTGTTCATAAACCAGCCCATTCTGGGAAACTGCATTTTATGGTTTTTGTCTCATTTTTGATAGTATATTTAGACTCTAAATTACTCCTTGATAAACCAAATTTCTACTCTTAATGGAATGATGGTAAACAAAATCAGCTTTTTGGGTACTAAGAAGAGTTTTTGAAACTTTCAAGAAACAAGCCCCTGGCTCTAAAGGCTCTTTTACATGTCAACTTCAATTAATATAATAATTTGGGTTTTATTTTTTTGTTATTTTTGTTTAGAAACATTCAGCCACTACATGAATTAGCTCGTCTTCAATCAGAAAGACCAAAGTGCGGTTATTCAAAGGTAATACTCATCACTTGAGTTGAAGTCTTTTTAGACTAAAGATACTTTGTTAATTATGGTTATGAAATTAAAGGATGTGGCAACTGATTTGTGGCAAAATATTTACAGATCTCCAGAAAATTCTCTTTCCGCCAACTTCAGTCATGGTTGAGGTCCAATCTTCAAGTAAATCCATTTGGAGTGTCTGCCATCCTTGCTCAGGGATTTAAACAACATGAATTACAAATACAAAGTAAGAAACAACTAAATATTGATTAGTCTGTGTTTGTAACCAAAGTTATGCATAATTGTTTTCATCATTTATTTGAAAAGGTCCACACGCCTACAGTACTAAACATGAGTTAGGAAATACATATCAGAGATTAAAAACTTACAAGCAAACTCACAATTATGAAAAATTTTTAACTCAAGGGTGCATAGCTTTACCAGCGAAAAATGAAAATGACAATCCTGCTTCTTAAAAATTGGACATAAATATTGATTCACAGGACTAAATTTATACACAAAACCTGTAAAATTACTCGACATAATTTTGTAACATTATGTAGCAGTAGAAACATCAACTGCAACTACACTATACAACTAATGAAACATTCAAACAATCACAGGTAATTGGCATGTATATACCCAATACACTTAGGAAATGGTATGCTGATAACTTTTGCAATTACAGTGTTTGATGTGATTGCAGCTGATCATCAAATCTTTGTTATTTGTTCTGTAAAGACCACTCACTTTCAGAGATGCCCAAAGCCACTTTTTTGGAATCTCATTTTATGGAGGAAGGGTTTGTCAAACATGGAAAGGGAACCAGTTCGTATGTGGGAAAATTTCATTGATGAGTATCCTGTTCTTGTAGATTTTCTAAGCCTCAGTGACACATTTGATGATCACAGTCTCCTGCGACATCAGGAATCAGAACATAGTACTGCTGGCAAAGAACCATCCACAAATAGAAGTCGCATCATGAGCAATATAAGCCATGCTCCACCAGAGTATGTAAATGTGCAATTGTGATTTAATATTGAAGATTCTGGAAAAGTTCATTTGTTATCTGATAAGAAGATCATTTGGTTTATCGCTACATCTTTTTAATAAAATGCTGATTCCATAGCACAATTAAAGCCCAGGTTACATTTGGTGCCATCTGTTGTCGGTGTAACTAGGTAAGAAATCAGATACAGACAAAGTGGATGAATCCACCAAATACAATCCAGAAAATATTATCATGGCCACAAAAATGGATGGAAATACTGACAAGTTTACTGTTAACATGGTTGCTGATTGCATCTCACTTAATTCATCGATTGGAAAATGGATTGGATTGATTTTTGAGGCAAAAATCTTTACATCAACAATATAAAGTGTAAATTTGATCCCACCATTCCAAAGAAGTTAAAATAAGTACTGTAGTTTCTTCCTTTCCTTCTGTTCCTTTTCGGAAGGAGGGTGCATAAGCAAAAGGGGTGCCTGTACTGACTTCACTGTAGTCAAAGCTTAAAATGTTATAATGCAGCAAGAGAAGCAGGGGTGGTGCTTATTCAAGAGGAGGGCAACTGTTTGATATTATGGCCCAGGGGGTGGATGCTGAGGAAATTGGGTTGTGCAATATGAAATATTCAGCATCTGGTATTACTTGTTTGTAATTAACTTCTACAGATGGTTTCTTAGATTCATTGATTCCAGGTCAAATGGTAGCATTTGCTATTTATTATTAGTTGAATTGTATGAAAGGGTAATTAGGTTCAAATTGTTTTCCAGGTATACAAATCTAGTTTCATTTTTGTTACTAAGATTTTTGTGGGATTTACATGAGGTCTAAATGAAAATGTGTGATAATGAGCTAATTTGTAGTGACCAAATATTGCGTGGGTTGTTTGAGGTAAATTGTAAAATGAACCTTTTCATTGGGGTAAGTGTGCTTTGCAATTGCAACTCTCCATGCTACAGCAGTTTTGTTCTGCTGAGCTATTAGAGAAATAATAATAATAATAATAATAATAATAATAATAATAATGACTTTATTGGATAACACAATTACTGGTAAAACCAGTAGTTCTCATTATGGTCCACTAAAACTTCAAATTCAAATAGCAAAATACGAAGTAAAAATACAGTTAAAAATTAAAAATAAAAATTAGAATTAAAAATTTAAAATTAATTTAAAATTTCTGCTTTTAGTAAAATTATCAACTCTGGAGTTCCGATCTAAATATATCTTATATAGTTGATTTTTAAATTTACAAAGGGAAGTGTGATCCCCAGTGGCACTGTCTAGGTTGTTCCATAATCTAGTGCCACTTGCAAGGAATGAACATTTGCCGGTCATAGTGCTAAAGAAAGGTGTGGATAAGTCCATATTAGTTGATGCCCAAGTTGTGTAATGATGTCTATTTTTAACATAACGAATATAATGATTAAAGTAATCAGGACATTTCCCTTGAATAATGTTATGGATAATGCACAATTTCCTTTGCTCTATTATGTCAGTAATGGGAATCCAACCTAATCTCTTAAAAAGGCCAACTGATCTTTCAGTGCCTGCATTTAAAATTATCCTGGCACAATGTTTTTGAACTATGAGGAGCCTTTGTAAATAATCTTAGTGTTTCCCCACACTGAACAACAATATTCGAAGATTGGTGTAATTAAAGCGTTGTATAGCAAATTCCTAAGTTATAAATTCAGTTACTTTCTGGCTCTTTTAAGAAGATTTACCCTAGAATTTAATTTAGTGATCATGTAATCTATATGGCTATTCCAATTAAGATGCTTGTCTATCTTCACACCAAGCAGCTTTTCGTTCACGGTCTCTTCAATTTCAGTGCCTCGCAACGAAAGGTTAAGCGATGGGTCTGCGCAGTAGGAAAGTTTTTGCTTGGTTCCAAGAAGTAGCTGTTTTGTTTTCTTTGCGTTGGGACCATCTTGTTTAGCGAGAACCAGTGATTCACTTTGTTGAGACTTCCCTGAAGTCCATGTTGGATATGCAAGGGATTAGAATTAGAAAAATTAGGCATCTAAATGTGCAGTGCAGGTCACCACACTGGCATTTGTGTTCAGCAATAATGTAGCAAGTTGTTATCATCATTATCATTATTGCTATTGTTAAGTGGTAAAAAAGTTGAGTTTGAAACACTGAATTGATGGAAATTGTTACTACTTAGTCCATAGGAACTTGATTTATAACCATTGGAAGAAATATATCAGGTAACCAGAAAGTCTAATTTGTGTCCATTTTTAATTTATTTACTTTACATTTCATTTGATAGGCAAAGATTTCTTATTCTGTCTCAAGTTTGCAAACAAACTGTTGCAAAGGTATGTTCTCTCAAAACTGCAGTATCTCCTTGATTGAAATTTGACATCTAGAATTAACAGTGAAGGAATTTTAATAGCCCACTTTTCATACTTTAAATTAATCCTGATACAGTAGACATCATTATTCCAAGGCTCTAGGGAGTGAATGCTGGAAACCAGACCCTGTGTAATAAGAAATTTTAGAACAATGAAATTGGGGTGTTGTGAATACAAATTTTTTTTGTTTTTTTCTTTCTTTCCATCAGGCCAATGACTCCTATTCAGGAAGTACTGTAAAAATTCATAGATGCCATTATTCCTACATATATATCTTATGCCCTTTGAGGTTTGTGAATGCAAATACCGCTAGCTATAGTATTTAACCCTTTAACACCCAATATCTCATTAGTAATCATTTGCCCTCTAGAGGGTAATTCAGGTTGTCCAGGTAAATTTTAGGTTTGCACCATGGTACCACTGATTTAACTTTTCCAAAATAAAGCAATGAACTTCCTTTTTGCCTGTACAATGCCTTACTGTAAAGTAAAGTAAAGCCTTTATACAGGCACAAGTGGCCCATGGGGCTGGCGCTTGGCTCTGGTTTCCGACTTGGCATGAAGCGGCTAGGAGTATTGCTACTCCCCCCTGGATGGGATGCTAGTTCATCCCGGGGTTACCCCCAGCATATTTGCTGGTACCCATTTGTACACCTGGGTGAAGAGAAGCACTGTGAGAGTAAAGTGTCTTGCCTAAGAACACGACACAATGACCCAGCCAGGGCTCAAACCCAGACCACCACAATGCCTTAATGTGATTGGAGATAAATCATTGAAAATTGTTTTACAATTAAGTCAATTGTCTCTGTCTTTAGTTGTATGTCACTAATGATCTAGGGAAACATGAAACGAAGTTATAAGTGTACATTTAACTCTCAGTGTAGTAAGGCATTTTCTGGATAATTTCTAAGTTAATTTCTCTCCTTAGTATGCCTTTTAAGTTACATACCAGATTGTCACCCTTATTGACTACAGTTATCTGAATAGCGCATCCTTCTGCAAAATGGACACATAGTCTTCCTTATGGTTCAATATTGTTTTGTTGCTTTGTTTATTTATTTTTTGAAGAATGAAGCTTCAAAGGTGTGACAGAATTCATGATTCATATATCTAAATTCTTCATTCACTTGGATGTTTATTTGTACCCAATTCATTGACCAGCTCCCAGTTGGCTTGTTAGCTCAATTGGTAGAGCGCTGCACCGGTATCGCAGAGGTCATGGGTTCAAATCCCGTACGGGCCTGAATTTTTTTTCAGGTCCTATTTACAACTACTAGTTTCAGTAGTGTTCTTAGCTGCGAGGATCTTCTAATTTCATCTCTCCACCGCAGTGCAAATATGTGAATTTTCATATATCTAAATTCTTCATGATGTAACTGTTACAATTGGTCTCATTTAGGGCTGTTACTGTAGAAAACTGTCACAACTCCACAATTGTTCTTGGGGTGGCAAACACAGCTGTTAATATCATTGGTTGCTGTAATTGTACGTTCTATGTCGTCTGTGAAAGAATCTCATTCAGGTTTGTTGTCAGTGATGTTGAAACGAAATGGTCGTAATTAATCAACTTGGTGAACCAGTCAGATATGTAGCAATGGTTGCATGCATCACAAAGTCAAAAAGATCAACTACAGACCAGAGACCAGAGATTTGAGCCATTACCCCTCTGCTTATGGTCAGTAAACGAAAGAGGGAAACTTAGAAACTTTGAGGGAAAACTAAAAACTTGAATTAAGTTTCTGTCAGCATGAAGTGACAATTCATTAACCTTGTTATTATTGTTTTGTTTCAGTGGCTGTAGTGACTGTTCTTTTCATCTTTGCACGCCGACCAAACCAGTTATTCTTCCAGGAAATGAAAAGTTAGTTCTTGCGCCATATCACACTTACTACCCTACCCTGGAAGAACATTTACGTGGCCCCTGGGGGATTCCCATTGAGCCAAACTTGTGGAATGATCCTCTTGTACTTGGTAAGAACCGATTGGGTGCATGGGGAAGGTGAAAAGTTGTCATATAATGGACTCGGTTATGGTAAAGTTTTGTTTACCTTATAGCCGATCCATCACTTAATTTTTGAGTTACATTGTTTTGTTACATTTGTTTTGTTTTTCAGCATCTGATCGAGGTGAAGGCTCATCACCCGTATATCGTGAACTGTCGCCCACAGACTTTTTCACGTTCACAATTCCGTTCTCTATGAAGGGATCTACAGATGTAAGCATCACAGAATAATTTTAGTTAATAACAGCACCAAAACCAAAGTAATCACAATCGAGAAAACTAAAAACGAGCAAATATTCCCCACAAAATTTTTAAAAGGGCTTGAATTATAGCTTTGGGCTGGAAAACGCGCGTGAACAAGTCACAATTAGGTTTTGTTGGGAAGCAAGGTTTTCATTGATCAGTAAATGTAGCAACAGGAGAATGGTGTAAAGTAACAGGAGATATTATTTACGTTTGAATAAAAAGTAACTCAGACCATCGACATTTAGCCATAGAAATGTGCGTAATAGCTTAAGTATTCTCTGGTCCCTAATGCAGAAGAATACCTTATAGGTATCTGTTTGGTTGACGGGTTTCCCAAATTTTATTCAGCAATCAAACTGAGCTATGTTTTGGTAATAGTTTGAAGATTTCCCTTAAATGTAACAGTGAAACTATTGGGTTTCTTTACGTTTTGCCTCATTTTCTTGGCCCACAATAAATACCATTTTATAAAATGAATGTCAACTGGCTGGATCATATGTTCGATTATATGCATAATCGAACTGTGTGGTTTTATTTCAGGGACCACCGATTCCTCTTCCGAAAAAATACGAGAAAGCTTTGAAAGACAGAGAAAGGTAAGCAGAAAAGTTCCAAGTTGAAAGCGGAAATACGTTAAGCTCTCTGTGCTTCTTTTTTTTGTCTTTTTTTGAGCCTGTTACTTGTTTTATTTTTGTTTTCATTTGTTTATCATCGTCGTCATCGTCATGATTATGATGTCGATAGTATCGTTGTTGTTATTTTTCCTGGGCTATGTCGATTTGTCGTGGCAACTCATGTTACGTGTTTGTGATGAGGTATATTTTTCCGTGCCTCATTCGTTATTTGTATCCACACAAGTAGCACTGGCTACTTTTCCTCACACTTGTCACTAGTTCTTTGCTCATTCATTTTTATGTTACTATCGGTTTTTCTTTTAATTTTGTGTCATTAGCGATTGATGACTTATTTTCGTGCCTCTCCTCACTCATTTCCAGCGTTTGCGCATTTTAAGTGCCGTGTTGTTACCTTCCTCTAACCTCGTAATTATAATTTACTTTCTAAAGAGTTTTTTGTTCTTGTTGAACTTATCCATTTTCGTTATGATTATCATCTAATTGTTGTCACTGAGTTGGTTGATTGTATTTTGACAAAAAGTAATTTTTTAAACTTTAGTTTTGTTTTTGCTTGTATGTTTGGCAGAGCTATTAATAACTGGTATCAATTGGTAAAAACATCATCACTCACTAAACCGCAGAGGAGACAGCTACAAAAGGATGTACAAGATAGATTCCAGGTAAGGAACGAGAAACCGTGTTTACTGCACTACTGTAGAAATAAACTTGAGATGGACTGGAATCTAGTGAAGGGGAGAGGAAGTAGTAAATACTGTCAGGGACTTCATGCGGTAAACTGGGTTCATTCCGCACTGCAAGCCAACATCGATATGTTTTTCACGGATAATTTTTTTAACTCGTGCGACGGACTTCGCCGAATGTAGGAGGGACTGCTCGTAGTCTCGGAGCTTCTGGTTCTAAAGCGGACTAAACCGTATTTTCACTTTTTCACAGACACTTCCTCTGTTCATTGTTAGCTATTTTGATAATTTTTATGCTAAATAAAGTGAATCAGCTAACTCCGTTGTCACTGGAGTCCGTGTGAATTTTCACTATTGATTTTAGTTCAACAATTTCCCTTTCTGCAGGAATGGCTGGCGGAAAGTGGACACGCCACTCAATTAAATGGTCTTGTACCTCCCCATTCAGGAAAGTCTTGAGAAATCAAGGAAACTGGCAATTTGTTGGTAACAGAATTAAATATTTTAGGCAAGGAAGTTAAGAATTCACCGCCTCAGTCAAGAAAACCATCAGATCTGAACCGGAGAGATTAATATGATGGTTCCCATACAACTCTGGTGGAGTGAATGGTTTAGCTATGACTACATTCATGTAGCAGCAGAGAAGTGGAATCCATCTATGATGGCCAGCCTCAAGATTTTTTATGGCATTCATACAAGAGCACTCAAAACAGAGCTCAAAACATATCTGAGCATCTGTATGCTTCAAGTTACCACGACGAACATTGAAACCATACTTCTTGTAACAGGAATTGTAGCTAGATAGGATTAAACATTTATAACACGTTTATTGTGCGAAGTCGTTTCCGTCTTGACTCAAACGAGTTTATAACAAGAACCGGCGGAAAATGGAGACTTGCCATTATGGGTTGATAATTTCGATTAAGAAAAAAACACAGCTTGGTTGTTATCGGTGTCAGTCGCCCGCCAATTTAAGGCCTTCGTTTGCATTTGCAGACCCATATGGAAAGTGTGATTAGAAATTGAACGTCGGTTATGTAACAGAAATAAGGATATCAGTTGAAAAAGATAAGTTATTCTTTGTTTAATGAATGTAATGAGGAACGTCACATAACTGATAAAGAAAAAAAGAAATCTTCAAACTATATGATCTTTTGTTTTATTGTAGTTAGATCTATAATGAGATCTCGCTATGATAAAAATCTTTTTATTTGGTATTTTGGTTTGTTGTTTTGTGTTTGTTCTTTGACGCCATCTTCATAGCACAGATACACCCATACCAACCCTGTATCTGTGCTCGTGAATAAGGTTCTGAGCAGTGGCTGTCGCTTGCTCTTTGGAATACCTGTCTTAATGAAAATATTCGAACATGTGACATTACTTTCACTTCCCACGAAAATCAAATCTCGATTTTCCACCTTCCAGTCTGTGTGAGACTCGTTCAACAGAAATGATCACAAAATCTGCCCGGAGCGAAAAGCGGCAGTCTAAATAGGGAAACTTGCTGTGTTTTGTAAACTTTCGCCGTTATGTTTTCGCTCGGCCTATTTGTTTGTTTGTTTGGTTTTTTTTTATCGCTGACGGTGAGCTTGAGGTTTTCCGTGAATCATTAGTAGTAAAAGCTGTCAGTCGCCCGCCAATTTAAGGCCTTCGTTTGCATTTGCAGACCCATATGGAAAGTGTGATTAGAAATTGAACGTCGGTTATGTAACAGAAATAAGGATATCAGTTGAAGAAGATTAGTTATTCTTTGTTTAATGAATGTTATGAGGAACGTCACATAACTGATAAAGAAAAAAAGAAATCTTCAAACTATATGATATTTTGTTTTATTGTAGTTAGATCTATAATGAGATCTCGCTATGATAAAAATCTTTTTATTTGGTATTTTGGTTTGTTGTTTTGTGTTTGTTCTTTGACGCCATCTTCATAGCACAGATACACCCATACCAACCCTGTATCTGTGCTCGTGAATAAGGTTCTGAGCAGTGGCTGTCGTTTGCTCTTTGGAATACCTGTCTTAATGAAAATATTCGAACATGTGACATTACTTTCACTTCCCACGAAAATCAAATCTCGATTTTCCACCTTCCAGTCTGTGTGAGACTCGTTCAACAGAAATGATCACAAAATCTGCCCGGAGCGAAAAGCGGCAGTCTAAATAGGGAAACTTGCTGTGTTTTGTAAACTTTCGCCGTTATGTTTTCGCTCGGCCTATTTGTTTGTTTGTTTGTTTTTTTTTATCGCTGACGGTGAGCTTGAGGTTTTCCGTGAATCATTAGTGGTAAAAGCTGGGAAATTCGTGAGGAAATTTATGAGGTTAGTTATTCCAGAGGAATGCAAGGAACTTCAGCGATGATTATTTTTTATAAAATAATTCAAATAGTACGCGCTCTGATTGGCCATAAAACCATTTTACATGAGCGTATGTAAACACGGTTTTCGTTCCTGTTTTATTGGTTATTTTATCAAAGAAATGTAAAATGGTTTCCGTGTTTACATAGCCTGATGTAAACACTTGGGAGGTTGGTAGAACACTCGATAAGCTGGAAACCACTCCGCTTCTCGTCGTGGTTACCTACGCTTATCTCGTGTTCTCCCAACCTCCCGCGTGTTTACATCAGGCTATGTAAACACGGAAACCATTTTACATTTCTTCACTGATAATCACTGAGAGGATGACTCACTGGAATTAGTTTAGTAATGGCCAAGCACTCAACCCTCTATAGTGAATGTCTTTTTCGAGGAAACTTGTGCCCAGTTGTATAAAGAGCGGATAACGCTATCCAACAGATAAGTAATAGCAAAACGTGTAGTGTTACCCACCGGATAAAGATTTATCCGGTGGATAGCGCTATCCGATCTTCGAACAACCTGGGCCTGATTAAAATACTAGCCAATCAAGGACGTTATTTAAGCATATTAACCGAAAACTAGACTCATCATAATGATTGCCTTTTTTCCGAGAAAACCTTATTGAAATGTTAGCCAATCACTTGATTTATCCATAACCAAATACCAGACCATTTACGATGATTGCCTTTTTCCGGGAAAATTCGGTTGAAATATTGGCCAATCACTGGACTTTATTTAACAAAAGGCGAGCACGGAGGCTTATAAAGTGGTTGTCTTTCCGAGAAACTCGACTTGTTTACTTGCCAACAGACGTTATTGTGAATATATCAAACTCTTCTAACTTGTAAAGATAGTTACCGAACTAAGAAAATGGCTTCTTACATGGATGAACCGAGTACGAAGAAGCAGCGTTTGAATCCAGAAGAGTCACAGCTCGAAGGTCAGTCACACTCCAGAAATATTACGCTAGACATGGCAAAATATGACGAGTGGGTTCGTAAACTATCAGATGAAGAACTTGTCAACATATTTGAGCTGGGAGTCGCAGTGAAAGAATCCGTTACCCTCACAGTGGATGTTAATCAAAAGTTTATGAAGGAGACGCTGTCTTCTCAGATGGAACCGATCCAACAACGCGTTTCCGACATCGAGAAAGAAATAAAGGCCCAGGTGGAAACTGTGAAAGATAACGTCAGCAAAGATGTGAAAGCACTGACAGGCGATTTGAAAACGGATATACAGAATGCACTCGCTCCGAAGATAAAAGAAATTACAGGTACAATGAACAACGTTGAAAAGAATGTAAATGATCAAGTGCTGAAGGTGCAAAAGGAATTAACAACTAAAGTCTGTGAAGGCATTGAGGGAATGACGAGCAATGTGCTTAGTTTCAAAACCGACTTAAGCAAAGGCATTGAGAAAATCGGAGGAACATTAAAGACAGACGTAGACGAGATTGCCGCAAGAGTTCCTGCACTCAACACATTAGAAACGAGGATCAAGGATTCTGAAACCCGTATCACTAAATCATTGGAAAAGCATGGAGAAAAACTGGATTTGATATCAACCGCTTTACAAAATCCACAGAAGAAAGGAGCTCGGGCTGAGAAAGACGTACTTGAGATTCTCAACCAAAACCTTCGCAGAAGTAACTTCACCTTCAGAGACGTTACCCGTGAGAAGGGGAAAGGAGATATAGAGGCAGATACCCCTGATGGTCACAAAATCATGATTGAAATAAAGAGCTGGGAGAATACTGTGAGTAAAGATGCGATTGAAACGTTTGAGGGAAACCTTGCGAGGCTTCCTCATTTTAGAGTTGGCATCTTACTTTCGATGAAGAGTGGCATCGCCAACCGATCTAAAAGAAGTGAATTTGAAGTTTTGTTTAATGATGATCGAAAGCAATACATGATCTACGTTCCAAATGCCCTTTACGAGGAGTATGTGATTGTGTGGAGTGTCTTGATGGCCAGTCAATTGGCAAACATGCAGGTTGGGGAGCTTGGAGAAAAGAAGACCCAAGGCCTGCGGAAGTTCTACGAGGAGTTTCAAAAAAATGCACAGTACAGTAAGAAAAGCAGAGCAGACCTTCAGGCTCTAAGGGTGTTAGTACAGCAGCTAGAAGGAAACGTCGTTCCCATCCTCGATACTGTCGACAAAGCGACAAAAGATCTCAACAAACTGTTAAATTGAAATCAAAAGCGTATTTTCGAATTTAGACACTGTCAATTAGAGAACTGACTGCGAATCATCGTAATATCTTATTTTTTTTATAAAATCTTTCATAATATCTAAAACTTCAGCTAAAAAGATTACTCAGGCAACAAAAGTTATTATCTCAGCTTAATTTAAGAAGTTTCAAGATCTTTACTAGCATCAAGACTTACTAGGTGTTCTGGTCCTTCGAACCCTGTTCCATTGGCTTGCTCCCCACAACAAACGAGACGTATGTCTTCATCATTAGTGTAACCAGATTTATTCAAAGCAAAATTTCGTGGTGAAACGAGAAAGCGTTTTCACCTGCGAGCACACAATTACAATCCCCGACAATAGCATGGAAAATCAACACCCTAATACCTTGCGATGAAATACAATGCTTAACTGTGTTTGTGACGCTAGACGCGTGACACGTGTGACAGAACAATAAGGTCGAGAGACATAGCGGCTTACATATTTCTGGTGGATGATCATTGCTCTGGGAGTTATTTAACGCGGAAGAGGCATTTAATCACGATTATCAGGGCAGCCGGAGTGCAGAGTCATTACTTCGTCTCCTCAACCCTGAAAGCTCTGTTGCACCATTCACAACACTATTTCGGTCGAGTAATTTCTGTGACATTGAACACCAAACTTCTGTAATACCGTTAACAGGAAGATTAATTAGAAATTGGGCGTGTAAGGAAATCAGAAGAGGCCATACAATCCGTTGAATATGAAAAAGCCTGCCACTGCACTTTTTAGTTTACAGTTTGAGTGATTTATCTATTATCAATACTTGTGTTTCGGCAGTGTACCAGACGCTGCTGTTAGTGAACACATTCAACGGTATTCAGTGGGGCTGAAGCGAAGAGCTGTTTTAATTTTGTGTTGTCGTTTACTAGGGCCACAAGGTAAATTTGACTATATTTGTTTGCCACCCACGCTTTTACTAGTGTAGTGTTTTTCTTCTGTCTCTTAGCCTTCCGCAAAGAAGGGACAGAGCGGTCCGCGATTTCAAATAAGTTGTTTACTGTACAACTTGTTCTTTCATTCTAGCTTCACCGATTCAAATGATTTTGAAATCGTGCCCGATGAATCTTGATTGGATGTATTTTGGATAAAATGGTTAAAATCTTGATGATATTTACGTTCTATGGAAGTGATTAATGTACCAGTCACCATAAAAAACACCGAGAGGTGATTCTAGATGTCCTAGCAAATGCCTGACGGATAGTACCCTTCTTTGGCGTACTTGTGTCGATATGGTAAATGTAAATGAAGCAGCAGGAGAATGGTGTAAAGTAACTCAGGCCATCGAAATTTAGCGGTAGAAATGTGCGTAATAGCTGGAGTATTCTCTGATCCCCAATGCAAAAGGAATACCATGTAATATTTTGCGATAAGATACCTATCTTATCGCAAAATATCAAACTAGTAAGGTAATGTTTACTAGCATCAAAAGAAGTGCATCTTTTTGGAAGTAGTGCAAAATTTGGTGAACCCAGACTTTTGCATGAGAGTGTGAAGAAAATCAGATTCAATGAAAGAAGGATACACTGCTGGCGCAAGAAGCAGTGGGGAACTGGAGAGTTTAAATTTTAGCATGATCTTTGGAGTACTCCCTTACTAACGCCCTTCACTTCGAATTTAATTCAACGTTTCCTCGGGCTTCCGCCCTTCGTTTACCGGCCTGGCAGTAATTAAGGGGTATAGGACTGAAATATTATGGGTCACCAATCAAAACTTAAAGAAGCCTATGTGGCCCTGTATTCTAAAGTAGAGCAACATTTTGTCTTTTGTTTGTTTTTTTGTTTTGTTTGTTTGTTTGTTTTTTTGTTTTAATCAAACGCCCCGCTTTTGCTTAATCCGTAACAAGTGGGTAGCCAAAATGGTTCTCAGTTGCTGCTATCTTGGTGTTGAAATGTTCTTTGTTATTCACCTCCGAAGTGGCCAATCAGTGAGCTTGGAAATTGCTCCGTGCACTCGTGTGCTCTTGCGTAGTGAAAACAATGTCATGGTGTTATTTTACACTTAAAGTTTCATGACACAATTGAGACGAAAGTACAATTTTCTTTATTTCATCACCGAGCTAAAAAATTACCATCCCTCTTGATGTGTTAACGCATAACTGATCCTTGCTGGACGAGTGTCACATATGAACCTCATTGTGGCATGGCTTACTTTAGAGAGTCTCTGAAGCTCAAAGATAGAGTAAAGAATGTCTTGCGTTTAACCCTTTACAACCTAACATCAGTATTCATATTCTCCATACTGTTCTCTGTACATTAACTATGGTGCTGACAAGGAGAATTCGTCTAACAATAAAGAATTTCACTAGTTTGTGATCATTTCCTTTATTCTCGTGACATTAATGTGTAATTCAGTAGTGGATGTAATGCTAATCGATTGGATTCCCGGTACAGTAAACATAGCGTGATCTCATATCTCAGTGGAAAACCACATTATGACGTGCTTACGTAAGCGGTCTGAGCTTTCTATGGTCGGTTATTTTCCATACGACATTGTGGATAATGGAAGTTTTACTTGGATTTAAATGCTCATCTTTGAGTCCAACGTGTTTTGATGATCTCGAAACTCCGTTGAATTTCACGTTAAATATTTCTTTGCTCATCACTTGTTCCTGAGACTCAGTACTTTTACTGTTCTGTATCAAGTATTTTTCCAGAGGCCTGGGTATGAGTGTATGTCTCGCGGATAAAATGAATGTGTCGGCCGAAAGTTATATCACTTCACCGTCGCTTTTCAACTTCTCTTGTACGCCAGCTGATAATCAGTAGTAAATCTAAACGATATTTATCCACAATGGTAATTCAGCAAGCGAAACAAGTGTGGAAAAAGGCGGACGCTGTCTGTTTTGACGTGGATAGTACAGTCATAACGGACGAGGGCATCGATGAACTTGCCGCATTTTGCGGAAAAGGGAAAGAAGTATCACAATGGTACGTTGTCATGCAATTATTTCAATTTATCAGAACTTCTCTTCGATAGTATACCGTTTATAGGAAAGTATTTGGTCCCTTAATATCCCGGTAAGGTCTACTTTTAATCGGGATGATGTAACAAAACAGTATTTACATAAATCGTTATCTAGCCGCCAGCGAGAAATAGGAGCGCCTAAATGTTTCTTTCGCCCCAAAATTTTAGTCTTTTAAAGGTGTTTAAGGTGAAATGCTAGTGTAAGATCCTTAAATTTAATCAGAAACGTCTCTGTGTGGGTGATTCGGGAATAAACTTTTAACGTTGTATTATCAACTGGAGATTCATCCATCTTCCATACTAAGTTAATCGATGGGGTCCACCTACGGAAACATGTGAAAAGAAGGCTAAGTTTGATTAAGTATGGCTTAAAATCGATCGTTCTCTTAATTTCGGTGTAGAGAAAAAAATGACTCGTTTATTCGGTGAGGTCTATTTCGGCTCCATCCCACGGCTGGGCAAACCCAGCACGCTTTGTTCACGTGAGACTGTCACACGAGGGAACGTAACACTGTGTTACTTTATCACGTTGCTACCGACCTTTGGACATTGTGACAGAAACTCGTACCAGGCCACTCGTTCCACAAATGGAAAAGCCTTTCCTAAAGACACCTCAGGTAATTTTTTGGTTAGTAAAAATATCCCAGTTTTGAGAAAATATATCTACATGAGGATATTTTGAATAGATGCAAGGCTTTCTTGGCTGAATTCTGTGTTTTCCATAGTGTTCTATTGGAACAATATTCACCTGTTGGCAAGAAAAGTCATCTATCAACCAATCAAGTTTTTTGGGGAGAAAACATCTTAAATGTGCATCCATGTTGTCTCGTTTTTGTTACTGTTAGTATTTCCACTACACTTGAAAACATGAAATTTTTTTATTTGTGATTGACAATTTTGGAATAGTTATGCAAATGATGTGTTATTCAGGCATTTTCAGATGTATTTAAAATTTTTTGTGATATTGGAAACCAAGTGATAATTTTTGTTATTAAGTTATGCAAGGTAAGGTATTTGTCATTTTGGAAAGACCTAGAACTGGCAGTTTTGGAATATTTTTTTAGGGAGATGTGACAGTGAACTATTTTTGATGTTAATAGTTCGAGTCTTAATCTTTGATCAGAACCTGTAAAAATGTAACTCCTTTAAACAACGAGATAACTCTACCACTGTATGCATTTGTTGAAGGGACTATAATCACATTCATTTGTGACCCTTGCATCAATCATATGTTTTCTATGTTTTGTGAATATGCTGAGGTATTTAAGCTCTAAACTTCCCCTTCGATGAAAATTGTGTTATGACCTATTAATTAAAATGCCAACAAATGAAAAAGCTTGCTCTAAAAATCCTATTTTCATGAATTTATTAGAAATGTCTCGTTTTCAATTAAAATGTGGCATAAACCCTCAGTAGCTTGTCTCTCACCCTACATGTTCATGGCTTTTTTTTATGCATTCATTGGTGTATTGCTTGTTTAGTGTCTTGAACCTTTTTGCAGGTTCATGGTTTTCACTTTTGAAGGTAACAGATTTCTGATTCACGATTTCAATGTTAATCCCTTTGCAGGACTACTAGAGCAATGGGAGGGGGTATTCCATTCAGAACAGCACTTAGGGAGAGACTGGGAATTATTAATGCATCAAGAGAGAAGGTTTGTTCAACGTGTTAAGTTATGGAAAAAGAAAGCAAGAGATTATCACTTTTCCTTATGAACTTCAAAGAAGTTCTTGTACACTTTTCCATTTCTCATTTCACTTGATTTTAAGAATTTTTTATTTATATTCTGTGGTAATCTTGACCAGTGTAAACCGTCATCATTCCTATTTGGTGTCTGTTTTCCCTATCCAAGTAATTTCTGTGGTTAATTGCTGGGTTTTTTTTGTGATTTTCCATGATACCATTAGTGGCTGTGGAAAATGTGAAGAAGCTCCTTCTCATTTCTGTATTATAAACCTTGAAATACAAGATTGATCTTACATGGCTATTTTTTTCTTTTTTTGTTTTGTTTTTTTCCAGCTTCATGAGTTCATAGAGAGAAATCCTGTCCATCTCACACCAGGAATAAGGTACATTTAAGAAGTTTTTTACTAGGACAGTTTTGACTAAGTATATTGATTCCTCACCCATAAATGTAGGTGCCTCTTTGTTTGGAGCACTAATGATGATGTGAATGTTTTGTTGAATCTTTGATTTTATTTGAGACTTATTGTATGTAAAGTTAACTATATGATTATGATTTAATTTTAGGGAGCTAGTGAATAGGCTTCAGGAACAGGGTACTGCAGTTTACCTTGTATCTGGTGGATTTAGAAGAGTTATCCAGCGTGCTGCAGAACAACTTGATATACCAGATGAAAATATATTTGCCAATAGACTGCAGTTTGATGATGAAGGTACTGTTTGGTTCTTTATTTTTTCTTTTTGTTTTTTCTTAAGTTCAGTATTAATTGGTGATCTTACCCTGCTCGTGGCTAAATATTGGAAAATATTATTTAGACACCTCTTAATTCCAGCATAGAAGTTAAATGTAACATTACAATTGACATCTATATCAGCCTGCTAACCCATGTATCTAGGCTACTTTTCCTTCCCTCCATTCCCCCTTCCCAGCAAATGGTTAAGTTTTCTTGAAAGTTAGTTAGCTAGTACTCAATTGTACTCTTATGACCCATATGTAGCAAAGTAGTCTCAACAATGATTGTAACTTTTCTGGTGATAAAAATGATATATGGTTTATTGAGGTAAATGAAAGTGTAATGAGCTGTGGTCAGATTTGGTGGCTTATGTCTTAGAAATACAAAGAGTCGCCAGAAATCTGCAAGTGAAAGGGTTAAAGGGGTTACTTAAGGTACAATATCTTGGTGTTTTCTTTGATTTAAAGAATCTGGATTTCTTCTTACTAGGGCATTACAACGGCTTTGATGAAAATGAGCCCACCTCAGATTCTGGAGGGAAGACCAGAGTACTAAAGCTTTTGAAAGAAAAGTATGGATACAAAAGGTAAAAACAGTATGCTTGAATGATACAGCTGTTGGTCCTAGTGTGCAAAAGGGCAGCAACTTCTTCAAAAGCAATTTCATTGGAGGCCAGAGTGGGAATAAAAATTAATTGTGGTACTTTTGAAAAGTTTGAGCTTAGTTTGGGAGTGAAGACAGTGAATGGGAAAGTTTCTATGCTTGTACATTAGTTGTAGATGGTGTGACATGTACTTCATGCAAACTCCTTGTTCCAATTAGGACTTGATACATTGTCAGTTAACTTAACCTTAAACATAGGCAACTTTTTCGCAAGTCAGTGAGAAACAGTATCAGAACAAATCAGTTGTATTTTTTTTGTCTCTAACATTTCCTCTCATCAAACTTTGATCTGTTGGCTTTCAGTTTGGTTATGATTGGTGATGGGGCTACAGACCTAGAGACATTTCCATCTGCAGCTGTGAGTACCAGTTTGTTGTTGTTATTGTTTTTACATGATATATTATTATTTTTCAAGTGAATAGTTAGTTAAGTAAGATTAAGACTCTGGTTGTTTGCAAGCTGGTATGTAGTGTTATCAATGGGACAAATCGCCTTCTGCTCCTTGAGAATTGGTTAGACATGGGGAATGGAGAACTGAATCACTGAAATAAGTGAATCATATCAATATTGACCATTTGAACAACTAAGATGAGGCAAATAATGAAGATTTGGTTTATTTTTGTAATGCATGGTAGAGAGACACGATAACTTGAGTAGAGGATGTTCATGGTTTATTTTTAAATTACAGTTATGTAGTGCTGATATTTATTCAACTTGTTAAACTTTTCAGGACACATTTATTGGCTTTGGTGGTAATGTTGTGAGAGAAAAGGTGAAGGCACATGCTCCATGGTATGTGACTGACTTTAAAGAGCTTTTAAAAGAGCTAAACCCATCCTCTCAAAATGGAGCAACTGAAAATGGAGCATCAGAACATCTAATGAATGGATTGAATGGAGCAAGTGAACATGTAATCTCTGGAGTAAATAGCAAACACTACATTTGAAGGAAGCAATGCAATGAACAGATCTGTCAGGACACAGGATTAATTTTCATTTGAGAGACATTTTAATTATATACCACAATCCATTGCATCATCCATTGTGTGCTGACTTTTACATATCAATGATATAAATAATTATTTATTGACAGTACAAAATAAATGAATCTCATGAGAGGGTTTTAAATCAAAGAAATTATTTTCAATTCACAACAGTGTTCAAAAATTTTCAGCAGACATTGTGGCCTCAAGATTATGGCTGTACAGTCAACCAACCCAAGAAATCTTTTTATAATTTGAGGTTTCTTCAGAACACTAGAGTTATGGTCTTACCACTTCTGTTGAACATGAACTGTTTTTTCCTACACAGCGTTGCAAAATATAACTCGATGTCTCTACTAATGTTATGCTATTTTCAAGTGGTACAGTATTTCTCGGCAAATGTAAAGCTGTTTCTTTTGAAAGCTAATATATCTCTTTTGTAAATGTTGTGATCTGCTTGTTATTTGAGATTGAGAGTGACATAAACAAAAACAACTTTGATATTAATCATTTTAGCAACTTTGCACGCACAGTGCATGTCCTCAGATAAAAGCAATAGCTTTGGGTACATTAGGAACATGTTTGATAAAAATTCCTAGTTGGGTATTCTTTGTCATATCTGATTGATGGAGATGGATGGTTGGGGTCAAACAACTTTTTGAAACTTTGAACTGCGGTTTCGCGGTTGTCTACTGTGAAATAACTTATGATCCTTGCAGTCTGATTGGTTCTCACGGGTGCAAGCCAAATCGCACCATTTTATGCTCTAAATAGCATCTTTACCAGCCAACGAGATGGCTTTACTAAAACAACCGATCAAATTTTAAGGGTTGTTTAAAGAAATCAATCAAATTGCAGGAAAATGAGGGCAACTTTTAAAACTTTTCACCAACTAGCTAAATATACTAGGTCAATAGGATATTTGTGCGGACTTGTATTGCGTGCAACTGAATTTTGGAAAGTAGTGTTAGAACTCGTTATCCCAGATTAAGAAAAGGCCTGAAACAATATTGGTTTGAGAACTTTCATTTTTTCAGTGTTAAGCAATGAAGAAAATATTTACATGGCATGCTTCTTGAGCTTGAAACAACTAGGGCCAGTTATTTTAACGAAGTTTATCTCTTGTTAAACAAAAACGCGTCCTAAATTACCTTCAATTTTGTCGAACCTTTCATCTGAACATTTATTTTTGAGAACAGTGTAGAGAGGGCCGATAGCTAACAGTAGAGATAACATTTATTTGATTATATAAACCCTCTCGCAAAGATTACCAGAAGCCTACTGCTTCTGTAAGACCGCGATTTGGGTTAGACCTTGTGTAAATAACCGGCCTCTTCAGTTTTTGAAAACGTAATCAATTTTATTCAAAGCTCGAGTGGAGAAAATTTCACCATGACAGGTTCAAAGTCCCAGGCGTCAGGATGTCCCATAGGCCTTTTCCAGCCCGACGTGCTCCATTTAAAGATAGGCTGCTGGTCATGTGTGGGACCGCTGACCGCCATACACGACAGTGATTTGTTGAATAGGTCATAACTGGTCACCTAAATCGGCAAAGGGAACTTAATATGGATTCACGTCATGGATTTGTATGAAAAGTTGCACCGTAAATTTTGTTTGATCGGAGGCTCATTTTTTCCTTTTAACGGTAAATACAGCGCACAGCGAAGGGAATTTTGTAATTTGGAGGTTCAATCCGGCTTCTTGGAACAGCTATCTGGGAACAGTGAAAACTGAGATGTGGAAAAAACTTGAGGGTGAATATAACGGGTACATAGATGGATATTAAATGATAAGAATGGAGTAGAGAGAGAAATTTATATTGTATTTTTTTAGGGAAATACACCGGTAACATTTTCTCTTTCTTCCGAGAGAACTCCTAAGCAAAGGGAGACCTGATCTTACCTTGCAGTCTGTGCCTCCATGGTTTCTGTGGCCTAAAAAACTGAAAGGATAAGAGCCATTTGCAGGATTGAGGTCGGAGCGGGCTGATATAGCATTCTCAGCACTGTACGGAGGTGAACAGGAACACTTGGACAGATTGTCGTATTTGTAATCGTTATATCTGGAATAATGATCCGGATCGTTAACAAAACGTTCATTACTTATATTAAAGCTGCGCAACCTCTTTTTCGGGCGGGGGAGGAGCTAAGGAGCAAAATTGTGACTTAAATTGATTTAAAATCACAGAATGCATCAGCTTAATCGTTTCACTCATTACTGTCTCCTATACAATTCTTAGAACCAATAAGCAGTAAGCTTTTTAGCAATAACCCTTTTTACAATATTGATTCTTATGACGTTAGTTCGGTGAACTAAGTATTGGTGAAAAGGTAAAAAACGAGTCGTTTCGCTAACGACCAGTTCATTAACGTCTTATATCGTTTCGCCAACGTCTCAGGTCAGTCCCATCCCATAAGTTATCTCGCTAACGCACAACAAAAAATTTAGTGATTCCATCAGCAGAAATTGATCGCCTTCTAATCGACCGTCGATTCGATATATGCAAGGTCGAATTGATACGACTCAAGTCACTGGAATACAAAGAAAAAAAAAGTAAAGCCTTTATACAGGCCTAAGTGGCCCGCGCTTAAATCCGGTTCATTAGCATGGAGCGGCTAGGAGTGTTGTTACTCCCCCCTGGATGGGATGCTAGTCCATCGCAGGGTTACCCCCAGCAAATTTGCTGGAATCCATTTGTATACCTGGGTGAAGAGAAGCACTGTGAGAGTAAAGTGTCCTGCCTAAGAACACAACATAATGACCATGGCCAGGGCTCGAACCCGGACTACTCGATCCGGAGTCGAGCGCACTAACCATGAAGCCACCGCGCCTCCACACAAAATTCAAAGTTAAGGTTTAATTTGGAGGTTTCATTCGTCTATGGTGCAATAAACCAACGGCAAAACATTTCATTTGTAGCACCTTCGAAGAAAACAAAACTAAGAAGAGACGTTGGTAAAAATAATTTAAAATGTTAGCGAACTGACCTGAGACGTTGGCGAAACGACCTAAGATGTTAGCGAACTGGTAGTTAGCAAAACGACTCGAAGGCGAAACGACCATTTACAGGCATACCTCATTAACGTTATGAAGCCACTCAAGTCGTTCACTTTTCCTTGGTCCCTTTTGAAGATTTGAGCTCGTGGGTTCAAATGATAATCAAACCATGAACCGTATTTCTTGACATTCTCTGGTTGGCCACTTAAGTTGTAGATTTCAGGGAAGTATCTATGAAGGAAACAAAACGGATTTCACTGGGAACCAAAACATCTACTTTTCTGTTTCTGTCTGGGGGAGGGGGGTGGGGGTATCAGTCAAAGGGTAAATCATACTAACGGTAGATTGTAGCTTGCCCAGTATCGCTCGTTGTCGAGGATTTCGGACATGTCCGCCATCATAACAGTTCCTGGTAGTTGCTCAAGAACCCAGAATGTATCGGGCGCAAGCGGTTGATTCGGGACAAACTGCTTATAGTTCACGACCATCCACTGGAAGAAAAACCAACGAACAAAAGGAAACAGAAAAAAAAATTCGTATAAGTATAAGAGAGTGACACCAAAACAGTTTAGGAACAAGCTCAGTGGAACTAGTCCCAGCAAGAGAATATAGCTTTTTTCTCTTAATCCTAGTTGGAGTTTTTGAGCACAAGACTTCAAACAGATCAATAGTTTTCATCTCACACGTTTTAACCACGGGTTAAACTATGTAGGGTTAACTGAATTACACCAAAAATGCTCGTAGAATTGACCCCCTGACTTCAAATACTGTATATCTATTTCAAGTTCAATGTAGGGTTCAATTCATCAGTGGACTGATATCACATGGATCAAGAAGCAACGCAAGATTTTATTAGGTGTTTTTCTTTGGTGTAGCAGCGTCTTATGTATACCTTAGTGACATTAGTTAACCCTTAACTCTCGTGAGTGACCAAGACAGAATTTCTCCCTACAATATCCGTAAAAATTTCAAGCAGACAAGTGATGAGAATAAAAAGAGAAATATCAATTAGTGTATTATCGGTTGATCCAGTAACAAATTCTCAGAACTAAAACCATAGGAATTGAACAGCAGTCAGTAAGGAGAATTACTAATGAGATGTGTCAAACTCGTGAAGTTTTTTTAAAATCTTACCTGGTTATTGTAGCTGAGAGGTCGCGTGTATTTCCGGTAGAAAATAACCAATGGGGAAGATGAAGGTAAAGAAAGCAGCATAATTAACCTTAAAATATTTTTCATAGCAAGAACTACTGCAGCTGTCAGCCTTATCTTTTCTTACCGTTTTTAATGAGCAGATCTAATGCAATAAAATGAAGCTCAAGAAAAGTGTTAAGAATCCAAAGCTGCTTTTAGTGAATGGTAATCACGTGTGAAGTCTTGGAGAGGGGACATCCTGAGGAAATATTGTAGCAAATGACAGAGGCGCTTGTCCTCTCGCTGCGAGTTGAAAAATATGGGTGTTTGGGACGAAACTGATTGTTGGCGAGGAATTTGGTAGGCTTGCACATACAGATAGTTAAAATCTGCATACATCCCCATCATTTTTAGAGGAGTTCACCAGGGAGATGGACAAAGCCTTTTTCCACAGATATCTTCTCAGAAAATAGACCACAAATGTTTCATCGTAAAATTAAGTGCAGCGAGAGTTTAGCACTACAGTGTGTTTATTGTAGGATTTAATTGGAATTTGGAAGGAGAAAAGCTTGGGTGAGGTAGAGAACTAACTTAGAGGAAAAATGGCTGAACGTACATGTAAAGCTAGATCCGGGAATCGAACCCGGGAGGCTGAAGAGAGAGAGAGAGAGATGAGGCGGGAAGGGGGCTCATTATGGTGACACCCTTCTTTCCCCACATGACTTGTCATGAAAGTGCTACAGCGCATAGTCAAAACCTACGTTCCACTATTATACTTGGAAAAAATCTCGACCCATTCCCGCGCCGTATTGGCAAGGCGATTAGCCACCAGGTTCCTGATCCATTCTAAAACAGTGCCAACAGGTTGAACGTATTTCCACAAAGCTGGGTTATCGTTGTCTATGGTCGTCTCTTGTACTAACTAAATTTAAAGAACAGACAATGATAAGTATGATGATGATGAAAATAATAATTGTAATGATAGTTATAGTAAAAAAGGAAACAGTGTCAGAAATTTTGGACACAGAATAATGAGGTCTGACTTTTCTCCTGAGGAAGGCTTCTTATTGTCTAACACAAACTAATTAATACTAATTACCAATCCACTGTTGATCATGTAGAAATCATCTCCACTCAGGAGCCGTCCTGGGTATGAAGAAAAGCATTGCTTTTTTCCTGGTACAATGGCAGGGATATCGGAATCTAGAAAGATCAAGGGTGAAAAATTGTATCAGGCCACAGTGCATTAGGGTCTATCACCGGGGAGGGGGGACCTCTGAGACTGAGTGATTAATAATGACCAGTCCCTTCTATATCTATCTCTCTATCCAGGCTAGTGCATTGTATCAGGACAAAAAACGACATCGCTCGTCGAGGCTTAAATACAGGTGAAGCGGGATGAGGAGGTAGTCTGCTCCAGACTAACATAACAAACCAAGGATGAGTAGACATAGCGTGTGGTTGGAGTTTTCATTGACCCTCTAAGGTCCTCTGAGTATTTGCTTTTGTGAAGCTTGTTCATTTGTTCTATTCTGTTTAAGTTATGAAAACATCTTGAGAGTCTATTTTCCCACCTACCATGTCCTCACTTCTCTTCAGGCATATATCGCACACTTTCTATCATTATTAGCATAGCAAATAAACCTAGTCGACCCAGGTATGAAGCATTCAACAAGTTCTTGTGGCGAATACCTGTGATGCTTTGACGATTAAATGGAAAGTTATAAGACTTAAACAGCCGTAGCATAGAGTTGTAAGAACCCCACGTGTCATGTGAAATCAGCAGATCCTTGTTGCCAGGCAACAGCTTGACAAGTGCGGAGCATGACCCTGTGCCAAAACTTTTACTCAGAGTTTTCCTACCGAGAGCTTGTTCCAAACCATCTAAGTCACCAGCGACTTGCATCAAGCTGTAAGAAAAAAGAAAACAGTAAACAAACATCGAATTTGGCGACTAAAATGGATGAAACGGTAAATTTGGCTGATTTCCGGTGTTAGCCTGAATGGGTTTGTGAATGGTCTAATGTCCAGGCTCCTCAGGATAGAGCGTTCCTTAGTTGTATAATACCAGCAAACCGAGGAAGACTAGTTCTTACAATACAGCCTCTCAAAGAAATAGACTATGAATAGGAACCAATAGAGTGGCAGAGACCAAATAAAAGTAACCTATGATGGCATAAGCATCCCTTTTAGGTGAAGTTACCACGCTCTTTTTAGACTTTTTAAGTCACTTCTTGGTACAGAACCAGAATGAATGTGATGAATCAACTGCATTATACTGACTTCTTCGTACAACTCAAGACAAGCACATGAATGATACACAATACATCCAAGGTTTGCTGAGCTTATTTTCCTACGACACTACACTAAACAGGTCTTACAGGAATCCAAAATCAGGAATGACAGCTCCTTCAGCTTTACTTTTGTTTTCTCTGTATCCTTCTTTCAGACCCTCAAGCTGCTCAAGAACAAGTTCAACCTCGAAAAAAGAGAACAATAATAATTAAAATAATACGAACATTATACACGCATTTTGATTGGTTCTCAACTATGTTCTTTTGCAGGACAGATGCATAAATTGCGCCACCACTACCAATTTTTTGCCTATCTATTGTATAAAGAAGATAGATTTTATGTTACCATGGGCCTATTCAGTAATGACTCGTAGACGTCAAAAAGTGGTAAGAACATCAGTGACGCACTCGGCTGTAAAAGTGCCATTCATTGTTCTTACCACATATTGACATCGTCTATAATAATAATAATGTTATTTATCCAGGGAGCTCACATCACCAAAGGTGTTATTCAGTGAGGCGCTGCCAAAAAAAAGAAAAATGTTAAATAAATAATAAAAAAAAAATATTAAAATGTTCAATAAATTTACATTATAAAATGAGTTAAAAAATTGCTTAAAAATTAAAAGTGACCTCATGTCACGTATTGACTTGTCAAGACTGTTCCATTCTCCCAGTCCTTGATTTAAAAGGCGCTGTTTTCCATAATTGCGCCTAACTCGCGGTAAATAAAAATTGGATTTGCCACGAGTATTATAAGAATGGATGTCACTGATTAGCTTTGTATCAAACTTAAAATCTATAATGCCATTTACATATTTATAAACGAAGACACAGCGGTGAAATAACCTAAGTTTAAAAAGTGTTGGCCAACAAAGTTCTTATAAAGCCTCTATAGAAGAGATCTATTATTGAACAGAAGACCGCAACACAGAATCTATTGGTGAAATAAAACACGGAGATAAAGGAAACTCTCAGACACTATTATTGGCATTTCCATTGTTACAGTATTTTCGAATGTTGTGTTTTTTTTGTTATGAAGATTTTCGTCACTAATACATTGGCTGCCTCGCTCCATTTGTCTGTTAAGAGAGATTGATATGTCAGTGAAAGATCGATGTAAGGCAACTATGTACTCCTCCTTGATCAATCAATGTTGTAGATGATTAGCAGCCAGTTCGTGAAATTAATTTTTTATACTTAATCATTTGTGACGAAGAAAGGAAGATGGGCAGTGTAGAGCTACAGTCCTTAACAAAGATCTTAAGTCGAGGGGAGATTTGCATACGCCCTAAAAATGATTTCAAATATGAAATTTGTAAAGTTTACCATCCCGTCCTCTAGTTTTCTTTCGTTCCTGCTTCCTCCCCCCCCCTCCCCCAGAATGATGTATACTGTTGACGAAATGGAAAATCACCAAATGCATAAAGCTGTTTCGAGAACGCTTGTTGGAAAGAAGCGTAAACCTGCACGTGACGACCGCGAAAGGTACCGTGGGTATTTTTCAGGTCACGGTTCCTTGGCCTTAAGATTTCAAGGAAGTCTGAGAAAAAGTCACTGTAAGGACGAGGCATCACAGGTTGGATGAAATACATACTTAGTAGACCTATTAAGGTATTATTATTGACTACCGGGTACCTAGATTACCGAGATTGTCGCAGCAGTTTTGTCCTTTTTCCAACAACCTTTCTTGAAAAAGCCCACGACAAACATTGATATTGTAACAAGGAAAGAGGCAGAAATAAAAATTGTGTTCCAAAACTTTTGTCCAAATTGTCAGAGTTCCTTTCGTAATAAAGAAGCATGTTAATACGCTCCGAGGGGTAGAGAAAACGTCAAATTACACCAAATTTTTACACTTCAGACCACGGAGTAACAAGGAAACTGTTCTGATTTAGGACAGCTGTTAAGATGTTTAATCTCCATCGTAAGTTAGAACTGTTTTGGAGTAATTACAGTGTAGTACAGGAGGTGACCAATACATTTGCCTTTCTGCCGTAGTACCTGCCTAGTCACAATACAATCGATCTTTTCTTATAGGAGATGTCATTCTGTTTCAACTAACTGCTGAAATTATTGTTTTACCTGGTGCCAGTATTCATCTGTTGGGTTGTTCTGTATCTGAAATCTCATCCAAGACAGATTCTCTCCGAGGAATTCACCGAGAGAGAAGCAGAAATCTGGGTCCTCTGAGCAATAATCAGCCAACGTGTTAAGCCAGTGCATGTCAATCAAATGTGACGTCACATAGCCCTCCAGCATGCCAGCAACCAATGCTTGCTGCTTGTCTTTGTAGTCACCACGGGTTACAACTTGGAAGAATTCCCAGCTGTATATCGAAAATAAATACTTTAAAGCGTTACCTCTAGGTGGGGAAGAATGCGTGATTATATTCGGAGATCGCGTGATTATATTCGGAGAGGAGGAATAGCGTGACTGGTAGATAGTTCAAAGAGGAGCAAAGATTACGAATATTTTTTCTGCACGAATATTTAGCTAACGGATCTAATGAAGCTATCTTCTAAACCTACCAATATAACTGCTGACCTTATTTGCATATAAAAAATTCACCAATTTGTACGAAAGAATTCTCAAAATGAAGGCGTTAATCGGGCTAAAGAAGCATATCAGTGCATAGTTTATACGCTAATGAAGTCACCGATTGCCTCAAACCCGCGGGTATATCTTTAACTTTCATCCACCAACATCTTAAAAACAACGCAAATTCATGTGTCAGCTCAATTGCGCTCGTGTCAAAGATCATTTGCATAATTCTGAATTGACCAAGATCTCCTTTTGACCGTTCAAACTTCGTCTATTTATCCTCTACGTTGAGGATTTGAGGTTTTCATAACAACTGAATGGAGAATAGACGCTGAGTCATCCTAAAACGTTGCGTAAACGTGATCGGTCGTAACGCTTGCATGCTTGCGTGACTTACAAAGTAAACAAAACCAAACTTAGTTAATCGAAAGTTATTTTACAAGGAATTTATCTCTTAAAACGTTTACTTGATTCATAGAAAGCAAAGATTGTAGTGACTGCGGGTATTTCAGCCCTGATTTCTTTCTCGGAATGCCGGGACGACGTATCGAATTTTTCTGAAGTCTGAAATTTTCACTTTCGATCGCTGTCCACACGGGTGTTCTAGCCAAATATCATTGTTGGCTTGTGGCATCGCAAAAAAAAAAGAGAATCGGAGAACAACTAAACTATTTTTAGAACATGTGTCCTAAACCCTTTTCATGGGCAAAAAATAAAAGAAACTTTTTTTCCTAATGGAAGTCGAGAGGACCGCTCGTAGCGAGAGCGGCACTTAAAATGAGTTAGTACTTGTTACGACTCGTGAACGTCTTAACTTAGTCACTGGACTTGAATATAAACAAACAAGCAGATAATTATGTTGTAGCGTGACCTCGAGACAAAACTGTTTAGATCACTTTTTTTCAGATGTAAATTTTCGTCCTTTACTTGAACTGTGATGAAAAATAATGTGAGTTGATAACTCAAAACCTAACGTCCCAAATATCTAACAGCCAAGTGACGATTGGATTTCATCAGCAACTGTGGTGCCGAATGAGCAACTGAAAACTCTGGAATATTTGTTAATCTTACCCCGATTTTTGTATACTTCCACTAAGCTTTCCGCTCGCAACTGGATCATCATAGTTTCCTCTCCGGATTACTACATTAGAAGATTTTTCTCCCTTCTCCAAAATAGCTGAATATATCTCATCATCTCCGTATGCTAAACTCGCAAGCAACAGGAACACTGCAGTAACTATCTGTTTCAGCCACATATTTGTCGATTACAGAGGCTTGTGCTTGACTTCAGAAGCGCATTAGACCGAAACAACTGCGTCATGGAGCCATTTTGTGTCTAGGCTGAAAATTATTGAACTCGATAACAAAGCTTCTCACGTGATTACGCAACGGGTGAAAGCCCGAAGTCTAAAGTGGAGGTGGTGGATCAAGATTTTTTTTCCCAAAGATGGAATTCTAACCGACAATTCTTCTCTTCTTTCTTTGTATGGTGTAAATATGGTAAAAAACAGCTTCGTTTTCATCAGTTCCTAGTCGTCATTTTTGCAATATGCACTTTGGTTTGGCAGTAAATGTTTCCTAATATAACCCTTTACACCCTAAAATCAGTATGCATATTCTCCTTACTGTTCTGCCGACATCCAGAATTTGTTTAAAATTAAGAGCTTCTTCAGTCGGTGATCAGCTCCTTTATTCTCCTGATCTTCATGTTTATTTCAGGCGTGATATGGTAAGGAGAAACTAGATGTCAGTCACTCTTGGGAATTAAAGGGTTAAGAGTCTGTCCACGAGAGGACCGGACAGGCGTGACACATGCCATCTCACCGATTTCTTTCAACTTTCACAGTTTATAAGGGTCAGTAAGTTATTCAAGAATCCAGAGTGGTTCGGGCTCCCGGCTAATCCCCAGAGTATTAGAGCCCCCACATTATATCCCTGAGGTAAAAGGCTAAAATAAGCTCGAAAGATGCACTTTCAATTAATCTCTCTCACTCTAATGGTATTTTGTCCAATGGTTGTTTGGACGTTAAGGAAACAATTCCTTTAAGTTGGGGTAATTTGATATGACTTCTCTCAATTTGGAGCAGTTAATCATTAACTGTGTCACGCAACTATTCCCCCCCAAAAAATTCGGTTTTTTAATTGCAAGTATCTGCAATGGGTAACATACTATCATAGGAAAGACCTACCTTAACACTACGTTTGTGGACAAAAAGATGTTTGGCCTCTGTAAAATATTCGTGATCACGTCCCTATGAAATAAGTGACCTTTGTCGTTAATTTATGCAACTGGTGTTTAGTGACTCAGTTTCAATTTGAGAATGAGATCGTCGACGCTAGTTTTGCGGTGCTAATGTCTAAAAACAGCAGATGTATAGCTGTCAAGCTAAGAAGTCACATATCATAGAAATTTTGTGACGCTGACACAATCTATTGGAAAAATTATACGTAAATGTAGTAGATATCATACATTAAACATTAACGAATTGACGTCGGCAGTTGACAGCGACGTTTGTCAAATGTATTTTACACAAATGAAACACTAAATATACTCATTATAAGTTTACTCAATTCGCCATAATTTTTTTTATCGGAGGGAAACTTTGGAGCAGATCCAATCGAATGTTAGGTACATTTTGATGACTCAAGCTAACTCTACCGGAACGCACTTTCTTAATTGGAGGTTATTTATGAGACATATATGAGAGGCAATCAACTGGATTAAGTAAGGCTCGAGCGAGGTGAGTTTTGACTTTTCTGATAATTGTAACTTTATTTGGTTTTATCAACTGAGTTGAAAACGTTAAGAGTTTTTAGAGCTGAAGTTAGCTGTTCGTCATTCGCTGAAAAGAAACGTTAGCTTTAAAAACGGTTTGCAGCGGCCCATTTACATAATTAACTCAGTTGACTATACCGAATTATCTCGTAATCCCCCCTCCCCCTACCGACACAACATCACAGTTTCTTTAGAAACTTACCCATTTTATGTAACTTGTATAACTTATGTAATGGGTAATTGTTTGTTGTAAATTTAAGCTTCTAGAAATCTACAGATTGCTTAGTCAGGCTGACGTGCGAGTGTCTCGCGGGTCGCGGGTCGCGGGTCGCGGGTCGCGGGTCGCGGGTCGCGGGTAAATTGTCGCGGGTCGCGGGTAAATTGTCGCGGGTCGCGGGTTAATTGTCGCGGGTCGCGGGTAAAAAGTCGCGGGTCGCGGGTAAAAAGTCGCGGGTCGCGGGTAAAAAGTCGCGGGTCGCGGGTAAAAAGTCGCGGGTCGCGGGTAAAAAGTCGCGGGTCCGGAAAATTGTCGCGGGTCCAGAAAATTGTCGCGGGTCCAAAAATAGCACTTCAATCGTAAAAATTGAACTTTTTTTATTTTGACCTGATAACCAGTAATTAGCTGATAAAAAAATTCAAATTGAAATTGCCCAAATTTTGTAAATGTTCATTTTTTCATTATGAAAGAATATTTTTGTTTGCAAGAAGAAATGAACAAAAAATTCAATCACATCGATCTCAAGATTTAATTATCAGTCAACAGAATTGCAAATTGGCAAACCATTATCTTTGAATGCTGCCATTGTGATGTCAGTAAATGAACTGTCAGCTCTGATTCTGTCCGGTGGTTTTAAATTGGTCCAATGTGGTATCTTTATATGCATTATTGCTTCGGACAAAAATAAAACCTTGTTTCTGGAACGAAATTCTGTTCATAAGGGACATAAAGTCCTTTAATGGTGACGGTATCTTCATCTTCATGTTGTATTTTTCTAAAAACCCGGCATATTGGTGCTTGTCCTCTTTTTTTTTCTTCTTTTCTAGAGTCCAGACTTGTTGGTTTTTACTTCGAGGGTCATTTTATATTATGTACGTATATACGTATTATTTCTCTTATCGTCTTTGTAGTGGCCTTTCCGTTCACATTTCCGTTTACCTAGCTTGACGGATTATATGATACAACCTATATTTTTGGAAAAAGTGTGCCGGTGTCATTTTATGCCAGCTATAAACGTCATTATAAAAAAACCAAAAAATAAACCGAAAAAAAAATTCATCAAAAATAAATCCGGAATACCACAAATAAACTTAGAGTAGTTATGAACTGAACTTAAAAACTACTTTTATTTTCATAAGCCCGCTGACGGCCGGTGGGCAAAACAAAACTTAACAAACGATTTTGAAAAAAATTTAATGATGTTCATCGAGAAATCGACGAGGATTTTAGAGCCAGGAGAACTTCCAAGAGCGAAAAATTTAGAAAGTTAGTTGAGATAGTGCAAGTGAATAAATGTATTTTCACAAGGAATGTGGTTCGCATCAAAGCAGCCGTTTGTGGGAAGAAACGTTGCATTTAGGAGAATACATCTTCCTGGACCCGCGACAGTTTACCCGCGACCCGCGCCGTTTAGATTCTCATCTCATCATCTGACATGCGTACCATAGAACTTTCTGGTACATTTCATCAAGTCACGCAGTTATTACATAATACTACTAAAATAGTTCTTTTTTAAGCTTCTAGAACACTTTGTGAATGTATGTGGGAACTCAGTCAGTGTAGCAGTAGTTGTTGTTGTCGGGAGTGACCGACTGTGTAGAAAGCTATACCGTGAGAGAGAGCTATAGTGGAAGCTTGCAAATTTCAAGAAAGGTTGGAAGAAAACTGTGTGTTTGGCTCAGCAGTGAGCTAGGCTATAAACTGTGGTAGGCTTAAGTAAGTTTATCGAGGATAGGTATTGTACCGCCATCAGTTGGGAGTCGCTCCTTATTAAGATTATTACTCGTTGTTTAATAAAGTAGTTTAGTTTGTAGGATTGAAGCGTTTTTCTTTCGGTTAGATTATACCGTAACACCTGTGAGATCAGTGGATCGATCAAGGGCTGGACCACAAATAGGTCGTAGAATTTGTGGGATACGACACAGCACCCGTTTGATTACCTGACAATTTCGATCATGAATATTTGAGCTTGCCTGGACTGAAGTTAGAGGTGACAAACCTAGAAATCGCTTATTTCACACTTCTTATTGTTATATTTGACGCTCCTGAACGCTCCAGAACCCGATAGTAAATGTGGAGGTGAAACACCATTAGTAAAAAGCAATGAAATCCTCTCCAAACTAGATACCTAAACTGGCAACACATGTTTGGAACCGACAATAACACAACAATTAAGAAAAGTCATACCGTCCCTCTTTTCTTAAAATACAGACAAGGATATCGCTATATTCTGATGAAGGCTCGAGGAAACATTTTCGCAGTCTACGAGGTAAAAGAAAAAAGATTCGTGAGCTTGGGTCCCCAGTTTCCATTCGTAGACAGGAACCGCATGCAAATCAAGATATTTACAATGACCTAGCTGGTTGTATAGAAGGTCTACATCCTGGGCATCATATTGACATGAAAAAAATACAGAACAAAAGGAACAAAGTAGATAAAGGGAGACAATGCAGAAACGTGCACTGATTTAATCGATCAAAGCATTTCTAGACAATATCTTTAATTCTTGTATCGCAAATTTCCCAGGATGCAGAGGAATGCGCTACGAAACAGGGTTACAACTTCCGGTGGAATACTAAAGGAGATATGCACTTAGAGCAGAACAAACCTGTTTTTGTTCGCCATCCGGTGACAGGTGTCAAGACTTGGTTTAACCAGGTCTATAATCATAATAACACACATGAAAATTCCATGCCAAGGTTTATTGGCGCTGATATCCCAGATGACAAAATGCCGCGGCACACCTTATACGGAAACGGAAGAGATATTGAACCAGAAGTGTTGCAACATATGCGGACATATGCGTGCGACAGCGTGGGCATGCGCTGTTGGTTTCAAGTGGCAGCGCGGTGATTTGTTAGCGCTGGACAATCTGACTGTTTTACACGGGCGGCTGGGTTTTACTGGCGATAAAAAGATTCTTGTATATTTAAACGCCTGAATAACTGTCAGTTCTGTTTTTCTTTTCGTTTTCGAATAAGGAAATTAGTCATATTGTTATGTAGCTATAGTAACAAGAACGCCGCAGGGAAATGTAGAGGAGTGATTCGTTAGGTTTAGTTTTGACCGGTGACCTTCCAACAGAATGGATTAAGTTCTCAAAAACCTATTTTACTTGAGGGCCTAATGGCTGAACACTTTCCGCGAGTTTGCGGCTTGGTTTTTTTGGATGGAGGCTTGATCAAGATAGAGATTCCAGTTAAAATAGATTCACGCAGTAATGTGCATAAATCACCAAGGACCGATGCCACATGAATATAATCATCAACTAGGAGGAAATCTTCTTGATTGGTTGGTTAACTTTTATGTGTATTACCCTATGATTAAACAGGTAAATTTTCAGCTCCAAAACTCTAAATACCGACAACCTGTCTCCACACATTTCACATTTCACATTGTCTCCACAAGACAAGGTTATTCCATCATGTCTTAAAAATTTTTTTAATCGGTTAAAAAAAGAAAATGACTTAGCCAAAGTGTTCTTGGTTAAGCCAGAACCTGAAGAAATACTGCCTATCAAATAAAAAAAACTAAGGAGAATCAGTTTAATCACAACATCAAATCTAAACGAAATACTTCATTACTAAAAAACGTGTTACAAAATATGATAGTTCCCACGGTAAATACTTACAATCTGTTGTGCAGAACAAAATCATCGTCTAACTGACTTTTGGAAGGATACTCAATCAATGGATTGTTTCTCTTTCCTTACCTACAAACTACTCAACGACTTTTTTTCCTATCGAAGTATTAGTTACTGGATAAAGACACACGAATAATTCCAAGTCAAATATGGTGTTAAAAATCGTCCGACAAATCGTCATCCCACTTGACAGTGACTGGTTCAAAGTCCCAGGCGTCAGGATGTCCCATGGGCCTTTTCCAACCTGAAGTGCTCCACTTAAAGACAGGCTGCTGGTCATGCGTTGGACCGCTGACAGCCACACACTGCAATGTCTTCACCATCTCTGAATTTGTCAGCTGGAGCGAGCAAAAAGATATGACACCCGACTACTTTAGTACCGAACTATTTCATGACATAAGCCTTCAGGCACTCGCCAACACGTGCAATACAAGGTCCAGGAATAATTTTTCTTTATAAAAGGCAATACTAATCAAGTCGGTAGTGTCTCTGCATATTTGCTTGAACGTACAGTTTCACTGACGCGAACTTAGCCAATAAACCGTCTCTTGTAGTCATTGTCATTTGGATGTCATCAGTTATATTGCGATACTCCAGTTCAGCATCATTGCGCTTCATGATTGGTTCGTGAATTCGCCCTACTAACTAAACCAATCAGGGAAAAAACTTATCGTCACGTGGCCACATTTCCCCTTTTCCTGAGCTCCGTCACAGTGCAATAGCATTTACGCTCTCTGCCACAGATTTTTGTTTTGATTAATGTTTTCAGGTTAAATTCACAAAATATTTCCAAAAGTTGTAACACCCGTGCAATTAGATGTAGCTTTTACCCGGTTTTTTTTTCGTTTGCTTTTCTGAAATCTTCACGGCCACAAACTACTCACCTTGGCGTCAATTCCTCCATGTTGCCTGTGACCCAGTGCTGCAATTGGATACTTTCCATCGGCTGGGTTCAAGTCCGATCGTGCAGAGATGGCATTCTCTCCGCTGTAGGGTGGGGTGCAGTTACAACGAGCTAATGGATCGTGCTTATAGTCATTGTACCTTGAAAAGGGAAAAAATTGAAAGAGGAAAACCAACCTTGTTAATTTTAGCATACGAACACCATTTTGAATTATTTTGATAACTCCATGTACTCCAGCAGAAATTTCCACCTCTGTCCCACCCCCAGACATATGAACAGAAGACAATAGCAAAACTTTGGGGACAGAAACAAATCTAGTAGGGGAGGTAGGGGATAACGCGTTTGATCCACGTTTAATGCATATACTAATTGTCTAACAAAATCAGAATGGAGTGGGTAAGTGAGTGAAATTACTTCCATAACAAAACCTCAGAATGTGACTACGTCATACCATGAGGTAAAAAACGAACAAAGGCAAAGTGTCCAGATGTAACAGCTGACAAAAGTAGGCGAACGTAAAACGACGGGTCTGACAGTCTAACTCTAGACACCTGGGCCATACCCAACGATCTGGGCATATTTCATTTGAATTTACAAAACGATTTGAAGAGAAGCACACGAACCTCATAAGTTTCATCATGCTGTCCATATCAACAACCTTGTTGTGATCACGTTTGAACATCTGTGCTCTTGGAGCGCCATCATAACTAAACCATGAGCCAAACTTCTCATAGCTCTCTCTCGTTCCGCTCATGTTGAATATGTATGGAAAATAACTAGAAAAAAAGAAAGAGAGCTTGGAGATTTCCAAAATGTAAGAATGGAGTCTGATATACATCAAAGTAAAATTATCTGCTCGGAATCGGTTTAACTCACGGTAAATTGTAGCTAGCCCAGTATGTCTTCTCCTGCAAGAAGACAGACATGTCTGCAACTTCAACTATCCCAGGTAACTGCTCCAGTATCAACAATGTTCCTGGAATGATCGGCTCACCAGGAGTGAATAATTTATAATCAAGAACCATCCACTGATGAAGAAAAAAAAAATCAGTCGAACCTGTATTTAGCGGCACCGTATAAAGCGGTCACCCTGTATTAAGCAGTCAGTTGTCAAAGTCCTGAATTTGTTTCCCCTCAGTCAGTGGTGTTTTCGCCTCTACTAAGCGGTCACCTTTATTACGCGCACGAGGTCACCCTCTACAAAGTGCCAACAGCCTGTTTTAACTGTCCTCCACCTGTATTATACGGTTACTGAAAGAGGAACCACTCAGATGAAACGAAGAATAATCTTTCAGGTAATTTTTAATCCATGTTTGTCTCCCAAAATCAAAGTACGTAGCGAGATTCTGTACATTAATTGGTCAATTATGGCAAAAAGTGGCGTTGTTCATTGTCTTTATAAAACTCCTAAATTGTGGAACCTGTATTAAGCGGTCAACACGTATTTAGCGGTCATCCCGTCATTTCCTGTGGGTAATCACTTGATACAGGTTTAACTGTGCAGTAAGATGCAGTTAACCCTTTAATTCCCATGAGTGACCAAGACAGAATTTCTCCTAACAATATCAATACAATATCAACCAGATAAGTGATGAGAAAAAAAAATTAAATTTGGGGATCGATTGATCCAGTACTAAATTATCTGAACTAACATTATAAGAATTGTATGGCAGACAGTAAGGAGAATTACAAATTATATCAGGGAGTTAAAGGGTTGACTCAAACAGGGAAAGAGCACACTCATCTAATACCACTACTCAGGTAAACTAACACTTTGACATTCACTATCCCACAAATTTGAGAATCAATGCATCTATAAACTCACAGTTAGGAGGAAGAACACTGTCATCCTTCATTTGCTGTCACTTAACCCTTTAACTCCCAGGATCTGATTGTTAATTCTCCCCTCCACCTGCCTCACATTTTCATGTAAATTGGTTGTAAGAATTTGGTGTTGGATCCAGACAACACCTTCCACCTGATACATTTGAGTATTCTCATTACCTGTTTGCTGGATAATGGATGGATATTGTAGGGAGAAGTTCAAGCTGAATCACTTTTGGGAGTTAAAGGGTTAACATACTATGGTGCCCTTTACAGTAAGTGATGAGGTGCTTCAGCTACTGCATTGGACAACCTGGTGCTAGGTCATCTCATCCGAGATGAACAGATGTTGATGTCAACAGCATGATAGACGCATACATTGGTCGGTAAATAAAATTAAGAGTTGTTTCATAAAAAATGCATGATCTTAGACTAAGGTGTTTTTCACTTACCTCATTGTTGTAACTGTCCCATCAGTTTCCATTAAACGAAAGCAAAACAAGAAGAAACATTTATCAATTGAATAGTTTGCAAAACAACAGACTAGCAAGAAAATAAATTTAAAATTGAAAACTGAATTGGATTATGGCCAACAATAACGAAAACATAAATATCTGCAGGGTGGATGTGTTCATGGCATATTGCAAATCATTAAATCTTATTTTTCTTAGATTACTAAATACAAATTATAAATACACTAAAAAAAACAAACTGTAATAAATTCAGTTAACCCAGAAGTTTCAAACATACTGAAGGAAGTGACTCACGTTCCACTGTTGTGTGTTCCAAAGAGATAAGTCCATTCAGCAGCTGTTCTTGCCAAACGATTGGCTACCAATGTGCGCATCCACTCTAGAACAATTCCCTCTGCATAAACATATTTCCACAGATCTGGATTGCTATTACCAATTGTGGTCTCTTGAGAGACCTATGTGAATAAAAAAAAATTCTAGACAGTTACTTTCCTAAAGCCAAAAATTAAAAAACTTTTCCGGTGCAAGTTACTGTTTGAAAGTAACAAAGATGTTTCTGTGAGCTTACCATTCCACTGCTTAACATGTAAAAGTCATCTCCGCTTGTCATCAAGCCAGGGTAAGAAGAGAAACTTGCTTTACTGCCCGGAATAATTTCTCCTGTAAAATAAGTCAAACCAAGAATGTAAGAAAGCCCTCTTCAATCTATAAACCTTTCTGTCCTTTTTCCTTTAGCCTTTCACTTAACTGCACCTTAAAATTTCACTAGCCTCCATATGTCTCAAAGGACTTAACCCTTTAAAGTGCCTATCATCTGATTGTTAATTCTCCCCTCTAGCTGCTACACATTTCCTAGTAAATTAGTCACAAAAAGTTGATGTTAGGTTGAGATAACAACCTATAGCTGATAAGTTTGTCTTGTCATTACCTGTTTGCTGGATAATTTATGGATATCATAGGGAGAAGTTACATGCTTATTGCCTCTGGGAGTTAAAGGGTTAAAACACACAGGTGAGATACAAGTGGTTCCATCGACAGATGCTTAAGCTGAAGCAGTTTCAGAGATAGATTAAACAAAGAAATTCAAGAAAACATAGTCTTAAATAAAATGATGCAAACTTGTTGAGATAAAATTTAAAGCAATTTAAAGGCCAAATTAAACAAGACAGAGGCTTTATGAAATTAATGCTCACCTTTATTTCCACTGACAGTAAATGGAAAATCATAGAACTTAAACACTCTTAACATCTCTGCATATGATGTCCATGTGACTTGAGAGATGTACAAGTCTTTGTTGCCAGGCAACAACTTTATAAGTGCTGAACAGGATCCTGAGCCAAATACACGGTGGACTTTCTTCTTTTTTAGTGCCTGCTCTAGAGATTCCAGATCACCATCAGCTTGGATAAGGCTTCCAAAAAAAATTTTAGATGTGATCATGAGCTAACATTTTTAAAACATGAAGGAGCACCATAAATTTGTTGGCTCCGACCTTGATTTCAGCTCAGTGTGATAATATTATGCAATGTCCTAGCAAACATTCAAATTTCAAATTTTATGCCACAAATGAAGACAGTTTTGATTGGAGGAAATAGATGTTGGCCTGAACAAATTCTTCCATTGTGATTAAAACATAGAAACTTCTTAGAGCTGTTGAGAAATCCACCAGCTGTTCACGTGCCTTGGATTGGCGGCAGCTCAAGCTGTTTTGAATAGAGAGGTCTATATGCCACAATGGTTGATTGACTAAAGATTGAGGTACTAAGGCACCTCTTCTTTTATAGCACCCTTCTTTGTTTAAATATAATGCATTTTCTGTAGGCAGTTATTTTAGTTGACAAATAGAGAGCTGGGAGAACACTGCAGAGACATTAACATAAGCTGCCTGTTTAGAGCTGCCACCTCTCCAAAGGACATTTTTTAGCAAGGACTATTGCAGGGAAGGGTTTAGAATGAGGGTTTGGAATAATGCAGTGGTTCCCCTTTGGATTACTTTAGATTATTTTTTTGTGATTAACTGCTCTTTGAATGGATGTTCATTTTTAATGAGTCACATAAAAAATCATGCTCTCACCACCCTCTTTTTCTCAAATTACATTTGTCCAAATTCATTTGTAAAATGCTTAGGAGTCATGTGCTTAATCAAAACAACTTACAGGAATCCTAGATCATCAATTGAAGGAACACTTTTGTTCTGCAGATAGCCTTCCTTAATTCCTTCAAACTGCTTAAGTATCAGGTTTATCTGCAACAAATAATCATACACAACTAAACCACTTGCAGTTAAGAAATACCTGATGTACAGTGTTTTTTTGGTGTACCATATGAGTTGAACCTATGGATACATCCTACATCTATCAAGCATGCCCCAACAAAGCTGTTTCTTGAATTGAAAATTTGAATGTTGAATTCACATTTTAATATTGTTAAATAGTGTGGAACCAAAGGATAGTTCAAAATGAGACAGATTAGACCAGAAGCAAAAGAACTCCAAAATAAACAGGTAGGTGGAGAATAAAATTTGATTCCCACAACAATATTATTTACATAACCAATTCATTGATCAATATTTTGGGGTTTTCTTGACCTTCTCAAAGTTGGTAAAAGTAAGATGATAGGTTTGTAAATATATTGAAGATTCATTTGTTCAATTTAACCCTTTAACTTCCATGAGTGACCAAGACAGAATTTCTCCTTACATTATTAATACTATGTCAAGCAGTTAGGGGGTTACAAGTTTATCCAAATTCTCCAAACTAACATCAAAAGAATTGTATTAAAGACTGTAAGGAGAATTACTAATGAGATCCAGGAGGTGAAAGGGTTAAACAGTAGGACATAGGTATAGGAGTTTATATTTGGGAGGAAGCAGGGGACGGTTTGTACTTTAATTCAACTGTTCCTTGCCACCCAGGAGTATCAATGGTTACTACTCAGTTGTCAGGACAGTGAATACTAAGGTGGGTGGAGAGGAGTTATTTGTGATGGTCTAGCATTCCATTTGGGTGAATAAGTACTATTTCTTATGGCCTTGTTTAATAAGTGTTATGTATTACCATTTAACTCTTGTTGTAAAGCTAAACCCTTTTGAGCCTTAAACAATCCAAATATAACCATTGCAGGTTCCACCTCAGGTAGCACCTTAATAGTTGGTTACTTGTGAATATAAAACCTTAAGCTATAGTTTTGGTCTAAAGGATCACAAGACCAATGATGAAGTTGTATGATCAAATAATACAAAACAGTGATCCAGAAATCATTCCAATAAAAAGTGTACAGCTGAGATTTTTTACCTGGTACCAATATTTATCTGTAGGGTTGCTGGCAATTTGCTCAGATATCCACTTCAGGTTATCACCCAAAAACTTTCCCAGCGTCTCACAAAATTCTGGTTCAGCATCACAATAGCCAGCTAAAGTGTTCTGATAACTTTTGTGCATTAGTTCTGCAGTTAAAGATCCCTCTGTCATTCCTGCTGCCTTTGCTTGCACTGCATCTGATAATGATGCATTTGAGTGGATCTCGAGGAAAGTCCATCTATAAAAGGAAATAAGAAACAAAATTGAAATGATCCTGGATGAGTGAATAAATAACAAACTTCCCCCTAAATGAATTCAGAAACCTTCCTGGATGAAATAATGCATTCATAAAAATATAAAAGAGGCCTTTCAAACTAAAGTTAGCTTTGTCAAATTTTTGCAGATCTTTAAATATACCAGAGAAGCCTAATCATTTTGGACTAATTTTTCTACTGACCTGCTCAAACTTTACATGAGCCTTACTGAAAAAGGGCTAGAGCACTTAATTCCAAGATCTCACCCACCAACTACCTTCAGAATTCCAAGGGTGTTTTGATGATGAGGCAGACTACCACAGTATCCAACATCTTATGTCTTTTGTGACCAAGATCCAATTTAAACCAGGTTTGAAAATGTCACGTAAGCATTGTGAAAAATATGATTATGTACTTTGGAATTTTTAAATTTGCCCACCAAACAGGCTGCTTACTTCTGACACAATAACGTCTCACTTCTCTTTTTGCCATCTCTTAAGGATGACAGTTTAAAAAATTTGGAGCAACACAAGAAGGCATGCTTAACTCACTTAATTATATTTTCCAATGATCAGAGAATAAGCTGTTTGTGATCAGCAGATATTAGACTAGCTTTTGCGGTAAAATTTCCGCACAGCCCCATACTATTGTAAAACAAATCTGTTTTCCCAATGGCAATCTATTGTTTTTGTCATTGTTTTCTCAATCCAAGAACTGAATGCATAATGTAGTATGGGGCTGTGCGGAAATTTTACCGCTTTTGCAAGTGCAGCGGATCACTGAGTTGTTTTCAAAACGTCTGTGTCAATAACCCACCGCAAACAATTGAGTTGCCCTTGCCTGGTCATGGGATGTACAAGCGGCTTCAAAACTGACAAGACCTAAAGCAAACAATCTCTCCCCCCCTCCCTCCATCGGCTTTTCACATATATGTTTTTATCATCTTAACTGCGATATAGGAAAACTCCATTTGCGTAATGTGGACTAGGGATATTTTAGATGTTCAGCACTTACCCGGTGGAATTTATCTTATCATCGAATTTACCCCAGGCTGCCATAGGCTGAGAGGAATCATATCCAGGTTTTAAAAGCAGAGTTTCGCCATCACTACCAAGTACCACCGAAGCAAGGCTTTCCTCTCCTTTCGCTTTGATAATGTAGCCAAAAATCAGGAAGAAGCACTTCAAGATTGTGAGAGCCATGGTTTTTTCCTTGTCACGAGATGTAGAACCCAGATTGCTCGTAGCAAACGCTCGCCTTTAAATACGAGCGGTTCACAAGAGGGGTTGGGAGAATTCACCTTTTGGACTTGTTGTCATGTGCTGCGAGCTCGACTAATTGTCCGAACTTCCGGAGTTTGTTTACATCAAAAGTCACGTGACACTACAAGTGAAATCTAAAAGGTGAATTCTCGAAAGTTTGCACAACTTTCCGGAGTGTTTAGAGGAGGCTATGTAAACACGGAAAACGTCATCTTTTGCCTACTTACAACATATTTTTCTCCAATAATATTATTAATGAAGTAATTTGTTCTTTATTTATTTCTTGTTGAAATAGATTTTCTTAATGCACGCTCTGGACGATGGTTTTTCCTACTAGCCAATCAAATCGCGCGTTTGACTACAACCTATCAAATTAGCAGTGTCAATCCTCATACTACGTCACACAACTCGTCACGACCGCTCAAGCACCTTCCAGCGTTGCGATGAAAGTCTCTGAACCCAATCCCCCTCTATGTTTTATATATCACGTGACCACAAAAAGAAAAAAAGAAGATGGCGCCCAAAGTTGACTGTATTTCCTTGAAGGCATATGTAGTTCTTAGGAGTCTTATTCGCCAATTTATGGCCATGCCCATTCGGTCTTGAGGATAATGTCTTAGACGTTTATTTTGGTGAACTAGCAAAAGATATTGCGTATCACTATGAGGTTAAACGAACGTTGTGTTGCTGAGTTTTCTACTTCCTCAGCTCCAATCGACAAAGAAGGCTTTCTCAATAAGAAGGGCGAAGTAAATCGAGGATATCAGCGACGTTGGTTTATTTTAAAGGGAAATCTTTTGTATTATTTTGAGAAGAGATCTGACAAAGAGCCCATCGGAGTGATTGTGTTGGATAATTGTCACGTTGAGTTAGCAGAAAGTGGAGAACCATACGCATTTCAGATAACTTTTGGCGGAGATGGGTCCAGGACTTATATTCTTGGTGCTGATACACCGAAAGAAATGGAATCTTGGATGAGAGCGATCACTCATTCGAATTATGAGTACTTGAGAATGATGGTAGAGTCCTTTGAAAGCACGTTAGCAAAATTAACTTCGGATGACCTAGTTAGTTCGAGCTCAAGTGACGGTTCAAATATTTCCAGAGCCTCAGGCCTTACTGTGGTAAATACTGAAGGACAAAGGTCGAACGCTGATCCAACTTTTGAGATTCCTAGTTCGATTGGGAAAGAAAAGCTTGGTGTTGAGTACAGAGATGGGCTGGATGATATTAAACTTAAAAAGAAGCTGGATGTTCCTGTTTCTTCTTCAGAAATTGGCCGCAGTGACATCTCTGGTGATGCTATTGTCAATAGATCCGGATCAATAGTTGGTAATCTGATCAATCTTGATGACGATGATGATGATCAGATTCCAATTCAGAATGAGTTTGCACTTGACGAGGGCTTTTATTCATTCCATAAACACTCCACTCAGCTGATGCCATTAAGCTATTCAGACCTGGAGCGCCTAGAGGATATGCACAATGATGATTTGTTATGTAGATTGTCAGGAAATATGCCCTCCAGAAGTAGAGATGACTCTGATTTGATTAGAAGGGTTAAACGTGAAGAATTGTCCCGACAACAGAGACCCAAATCTGAACGTAGGAGAAATAATATTGGCACCATGTATCACAATATTGAAACTAAAGAAAGTTTGGAAAGGGAAAAATCTAGATCCCTGCCTAGATCTGGAAATCAAGTAGATGATACAGGTTATCATCCAGAGCATGGAAGTGTCTTCAAATTTCTGCATGAACATTACAGTGCATCAATCTGGGTGAAATGTAAGGAATTATGGGGACAAGATAATGTCAGACCACCAGTGCAGCAATGAAGATGAAAAGTCAATATCTTAGTAATAAGCATTATGGTTGGATAACAATCAAATTAAGAAGAGATTGTAATAAAAAATCATAATCCAGAAAGATAAAGTTGAACCAATATGAAATTTCTAGAGATACACATTTGAATCCTGGTGATTGCATTTTTTTGTCAATAAGACATTCTTGTCCTTGAACAAACTTTCCCATTACTGTGAGGAAAATTTTCACAGAGATGAATATTGATATTTTTTTAAAGAAAAAGGTGGCATTATACCTAGAGTAAGATAGAATTTATGAAAGCTCAGTGCTACCAAATAATCCATAAAAATATGTTCTTACCAATTTTTGTAACTACACTTAATTGAGATATTCATTGTAAAGGAAATTACTACTTTAATGACAATGAGTAAATATCTTTTAAAAAGCAATTTCGTTTCAGTCGGGTTCTTTGAGTCTTGGATCTTATACTTCCTTTGAGATAATATTCTCTACCTATTTAACTTTGACTAAGCTTGATGATAGAATAATTTTAGAAGGTTATGCTCAAATTTAATTTTTTTTGAGTATCAATGTTAGTACATTTCCATACATTGTGAACTTGTTATCTTGTTAACCCTCTAGCTCCCTGTTTCAGCAATCTGTGCTATTTTTGAAGGGCTGAAAGTATAATACATATTAAGGGTGCAGAGCACCATATATTTTAGTAGGGGGGGGCAATCAGTCATGAAGCCTAGTGATTGTAAGAAAGTAGAATGTGTAAGTGAAGAAGATTAATTTTCTACTTTTAGCTGTGTTCTTTGAATAAAAAATTACAGGTACCAGAGGCAAAATTAAATTTTAATGTGATTCATATGACTTTGATTAATGCTAGGGCTAGTTTTATTGTGCCTTGAACATGGACAAATATGTGCATGTTTGACTGAACTATGCCATGTTTTAGGTAACATGAGGGGACCCCGTGGGGTGAGCATAGGCTTTTATCAGATTTTTGTGTCCTGACAGTTTAAGTTCAGAGGGGTTTGGTCCAACTTTTCTCATTAGAACACTGCAAAAGCAGGAAGAGGGAAGTATATGTTTAAGGGTGGGGTTACTGTGATTTAACAGGCACAGTCTTTTATCATTGTATAAATACTAAGTGGGAGAGCAGTTGATGCAAGGGGAAAGAGTTAGGAGTTTAAAGCTGAAGTTTTCCATATGCTCTTTTTCTTCCCTCCCCCAGTCTAGTGAACAAGTATTATAAGTGGTGGTAAAATTTCAAAATGTTTCTTATTCATATTTATTACAAAATAATAATAAATAACAGATGCTGTAGGGAATACAACGGAATACTTTTAAAGTGATCTTTACCCTGCTTACACTGCACTCCTAATTCAAACATATTCAATAGCTTTAGTTCCGACACCACCCCACCCCGCTAGTAATCATCTTCGTCAAACCCAATGGGCCAGGGTTAATGCCAATATAGCTCAAGATGGCGGAGGAAGGTGAGTTGAAATTCATATGGAGTTTTGTCTACATTTGTATCTTTTGTGCAGCTTTATAATCATTTGTATTAAAATAAGTTTGGATAAATATTCTAGTTCTCAAAGTATAATTTAAAGCACTGAATAACCGGAACACTGGAGAAAACAATGCCATGTCATTCAACGTGCTTTGGCATAGTTCGTTTTCTCTGATTTGATATATGTCGATCGATTACCAGTCCTTCCCGCTTGTTACATTTCAGTAAGCGTCATAGATAAAGAAAACATTGCCTTCTTGTTTAAATACTTTAATTAACCACTCATTTTGGCTGCAAACTATTAAAACTAATATTGAAATACGAAAGAGCGACCTCTCCTCCTTTTGGTTTGTGAGTTTATGATGATGAATACAACTATTCGAGAAAAAGAAAGCATAGTTAAGTATGGTTTGAGAAAATAGATTTTAAGCTGACCTTTCATTTTGCCTAAATGTGAACTTATATACTTCCTCTTTTTTTTTATGGCATTTTTTTGCCTTCTTCCTTTCACTCTTTAAAATTTGATCATTTATTCTGTGTTTTAATTGAGTACAGGTCAGGTTGCCAAGCTGGAAAGGCACCTGAGCTTGTTACGTCAAGAGTATGTCAAGCTTCAAAACAAACATATTGAGCTGGAGCAGAAGTACAGTGTAGCAGTAGCCACTTCAGGACAGAGTGGAGAACATGAGAACACATTTGTTAGCAGGCTGTTGAAAACTGTTGCAGAACTATTTGATAAAGACTTGTACAGGTATGGCCTATGGTCTTTACTTCCATTCAACCAGAACAGGTGTTAATTGGTTCTGAAAGAATGAGCTTTAAAAGCCCAATAATAAGCTACTGCTGTTGTATGACATACTTTGAATGTTTACTTGTTCTAAGAATGTGCTTGTTCTTGTCGATATGCTGAAGGCAAAGAGAGATTCTGTGAGTGTATACTGTTTCCAGTGTCTCACCCCACCTCCCCTTCCTATAACAGCAACTGGACATAACAAATTTTGTCAGCCATTACCTGTGTGCTTGCATGATTTCTCTCCACACTGGAACCTTGTCATTTGAGTGCAGCATTTTGTGAATATTCTTTTAGCTGAACTTAGACTGCAACATTGGTAATTTACCTTTGAACTCTCCTATCCAAAACATTTTTCACTATCCCTGGGCTCTCAGGGTTGTAAAAGTTGGGTTTACACTAAGTCATGATGTAAACTAGTTAGAAATGAATGTTATTTTACTATTTGCAAACAGTGATATAACAGTGTGTTTTGCGGATCAGAAGATAAAAGCCCACAAGTTTGTATTAGCAGCACGTGGGGATCACTGGAGCAACAGAGATCTGAATGAAATTAATCAACTTGAATTAGCAGGTAACTTAATCATGGAGTGCTTTTTTCTAAAACTCCAGACATCTCTCTGTTGTATCCTTAAGGATGGGCTTTGATCAGAGGATATTACTTTGAATGCATTGCTATATTTTTTGCCAATTTATTATTTTTTTTAACTTTAATGAATGAAAGTATTGTTTTTTTTCTTGGACAGAATGCTAGCTGGTAACAGTTAAGCCCCTGCCCCTTGCATTTATGTCACACTGACACATTTTACTGGTATCAACCGATGCTATTAAAACAAACAGTGAGAGTCTGTAGCATTTTGCTTGGCACAGAAAGTATTTATGACCAGTCCAATATCAAATCTAATTGGCTATACCATGAGTCAATTTCCAAGTACTTATGGTACAAAAAAAAATCGAAGACAGGATTATGTCATTGTTTGGGAAGAAAATAGATTGTGAAAAAGGGTAAATGATGAGTAGTACTTGAGCACAACAGATCCTTAAGAAGAGTCACTGTTTGGAACCCTTTAACTCCCAAGATCTTGATTTTAATTTCCTTGTAAATTAGCCATATGAATTTGGTGATAGAGCAAGATAACAACTTCTGCCTGATAAGTTGGAATATTCTCATAACCTATTTGCCAGATATAATGCAAGGATCCTGATAAGTTTGAGTATTCTCATAACCTATTTGTTAGATAATGCAAGGATCCTGATAAGTTTGAGTATTCTCATAACCTATTTGTTAGATAATGCAAGGATCCTGATAAGTTTGAGTATTCTCACAACCTATTTGCTAGATAATGCAAGGATCCTGATAAGTTTGAGTATTCTCACAACCTATTTGTTAGATAATGCAAGGATCCTGATAAGTTTGAGTATTCTCATAACCTATTTGTTAGATAATGCAAGGATCCTGATAAGTTTGAGTATTCTCATAACCTATTTGTTAGATAATGCAAGGATCCTGATAAGTTTGAGTATTCTCATAACCTATTTGTTAGATAATGCAAGGATCCTGATAAGTTTGAGTATTCTCACAACCTACTTGCTAGATAATGCAAGGATCCTGATAAGTTTGAGTATTCTCATAACCTATTTGTTAGATAATGCAAGGATCCTGATAAGTTTGAGTATTCTCATAACCTATTTGCTAGATAATGCAAGGATCCTGATAAGTTTGAGTATTCTCATAACCTATTTGTTAGATAATGCAAGGATCCTGATAAGTTTGAGTATTCTCATAACCTATTTGTTAGATAATGCAAGGATCCTGATAAGTTTGAGTATTCTCATAACCTATTTGTTAGATAATGCAAGGATCCTGATAAGTTTGAGTATTCTCATAACCTATTTGCTAGATAATGCAAGGATCCTGATAAGTTTGAGTATTCTCATAACCTATTTGCTAGATAATGTGAGGATCCTGATAAGTTTGAGTATTCTCATAACCTATTTGCTAGATAATGCAAGGATCCTGATAAGTTTGAGTACTCTCACAACCTATTTGTTAGATAATGCAAGGATCCTGATAAGTTTGAGTATTCTCATAACCTATTTGCTAGATAATGCAAGGATCCTGGTAAGTTTGAGTATTCTCATAACCTATTTGCTAGATAATGCAAGGATCCTGATAAGTTTGAGTATTCTCATAGCCTATTTGCTAGATAATGCAAGGATCCTGATAAGTTTGAGTATTCTCACAACCTATTTGTTAGATAATGCAAGGATCCTGATAAGTTTGAGTATTCTCATAACCTATTTGTTAGATAATGCAAGGATCCTGATAAGTTTGAGTATTCTCATAACCTATTTGTTAGATAATGCAAGGATCCTGATAAGTTTGAGTATTCTCATAACCTATTTGTTAGATAATGCAAGGATCCTGATAAGTTTGAGTATTCTCACAACCTACTTGCTAGATAATGCAAGGATCCTGATAAGTTTGAGTATTCTCATAACCTATTTGTTAGATAATGCAAGGATCCTGATAAGTTTGAGTATTCTCATAACCTATTTGCTAGATAATGCAAGGATCCTGATAAGTTTGAGTATTCTCATAACCTATTTGTTAGATAATGCAAGGATCCTGATAAGTTTGAGTATTCTCATAACCTATTTGTTAGATAATGCAAGGATCTTGATAAGTTTGAGTATTCTCATAACCTATTTGCTAGATAATGCAAGGATCCTGATAAGTTTGAGTATTCTCATAACCTATTTGTTAGATAATGCAAGGATCCTGATAAGTTTGAGTATTCTCATAACCTATTTGCTAGATAATGCAAGGATCCTGATAAGTTTGAGTATTCTCACAACCTATTTGTTAGATAATGCAAGGATCCTGATAAGTTTGAGTATTCTCATAACCTATTTGCTAGATAATGCAAGGATCCTGATAAGTTTGAGTATTCTCATAACCTATTTGCTAGATAATGCAAGGATCCTGATAAGTTTGAGTATTCTCATAACCTATTTGCTAGATAATGCAAGGATCCTGATAAGTTTGAGTATTCTCACAACCTATTTGTTAGATAATGCAAGGATCCTGATAAGTTTGAGTATTCTCATAACCTATTTGTTAGATAATGCAAGGATCCTGATAAGTTTGAGTATTCTCATAACCTATTTGTTAGATAATGCAAGGATCCTGATAAGTTTGAGTATTCTCATAACCTATTTGTTAGATAATGCAAGGATCCTGATAAGTTTGAGTATTCTCACAACCTACTTGCTAGATAATGCAAGGATCCTGATAAGTTTGAGTATTCTCATAACCTATTTGTTAGATAATGCAAGGATCCTGATAAGTTTGAGTATTCTCATAACCTATTTGCTAGATAATGCAAGGATCCTGATAAGTTTGAGTATTCTCATAACCTATTTGTAAGATAATGCAAGGATCCTGATAAGTTTGAGTATTCTCATAACCTATTTGTTAGATAATGCAAGGATCCTGATAAGTTTGAGTATTCTCATAACCTATTTGTTAGATAATGCAAGGATCCTGATAAGTTTGAGTATTCTCACAACCTATTTGCTAGATAATGCAAGGATCCTGATAAGTTTGAGTATTCTCATAACCTATTTGTTAGATAATGCAAGGATCCTGATAAGTTTGAGTATTCTCATAACCTATTTGTTAGATAATGCAAGGATCCTGATAAGTTTGAGTATTCTCATAACCTATTTGTTAGATAATGCAAGGATCCTGATAAGTTTGAGTATTCTCATAACCTATTTGTTAGATAATGCAAGGATCCTGATAAGTTTGAGTATTCTCACAACCTATTTGCCAGATAATGCAAGGATCCTGATAAGTTTGAGTATTCTCATAACCTATTTGCTAGATAATGCAAGGATCCTGATAAGTTTGAGTATTCTCATAACCTATTTGTTAGATAATGCAAGGATCCTGATAAGTTTGAGTATTCTCATAACCTATTTGCTAGATAATGCAAGGATCCTGATAAGTTTGAGTACTCTCACAACCTATTTGTTAAATAATGCAAGGATCCTGATAAGTTTGAGTATTCTCATAACCTATTTGCTAGATAATGCAAGGATCCTGATAAGTTTGAGTATTCTCACAACCTATTTGCTAGATAATGTGAAGATATTAAGGGAGTTCAAGGGTTAACTCTTTCACTCCCAAAATTGACCAAAGAGGAATTTCTCCTTCTAATTTCAAGTCAATTTTTACCATCATGGACCAGAGAAAGGAGAAAATTATCAAACAAGAATGCCATTTTGATTATAAAACAAATTTTCATGGCTAATATTGTGAGAAATGAATACCAGTCAGTTTAGAGAATTGATGTTTGGATCTTGGGGGTAAAAAGGTTAAGAAATAAAACTCTTTAAACAAATTCTTCTGGGGAAAATTTCATATTAAACTTTTTGTATTTATTACTTCATCTATGCAAGTTATATGTTTATTTATTGATTACGATTTCAGATATCAGCTCAGCAGTTGGTTTGACATTAATGAAATGGGTGTACACTGATAAGGCAGAAATCCCCCATGATGAAGCATTTCTCATTGAGCTGGTTAAAGCAGCAACGAAGTATAGACTTAAAGAATTAAAGGAAAGGTACTGGTAGATGGAAAAAGAAATGATCTGATAATTTTCTACAATGTAGCTGAACCGTAAATATAAGTCAGTTGAAAAGGTTAATTTTTGTTAAGTTATTTAAAGGGATACCCTTGACACTAGAAATTGTTACACTCAAGAGAGATATTTATAATTTTTGGGTTGGAGAATATAAGGGTTAATTTTTAAATTTCATTTCATTGGGAACATGATTTAGTATCATTTCAGTAACAGTTTTCACTTTTATAGTGTTTCATTTTTAATCAAGATGGTATTACATTTTAAGGAGAAAGCTGTAGTAAATCAAAATGACTCTTCTTCATCATTAAGTACTTGTACTCTCTCTTTTGTAAGAAGTAAACTCATTTTCCCTGTCACTTTCTTCCTGCATAAAGTGAAGGTCAAGTGTGGCTTGTCCTAGTAAAGCAATTTTATACAAAAATCCTTTTTGAAAGCCAGTAACAAGGTGTCCAAACTCCAATGCAGTTTATTTACTGACATTTTTTGTTTTCTCTTCTTGCCAGGTGCGAGAAAATGTTAATGTCTTCAGTGTCAGTTTCAAACTGTATAAAGTTTTACCAGACTGCTGAAGATATTGGTGCTAAAGAATTGCAGAAGTATTGTGCAGAAATTATCTCTAATCACTGGGTTGGTTTTCTTAAACATTTGCACTTCTTAAACATTGTCTGGAGAGTAAGTGACTTTACAAATGGTCTATTTGTTTTGTTGTAATTTCAGCATGACCTTAAGACAGAGGATTTCAGCAGCATGAGTGCACCATTATTGTATGAAATGTTCAAGTCAAAGTCTGGCTTTCCTCTTCACCTGGCAGTTAGGCATCACAGGGAAGATGTTGTCTTTCTGTTCCTGATTGAGTTTAACCCACAGGTAATCAGTATGTTAGAAAAAAAAATTAGCAGTTCAGGTAAGAAAAGAAGCAGGGCAGATTAATATGTTCTTTAGGTGCATTCACATCAGAACAGTTTTCTCAAAATTCTTGAAGATGTATCAGCAGCAGACCCAAATATTTTCACTGTTGTGACCCCTTGGTGGCAAGCTCACAAGAACTTGCCAGCTCCTAAATTAAGAATTTTTTCTAATTTTATTGTTTAATATGTGGAAAGCCTTAATTGATAAGGTGGTATTCCCCAGCAGCCTGGTTTCCCTCTCAACATATTGGTGCCCATTTATGCTCCTGAGAAGTAACACAAGACTTTGGTGACTTGTGCAAGAATGCATCAGAGACAGAGCCCTTTTGGGCTTACTCTCTTGACCCCTTTAATCAGAACCTGTCTTGCTAACTTCAGGTTTTCTCCATCCTCTAGAAGTTATCTGCATACACACTGCACTAACATGGTGCATAATTCATTCAATGTTTTTTGTGGATTTTGTAGTTACCTGGTAAACTGAATGAGCTGGAACCGTCTAGTGGTCAAGTTCCTCTTCACATTGCACTCACAGAGAAACAGGAAAGCATTGCTAGGACTCTTGTTGGTCATGGCTGTGATGTGAACATGGCAGATATCAATGGGCAGTGTTTGTTACACAAGGCCATAAACCAAGGTGATGAATTTTCTGCAACGTTTTTGATCAAGAATGGAGCAAGAGTCAGTGCTGCAACACACAGTGAACATGTGACCCCATTACATCTGACTGCTTCTTACAAGTAAGGGAACATTTCACTTTTTTCTTGAGAATTGCAATGAACAAAATACTAATTGGTGTCAGTTAAAAGCTTGTGGATTGTGGCCAGGATGAGAAATCCTGTTTACAGACATTCTGGCAATGTTGCCATCATGTGGGAATAGAATGTAAGATAGGAATGGAACATTAAGAAGTGGGAGAGGTCCTCTTCCTGTTGCTGAACATGTTAGTGAAAACTTGAATTAAACTGAGGCATAATTTGACATATAGTAGTAGGAAAAAGTTCATGTTTTTTCATTGTACTTGTTGTGGTTGTACTTCAGACCTTGGTCAGCTTCTTCAACTCCTGTAGGAGCAACCAATTCAACATCAATGACATCAGCTCAGGGAATGGCAAGGATTGCATCCTTGCTTTTGGAGAATTCTGCAAATGTTGATGCCCAGGACAGTGCAGGAAGGTTGGTGAACAACATTTCTGTTACAAGCACGTTCTTTTGTAAGCATACATATTCAAATCAACTTTAAAACAAAATCTAATTAAAGGCTTTCTTGAAAAACGTGAATTTGGTTTGTTTGAAAATCTCTTCTAAGAGGTTTGTCAGAGGGGAGTGTGGATTGGTGCAGGTTTGTCCCGAAGCCCAGTTGTACATTCTAGTTTTTTTTTTCCATCACTGGTATTTGGTTTGTATATCATTGACTGATCTTTAGGTCTATTTACATTTCAGGACTTCACTACACAGAGCTATAGAGGCTCAGAATGATGCTGTTCTTAGCATTCTACTTCAAAAGGCCAAGTATGTAGATCTCTTTCTTCCTTATGCTGCAGAACCCCCAAGCGCGTGTTATGCGTGGGAATTACACGTGCTTCCAGTAATCAACTAATTTTTAATTTAATATTTATTCTGAGTCGATCTTCCTTTGATTTTTATGCACTGTTAAGCAGAAAGGTAGTGAGGATTGGAAAACTTTCCTATAGGGTATGTCTTGTATATGAGACATATCCTCAGGAGGAGTCAACTAAGAAACTCATGACTGTCCGCTAGGAAAACGAGCTTCAAGATCTTAGGAGGGAAAGGCTAAACAAAGCCACATCTTCTACTGTTCTATATACAGTTTAAAATAGTTTAACATCAGGGGTCGGGACTTTTTCATAAGTGCACTCACTTTGGGAAAAAGAAATTCAACCGTTAACATCACAAAGCAAGCGAGGACCAGGCAGTCAACGTTTGATGATAGATTTGTGGGTGAAAAATAACATGTGTTTGTGAAATGAACGGTTGCGTTTCGGAATGACTCGAAGCCTTTTCAACTATTGTTTCCATGATTGGTATGTCCCCGTAAATGCAATTTTTCAGGTTTTCTTCTCCCTTATAACCCAGTGCTATGCAGAATTTTCCAAGGATCTGATTACACAGCGAACGAGAGAAGTAGTTCTCCTTTTTAGCCACATGTTCTCTCAAATGCAAATCCATGTCCACCAGTTCAAACATTTCCTGCTCATGCGTTTTCTACAATTTCCCCATTGGTTAATTGGCGTTTCTGTGTCTGTTCTGATTGGTAGACTCAATCTGGAGCTGCGTGACAATGAAGGGCGTGTCCCATTGTGGCTGGCATTGTCACGTGACACGCAAGTGGATCCAATGGACGAAGACAGTTTGGCAGCTAAGCTTGTAAAACATGGAGCTAGTGCAGATGCCATCAACAATATTACAGGTGAGCTGCCTTCTTGATACCGGAATATTTCACGGCAAACACCTTGTGGTGTTAAAAATAAAGGATTTTTGCTCTCCAATGCGGGAAACTTTGGTGACGCCCACGACTTGAATAAAATGTAAATTATTTGGGTCATACAACGTGATTGCTTTTTTCCTTCGAGTAACTGATGGTATAGAAGAAGATTGTTGACTGATTTGTGATCCTAGTTGCTCATGGCACAGTTTGCATCAATCCAGATTTGATTGATATGGCAACGCGCAGTTTTCGTACGCAAGCAAGGTTAACATGCAGAACACTACCTCTACCAAAGTGTTCGTGACTAAAATCGTCAGGCTCGTACCCAAATCAGACAGAACTGTGAGTTCAAGGAAAAATTTATTTAGGTTTATATTTTAGGGTCGAATGCGGTCCAGTTTTCTTCTTCCTCCTTGTGCGATTGTTATGAACAAAGTAATCTTCTTCTTGAATGACTTTGTTATCCCCGCACCCCTCCCTTCTTGCTCTTTCTCACCCTGGCTTGCCCGCTTATTTTTTGTCTCCCTACTGATCGTTATTGTACCTCGGATATCTCAAACTTCCGGTGTCTATTAGTCTCCAGCAGGACTTTGCGGTATACTCATTGAGTTATTTTCTTTGATTGGTTTTTAAGGCGACTCATTACTTCATATGGCGGCTGCTTCTGGCCGTGAAGAGGCTGGTTTGTTTTTAGCGTCGCACGGAGCTCAAGCAAACCACACCAACAAACATGGCGAGATGCCTCTTCACGTCGCGGCAAGGAAGGGCTTGGCCAAACTCGTGTCTGAACTTCTTAACAAGTAAGTGAAACGAATCATTAGTTGTTGCACTGAGCACTTGTTAAAACTTTGGTGAATTACGGCGCTGTAAGAGACGGGGTGACCTTTAATCTCGCAGTGGCTGCTTCCTGCGACTTTTTCGTTTAACGCATATATTTACTGTTGAATGTTATTAGGCTTAAACGCCGAGCTGTTGGCATCATTTCTTGACACTCATCTCTTGTTTCCATTAGCTGGTCATTCCAGCAGGTCAAACCCTTTCCTGTGTTTTGTGTGCTGATTTGGTTTTTTTTTCTGCTGTGTCTAAGTGTTTACCGTAGTTTTGTTCAAACAGCGTATTTTTATGCGCCGGCAGATATCTGATCGTCTTTTCAAACTATATATGATAATCCGTGCAGATACTTACATTATCCAGCATAACACTGGATAACACTGACCAACCCCAATCAATCTCATAAATTGGAAGAAAATACTATTAGCTGTTAGGAGCTTGAGTGAGTGAAAGCCACACGAATAACCTGATATACAGACAGTATCCCGGTGTGTTTGGTAATCATGTGTCACTTCTATTTTTAAAACACAAACCTTAGAACGTGTGAATAAGAAATCACGGACAATCGCCAGCTCTGTTCACATCACAATTCAATCTCTTCAAAACAACCATGAAACTTTTAATTTTTTCTATAGCGGAGCGAACCCGAACGCTCAAACCACAGAAACGGAAGAAATGAAAGTCAAAGCTACAGAAAGAGCTCGAGCGAGAGAGACAGCTAAAAAACAAGCCAGACAAAAGGCCAGAGAGAAATTTGTGGAAATGGAAACAGCGAAAGCTGCCGAGAAAGCGAAAGAAGCTGAGCGGCAGAAGAAATCACAAAAGCTACCATCATCACAATTAAAATCTGTACCAGCTGTACCTTCCATATCGGCAAACAAGTTGAACTCTTTCGAGCAGGATCTGGGACACAGCACAAATCCTTTTGATGAAAGCGATCAGTTCTCATTCGGGTCTGAGGATGCAACCAATCCTTTTCTGGACGATATCAGAGCCGCATCAGCGGCTGCCTCCGCCCTGTCTTACGGTGGTAATCCTTTTGAGGAGCCTCCTGAAGGTACGACAAGCAGGTCGTCTTTTGCAGTTGATAACAGTGTGGAGCGAAAGACTTTTCGCTCTCGCGTTCGCGTAGATTTTCTCGGCTTATGCAGCTCAGTATCTGAGCGTACAACTACTTGATTTCCATCGGCAGCTCCGGTTTATAAAGAAATATCTTTTACTTCCTACGGTTGAATTTGATATATTTCACTGTCTGTCTCAATGATAATTCCTCTTGTTGTGTCTAATAGAACCTGTTTGATACAAATTTAGTTGAATTTAGTTACACAATTTATAATACACAAACTTCAATATTATAAAGTGAAGAATAATCTCCTCCTTCACAAACTCTTCACTCTTGTGCTGTGCTTGTCTTGTGCTCATTTAACGGGCTTACTTATTTTTCATCTTGTTTAATACTTTATTTTGTCAGAAACTACCCCGGTACCAGATCCCTCTCCTAGTGCAGCCAGCACAGACGTAGCAGCCGCTGACTCTAACGCAGCTCAGACTCCAACAGAAGAAATGATCGACAAGCTGGTAGATGACTTCCAGTTGTACCAGGATCCTTACCTGCAAGCTGTCATAATAGACTGTCACGGAAGGACTCCATTGCACGTTGCTGTGGCTGAAAAACATGAAGATGTTGTAAATTGTTTTCTTGACTTTCAAGGTTGGTTGTTGTTAAGTTTTAGTGAAAGAAAATTTTTATAGAGGAGCGGGAAGAGGTTAAGCGTGAGCCATTTTCTGATTTATCTGAATTTACGGAAATCCCCAACGTTGAAGATCTTGAGTGTGGATCAATATCCTATAATCTTCCTCTCGGCCATCTCATTAGTTCCTTAGAAAGAGAGCAACTGAGTTATCTTTTCATTGGAGTGCAACTGGTGTGTTCTCTGACTTGCTATGCAAGGGGCTCAGTTCGCTAAACTACGGCAGACGAGCGCCGAAGTCATCAGTGTACTGTCGTTCATTTACTTGCAATCGTCTTTTATTTGCCTTTGTCAATTACTACGGCAACACTTTTTAACGTGACATGTTTCTTTCGTGGAAACTTTGAAGAGATCGAAAAGGTTACCTTGTGGCTTAAGTTTTCGCCCATAAATCTCATTTCACGGACCAACTTTATTCATCTTCGCGCGTTGCAGGCAGTTTAGGCAGAGGTGGCCGTCTTCCCATTGTACCGGATTTTAACTTGTCAGACAGTGAGGATCAGACTCCCCTGGAGTTAGCTCTGTGTACAGGTCAGATGTCGGTAGCCAGTAGGCTGCTGGAGGCTGGTGCCAGTATTGAGGTCCAGACCACCAAAGGTCTGACTCTGCTGCATAAGGCTGTGAGGAGGGGAGATAACGCTAGTGCTTTGTTTCTATTAGAGCACGGGGCTGACATTAATAACAAGTAAGATAACTTGTTTTGCTCTGATAGACTTTGCACATGAATGTCCCACTACGACACACTGTATAATGGCGTGACATGACAAGCTGGGCAACTTACACCCCCGTGACTGTCAACGTTACTTATATGCAGATTGGTAAAATTACAGCGTGTTTTGATCGGTAAACCTTTTCAGTTAAATCGATTTATGATACAGCTTGTGCACCCCATTGAAAAACCTTTCGGTGAAACCGAAATAATAGTAGCTACTCCGAGCAGTATAATGACATGCATCTCGAAGTGGACATTAATTCCATTATTCCATGAATAAGAACATGCTTCTACTGATTTGCCTATTAACTTTTAGTGAATTAAGTATAGTTAACAACATGGTTTCGAGTGCAAATTGGTGTTAATAAGCAAGAGTGAATTTCTCAAAGACAACAAATTGCACAAGCCTGTAGGGCGAGTGCAATTTGTAGTCTTTGAAAAATTTACAAGTGCTTATTTACAGCAAATTGCACGAGAATTCATGTTGTTACCTGTTAATAATATACATGAAAACGCAGTACAGGGAGTTAAGACGGACGAACTTTTGGCAACGCGCACGCGCCATTTGTAATTTGCACTTGTGTTACATGAAAAATGCACTCGTTTCCAATTAGACGCGTGTAATTTTTTCATGCATATTATTACCTCCTTGTATCATCTGCTCAATTCGATTACCTTTAGCTTTTCACTTATTGTCTTGCTGTGTTTAGGACGAAGGAGAATAAGACAGCTCTTCAGTTAGCCATCCAGTGCCATTTGCAGCCGGTAGTAGACGCTCTATGTAAGAAGGGTGCTGATTTAAACAGCTGCGATGAAAAGAACAATTGTCCTCTATGGGTGGCGCTTAAGAGTGGACAGCAAGATATCGCGTCTACACTTGTAAGTATAATACTCATGCTGAAAGGGATTTCCTGAAGACAACTTTATGCCAGTCGTTCTTTACTCACTAAGTGGTTAGCACAACTGGAGCTGGAAAGGCGTACGATCTCTTTATGTTACTTGTGATCGCTAAGTTTTTTGTTCCAATATAAATAGTTGAAGATCGTCACGGAACTCTAATAGTACTTTCTAATAGTACAATGGAACCTTCCAAAGCCTTTCAACGCGTGGCAAAGACCTTCGAGCTTACTGGATCGCTTATTTAAACAAAGTCTGACCCAAACCACAGTTTTACACAATCTGTGGGCTTCATCGGGCTTTCTATATATAAGGGTTGATTAATTTAATGTCTTTCCTTTGTTAGCTTTCGGCCCTCTCTAAACTGTTCAGTAATATAAATGTTCAGATAAAAGGTCCAGCTAAATTGGGGATTGTTTGGTTTTGTTAAACAACGGCTAAACTTTGTTTAAATTATCTGTATTTAGCAGACTGTGCATGTTCTTTTAATATGAGAGTTTTATTGATAGACAATGCAAACTGACTGTCTTCATTGATTGCGCCACTAGGTATTGTATGGCTGCGACACCGACGCTTGGAATCTGGGCCGTAATGGTTGTACCCAATCACTTCTTCATCGTGCCATCGATGACCGAGACGAACCATCCGCATGTTTCCTTATTAGAAGCGGCTGTGATATCAACAGGTAAATAATTAAGGTTGAAGTTGGATGCTAGCGACTGATTTTCTCTTCCTTTTCTTTTTGTACAGATCTTACTTTATTTGCAATGCTTACTTGTTTTTAAACAATTACTATCATGAGTAACGATGATAACTTTAGTACTATTGAATGAAAAAAAAGGCAACCATTACAATACCCCCCACCCAAAAAAAAAAAAAAAAAAAAAAAAAAAAAAAAACACTAACAATGATAGCATCACTTTTTAAAATGGTGTCACCACACGAATGCAAAATTGAAAATAAAAGCTATGCAGTCAAGAACGTTACATACGATACACTTATTATTATCGTCTCTATGATTTACTTAACTCTATAACACTGGAGTGACTAGCGTCTAATTTCTCCTTACAATATCATCCCTAAATCAAACATTAAGGTCATTAGTATAAAGAACATGATCGACAACTAAAGAACCTCTTCATTGTTAAACAAATTCTCCTTGTCGGCGCCCAAGGAAATATGTAGAGAACAGTTCGGAGAATATCCATACTGATGTTAGGGTGTAGAGGGCTTATTAGATTTTTAATTTTTCCTTTCCTTTTTCCTTTTTTTTTTCATACGTAATCAACGAGTTTCATACAATACATCAACAGGGCTTACTATAGTGCTAGAAGTACTTACAACAGCTAGATCAGTTCTTATTGTACCGATAACACTTACTATACTTGCTTGGTATTTCTAATAAAGTGCTTCTAACAAGATTTCGATCAATGTGAGTTTCTGAACAACGGCGCACTTACCCCTCCCCTGACCCTGATATTATGAACTGAACTGATATTAAGTTAAGGTTAATGTTGGGTTACGAGAGGGTTAGGTGTGCAGTTGCTCAGATAAATAGACATTTATCTTTAGATTTAATATATATTTCTAGGCAGAAATATGATTTTAAAATTAAAAAAGAAGGATGTGTAGGTAGTGATAGTTAACTCTTTACATCAAGTCTTTGCTAATCTCAGTGACTTTATATTTTCCAGTCCTCGACGACCTGGTCCTGACGGTGAGGGTGGTATAGAAGCCTGGGATGGAATGTCGCCTCTTCACTTGGCTTGTGAGGCTGGTTTGGATAACGTGGTACAAACATTAGTGGAGCATAAAGTCAACGTTAATAGCAAGGTTTGTTGGACCAAAAAAAATACTTTGTTCTACAGGAATCGTATGATTACAATGAGGTAAATGACGAAGAAATTTTTTTTTTAGCTTTGATTCCACGCTCTTGACAAACAGTTTTTCTCTCCTCAAGATTATGGACCGTTTTTTTGTATTTTTTGTAAATTGGTTAGCTTATGTATGTGCAACAGAGAAAAAAAGTATACAAAAAAAACCAAAACGCTATTTTACTGATTAATATTTGTTGACGCGTTAAGTTTTATTTTAGTACAATTTCTTACTTTGTTTCATCGTAAAATAGAGAGAATAACTGCTTCCCCTCAGATCAGAAATAAAGAAAGATCCATGCATCGCCGGATGATTATTCTATATTATTTCCACACACTGCGTAACGAGTCGTAAGTTCAGATAAAAGGAAGAGCCATGTGCTTACTGTCTGCCGTACAATTCTTATGATGTTAGTTCAGAGAATTTGGTATTGGATCAACTGATAATCCCCTAATTGATATATTTCTTTATTTTCGTCCCTTGTCTACTCGATATTGTGTTGATACGGTAAAGAGACATTCTCTCTTGGTCACTCTTGGTACCTAAAGAGTGAAGCTTTACACTTAAGACTTCCTGCACAAAGACGTTCTATATATCTCGAACAAGGTAATAGTTTATTTTTCATTTAAGAGAAAAATCTTGCGATAAACGTACGTAATATATACGACTGGTTATTATAGGATTCAGAGAGTCGCAGTCCGATCCATATCGCCATCACCAGCAAACATCCCATCGTTACCAGGTTACTGCTCAGTCATCCAGAACTTAATATGAACGTCACTGACCGATCAGGACAAACGCCATTTGCTGTTGCCCTAAGGACACGTGATCATGAGGCTGCAGGAGCGATACTGGCACGAGAACCAGGTGCCGCTGAACAGGTGAGAGAGAAATGCTTAAACATGGTCTTAGAAAGCTTTCTAAAAATCATAGGAAAAAACTATAGCAACTATCTTTTTTAATGTTTTTCAGTCATTACGTCAAGCAAAAATTTACAAAATAGTTGCTTACAGAGCAAACTCTTGAGTTTTTATATTTATTTCAGTCATTACGTCAAATACCTGGTCTTTCACGCGACACAGAAGCCATGAATGCCAATAAAAAAAATTCCCAGTTGCAAGAAACTTCTGACTTATCCTAACAATATCCCAATCGATACATTTAGTTCACGTTTAAGGATCAGTTCGTTTTTTGACATGAACACCTTATTAAAGAAAACAGGTGACAGGGATACAAGCTTATTAGCTAGAGGATGTTGGGATGATATAACATCTAGTTCTCTCGATTTAATTTCTGGAGTTATGTCGCGGTTGAAAGAGAGAATTGAAAATCACAGCTTGGGAGTGATTTTGGTTATTAAATGTCCCCGCAAATACCACAGCCTTTCATGTTAAGCACTACCGGTAATTTTATGGATTTTTCGTTGCATCAAGCTCAATATGCCTCTGTTGGAAGAGAAGATAACCCTAAAGACTTAAAAATTCGAATGTTAGCAACCAGATTAATTTAAGCTTCGATTTTAAGCACAACGGTTATTTCCTTCATATCACAAGTAAGGTTTGTTAATATTTCCAGTTCGACTCCAAGGGACGCAACTTCTTGCACTTAGCCATTCAGAATGTCGACGTGGAGACTGTGTTGTTTCTGATCGGTGTGTCGGCTAATGTCAACTCTAGAATCCAGGACTCCTCCCACAGAACACCGTTGCACTTGGCTGTCAGCGCGGGGTCGGAAATAATTGTTAGACACTTGGTAGGAGTTTGCTGCTCTTTTTGTAGTTTATTGCTCATAAAGAATAGTTTAACGGTATTCGCGTCATCGTTTTACAACCTACGAAATTCTAGCCTAACGAAACCATTTGGTTGTCGTCTATCAGGGTAGAAAAACATCAAAAAGGCGATTGCCTCCATTTTTATATGAGTTCCGAAATGAACTCCCCTTTCCTCCCTTGATATGCAGTTTTTTTAACTGAATGCAGGCATACATCGTTCGTTATGCAGCAAAAAATGCAGCTGTTTTTAATCATAAACAAAGAAATTATGCGTTCATTCAGGGGACTAGATCTTCCAACCTACTTGTAGGACTTCATAGAGTAGGATTTGAGATTCCTCGTCTTTTTCTTTTCTAATTCGCAGCTTCTTGCCGGTAGCAGAGTTAATGATGTGGACAAACATCGTCAAACAGGATTGCACATTGCCGCTGCAAATAACCGTGCTTCCATTATCAGTGTTCTGTTAGAAAACGGTGTTGATCCAGATGCTACGGACGAGAAAGGAAATAATGGTATCGTCCTTATTTTTATCTTCATTTTAAAGATCCTAATCGGGCTGTGTCTGTTTTAAAACTATTAAAAAGAGTTCTGTTCTGGTGTTAGCCACATGAATAGCTAACGTTAACGGTATTTCAGTTGTTGTGGAAGGAAGGATGTAGCTAGGCCGATTGGTTAGGAGACTAAGTTTGTAGGCCATGACTCTTACCGAAATGGATTTGTTCGTCTGCTCTATATGAATAGCAATTAGTCTCCCCCACTGGTACTTTGTGTACTGTTACTGTCACCGACACATTCTGCCGTTTGTCATTGGCTGTTGAATATCGTTTGTTTTCCCATACATTAAAACAATTCTCTGCACTATTGTGTGATTTACTTTCTTCAAAAATGTAAAATTTGGTCAAAAGACTTTGGGAGGAAACTTGAACTCCATATATTAACGATCTGGTTCACTTGTTTGATATGTTCTAGCTTTACATGTAGCAGTACAGTGTGGTCACGTGGAAGCTGTACGTGTGTTACTCACTGAGTCATCCATCAATGCAGAAGCTTACAATGCTCGGTGAGTATCCGCTTTGTTTGGGTGTCCTATGGTGATTTTCACTCGATATGCATTCATAGGTGGGATGTGCAGAAGCTATCAGAATAGAATGTCGTTTTAAAAAAAACCTTTTTAATTGCAACTACCAATAAGCACGGGTCAAAGTGAACTAATTAATTTATTAACCGACGGGTTTCGGTGGTAAGTGTGTGTATCATTAACTTCTTTTATATGAATCAATTGTATGGAGAAATGCTCTCTATCGAATAATGTCATCGATTTATGGGAAAATGAGTCCTAATTCGTTGTTTCTTCGCCTGTTTTTTATGTGTATATCTAGTGGCCAGAACCCATTGCACATTTTAGCGCAGTACGCCAAAGATAACGCAGTGGCCATATTTGAGCTTTTCCGCCAATCAATGCCAGACTATCCCATTAATGCTCTGGACGCGGATGAAAATATAGGTAAGGGTCATCATTTATCAGTGTAACGTGTCTGTAACTCGATGGGTGTATTATTGGTTCTAAGGTTTGATTACATTTTTTGTAGTTTTCTGGCTATGTTAGTTGTTTAGAACGTGCAATAAAGGGAAGCAGAGATGGTGATCAGGTGATCAGAGAACTCACCTCCCACCGCTGTCACCGCGATGCGATGAGAGTCCCGAACCTGTGGTCACATGTGGTTTGAGTTTCTTGATGATTCACACCACTCCTTGTTGGGTTTTTTTACCCGTTCTCTGATTTTCCTCCCTCCACCAAAACCTCTAAAATTCGAATTTACAACTCGATCTCCACGCCACTGAAATTTAGTAGAGATCATTTTGGAATTTTATTAGAACCGTTTTTCTGCCCAATATTATTCGTAAACCAAAACTTTTGCTTACCAGGTCTGTCAAACCAGTCAACATATTAATTCAATCTTTGTCAGACTCAATGATAGGTAGATAGGGGGTAAGTTTTTAAAGAAACTGTGGTGCTGCATCGGTGGAATAATGTTACAGGGTAATTTAGTGTTATCAACTGAGTTGATAACATAAATTGGTCACCGTAAAGAGTTTAAAAGCTGACGTTCCCAACGTTAGCCCATTGTCAGAGTGATTGACGAAGGACTAACGTCATCTTCAAAACTCTTTACGGTGGCTAATTTACGTTATCAACTCAGTTGATAATACTAAATTACTCAATGGTAAGTATGTGAAGCTGACAACATTCTGTGTTTGTTATTTCTAGCGTTGTTTCTTGCTTACACCAATGGCGCGGCTCGATTATGTCGTGAGCTGCTGAGGGCAGGTGGAAGCCTGGCAACCATTAACAAACATGGGGTATCGATATTTAATGCGCAAGTACCAACGAAGAAGCTTCTATATACGTTACTTGGTGAGTGCAAATGAGGGAGGGGAAGTTGTGCGGCTGGTACTTGTACTTACTGTGGTTGTTTTCTGAGACTAATACCTTGAAGAACCCTTTTTTTCCCAAAATTTGGTCGCGAAGATCAAGTTTGCTCTCGGCGAGTTGTCTTTCGAATAAAAAATTTTCAGTTTGATTGAAGTAAAGGAACGGATCCCATGACATGACATTGTCGCTTTCACGTCCTCCTCAACGGCTTCAAAGTTAAGTTTCAGGTGCCACATTGGCGACTAAGTTTCATTGCCTCTGTGTGACATTTTAAGAGACTCGTCGCAAGGATTGTGGACAGGGACTTTTACCTTCTATGTGCAGGCCTTAAACACATACTCAGTTAGCTGAGAAAATGCAATATTTGTGATGTCTAGGGAGCGCTAACTGTAATGCACCGGCACAAGTGCACTTCCATTTCTGACAACTTATACTGATGTACATTTAAGATATGCTGAACGCCGAGCCACAGTGGATTGACGGACCAGTGTGTCACGAATGTTCAATCAAATTCTCCGTCAAAACTAGAAAACATCATTGGTGAGTCTGGAATAAGGAACCACTAAATAACGGTTTGGTAGAAACTATCCTTCCTTAATTGCTGATTTGTGTGTCTGTTTTTGTTGGTGTAGTAGTGATTTAACCCACTGAGCTTAAGTATCTACCTGGTAAAAAGTTGGAACTTGTTGAGATTTTGCGATATGTAAAGATGAATAAATAACAAACTTGTCTTCATTTTATGGGTTGTAAAAACATGTAACATGTACCCACTGAGCTTAAGTATCTATCTGGTAAAAAGTTGGAACTTGTTGAGATTTTGCGATATGTAAAGATGAATAAATAACAAAGTTGTCTTCATTTTAGGGTTGTAAAAACATGTAAGACGACTTTTTCTCCTAACACTCATTACCTGCTGGCCTATCAGAATGTCTGACAAAGGATGTCAACTTCGCTCATTTGTTCCTTTGATTTTCTTTAACATTATATCTTCGTTCGTTTTCTCCTCAGTCGCCACTGTGGCCGCCTTTTATGTGCCAAATGTTCGTCCAAACAGATACCCATCATAAAGTACGAATTGACCAAGCCTGTGAGAGTTTGCAATGTTTGCTTCGAAATGCTGACCTCTGGAGTAAGCTAGTACATTACTACCTCGAAAACTTAAACGTATCGCCTTTGCAAGTCAATAACATTATGCGGGTGGCACATGCATGACCGTAGAAACGGAGAGCGCTGTCTAGAAACGTGGATTTTTTTTGTTTTTGGAATTTAGTTAACGTAAAAAAATCAGCCAACTGATCAAGTAAGTGCTTTTTTCCTACTGGGATACCGTATTTTACACCATTTTTTAATTCGCTCCTTTACAATCAGTATGGATGATAAAAAGGGACAAGTTCCCCCTAATTTGGTGTTTGGCAGTATGTTCTTCAGATGTTTTTGTTTCCTCTTCCTTGAACTTGATGTTTACTTAGCGAGTAACTTGTCCAGTTAAGGCACCTATTCAAACAATGTGTTACGTTGTATTACTTTGTTTTCTGCGCTGTGGCTAATTTTGCTTTCGTTCCTTAAAATATCTGAATCTCCACAAGCATCATGTTTTCAAAGGTGAGGAATTCATGTTTTAGTTCACCAGAATCTTCAAAGTGATGACTGAGTAATAAAATATCGGGAAAACCCTAACTTGTGACAAACGTGGTGCACAATGTATGAAATGGTTCATGCCTGAAATCGTTTCTGATGCGTTTTCCGTTTCTAAAGTGGCCTGTGCATGGCTTGCTCTGACTGAAGAAAACATAAACGTCGCATTCGGCTCGCCCCTATAGCCATCGATTGCACTCAGTTTGGTGAGTACTTCAAGCAGGAGTCGTTTTGCGGCATGTCAGTGTTCAACGCGTCAAAGCCATTTTGTCCTGTCACTTTATAGTAGCTTCCTTCGCGACGTGAAGTTTCGTTCAAGAAGGAATTTCTACATATACGTAGTTGTTAGTTTTTTGAGCAAGAAGAACAACTAAGGGTACAAGTCCAAAGAGAACAAAGATGAATGACGATGAAGAAGATGGCAGTCCATTATAAATGAAGAAATTGAAAATTTTAGGATATATTTTTCAAAACGCCGTGACTAACTCCTAGTTAACAAGCACGGACACATTTCTAGACTGAATCCTTAAATAGATTCACAGCGAACAACTGATAGAACTAGGTAAGGGATTTGTAATTTGAAATGTAGCTTAGTTTAAAATGAGTTTGTCTTATTGTACAGAATTGATAAGTTCTTTAGAATAAATCAGTATTTCCTGAAAACGTGAGTGTCGTCTCGTAAGCTTAGTCAAACCAGGTAAGTTCGTACGAAAGAACAGGGTGATCAGCAGTTGATCATTATCAGTCCGTGGCGCCATCCTGCGATAGTTTTTCTCACCAGACATATGCAACTGTGTAATGGTAGTTGCATGAATAGAGAGCTGATAAAAATTTTACGATTTGTCAGTGGTGACCACATCAGCTATCTTGCCGAAGGCCGACAAACAGAGATATTATGATATTTTTTGTGGCAACCAAGTGCTTAAAAGATCAATACTCTCTCGTTTTATTTTAATACAATCCTCTATAGCGATGTTCCAACAAGCGCAGTTTAGTGGCTTCAGTACTCTTTTCTTTATTCGTTATCTGAGTTCAGTAACTTACTTCTTCTTTAATCCACTAACAAGTTTTCCCCTGAGAGGTTTTGCATTCCAGAGAGCTTGGATTTGAATATGCAATTGCAAAATTCGAAAAGGGAAAATAGAACGGTAATACGCATGAGCAGACCGTTATTTGAAGATTAAATTTATTTGCAAATCATGAGGCGGTCTCTCGCCCGATAAAGGAAAAGGTGAATGGGATATTAAAAACGAAGTACCGATGTCTAATTTTTCCGACCCTTTTTGTTTTTACATCACTTGGTAGTCTTCGGATCTCGAGCTCTCCCAGTCCGTCTTCGTAGCGATAATACGTTTCTAAGAGCTGACTTTCGGCACTATTATATGGGTAAGACACTTTAGCCATGGATTTTCGTTTTATTAGTTGGAATGAATGATATGTCAATTAGCTGTTCAGTTTCTATTTAGCCATCAGATGGTTGGATTAAGACTCCAATACGACATTTTACCTTACCTTGGTGGCTTCGTTGGGAGAAATATCGCGACTATTGATTGAGCGTCTCAAACCATAACGAGGTTATCTAACCATCAAGAGCGGGAGACGGGTTTTAAGTGATCGCCCAATCTCGAGCCCTCGGCTCCTCGTCATTGGCGTGGTTGCCTGACCAAACCACTGTGAGGGGGCCGAAAAGATTCAAGGGTTTGAGGGGAAAAGGGGATAAAATTACAGAAAAAAACACTGATCAACCAAGGGAACAAATAAAGTGTCAAATGAAATACGTGATGATCGTGTCTTTCTATATTCTTTTCATAGCTGCCAAATCACACTGCAGGGAACAGTAGAGCGGTCTTTTACATGTATTGATGTTTATCAAAATATCCCTTCTAAACATCAGCGCTATACAAAATCTGAATTTTGAATAGAAAACAAGCCAGCTTAAACTAATATTTATCTCGCCGAAAATCACGTCGGTCTTGAATCTTCAACTGTAGAGGAGGAGTGGTTTTTTTATCCTTCCCATTTTGTGCGTTGTCTGTGAAGTATCTTTATTTTTTTTTATTTTTTTGTGGCTTGTTACATGGTACATTCTGTTTGTTGTGAAGATGTGTATCGGATAAAAAGGGCTATTGGTTATCAAATTATTATGAGGCTCCTATGTGATGTGCGATACCGTTCCTTTTGCCTTCACTGAAAATGGAAAGAAATTACTGTGAGAATAAAATATTTGTTGAAGGTATTGAATGTCTTTTAATCAGCTTCGTTTGCTTTAGACGTACGGCCTACATATGAAGTCAACACTGAGTGGGAGAAATGGTGATAAGAAAAAAAAAACTGTAATAGTATCTTTAAAAAGTTTTATTGATAAAGGCTTTTTAAATTCATTGAAGCGGGTTCTTTCAAATTAGTTAAGTCGGAGATTGAATCTGTCTTTCCGGCAACAGTTGGTACATGCTATGCTTTTTCCCAACAAGTGGTATTCAAAACCGGATAAAAGGATGCACCTCGCGCTAAGATAGCTGTGAATAGAGCGGAATATTGGACACAAATATCGATTTCAAAGAAAAAGCCGACAATTATTGATGTTTAAAAATATCCGAGTTTATCAGCAAACAAGCTTCAAGAGATAGAATGAAGGCACGTACTGCCGAGTGTCTTGATCAAGTAGTGCCTGGGTTTTAACGATCTTTTTATCAAAAACTCGGTTGCGAAATTAGAATTCACGCGAAGTGGTTGATAGCAATTATTGGAAGATGTACGTGCACTCGCTTTTAGTGGAGAAAGACGTAAAAGTTTTTTTAGCTCCGTCATCAAATTGCATTATTTGCGAAGAGAAGAGACTTGATATGCGTAAACTAAATAATGAATTTAAATAAATGAAATATGTACAAATCACCTCACTATGGCGAGGGAAGAAAAAAATTTAATTGAATTGAGGAAAGGTTTATATAAGTTATAATATCAGAAATATAACTATGACAAGGTAATGTGATTTTGATGGCACCTTGAAGACAGTTCAGGCGTCCGGAAGGCACGTTCTGTGAAACATCTATAATAAACGGTAATCATTCTCAAAATTGGAACAGTCACTCTTATATATTTACGTAGATTGTCACATCTCTTGATAATATATGGAAATTGCTTCAATTTCGAAAGGTACGCAAGGAAATGTGTGTTTCTTTGCACGACGTGTAAAACGTGACAGGATTTCTTCGTTATTGTTGTTTTTATTAAATTTCCTAAAGCTTTTAGAGTTGGAATATATATGGAAGTATTTTCATGTTTTGTATGTCACTTGGCGGGACGTGAGTTATTTCCAGCTGTGACGTCATCAATAACTTGATCTGAGCAATTCACCGTGAATTAATACCCGTATGAAGTCGGTCGCAGATCACTTTCTGTGTCTAACGGGAAGGAAATTGACATGAGGTGAGTGAAATTTTGCTTACATACTAATATTTGACCTTTGCAGTGAAGGGTCTAGAAATTGTTCAGATTCAGAGATTTAACATCGGCTATTGAAGTATCAGCATTTATATTTAGGGAAATTTCGCACCCGTCCTTAAATTTTTCCAGTATAATTAGGTCACTATCTGTGGTTGTGTTCTTGACAGAATGTGAAACTCACTCTTCTCACTGTTTTCTACGAGCTCTGCTAGAACTTTTAATCTTAATAATTTCTGCCTTTAAATTTGGGCTCTGACCATTTGCACGATTCAGACAAGAATTATCACTAATTATAATTTTGAATGTTTTCCGCTGTAGGAAGCTACAAAAACGTCAGAAATTCTCAAGAAAGCCTTTTTCATTTGATGCGTTCGCAAAAATTGTCTTGTTCTATCATTGTAGGCGTCTTATATTATTACAACGCATTTGTTTCTCTGTATTTCGCAATATATGAATTGACTCGTGAACGAAATTGAAATTGAAAATTTGGGCTCTGACCATTTGCACGATTCAGACAAGAATTATCACTAATTATAATTTGAATGTTTTCCGCTGTAGGAAGCTACAAAAACGTCAGAAATTCTCAAGAAAGCCTTTTTCATTTGATGCGTTCGCAAAAATTGTCTTGTTCTATCATTGTAGGCGTCTTATGTTATTACAACGCATTTTTTTCTATGTATTTTGCAATATATGAATTGACTCGTGAACGAAATTGAAATTGAAAAGAGCAAGGGTTTGTTTTTTTTCGTAATGTTTCGTTTGTTGTGCCCACTACATAAATATAACTTGCCATTTATAGATTTTGAAAATCCTTGGAAAAATGCGTCTGAAAAGTTTCTCTTTTTAGCTCTGTATCCATCAATCGAGGGGGATTATTTTTAAAAAGCGAGTAAACCTTTTTCATTACCATTCATATATATAAATTATCTTAGCCTACCGTTCTTGTATTTTTAATGTCATTCAACGATCGCTGGTAGCTTTGGCGGATGGAACGTGACGAGAAGAGCGGAAGATATTTATGTAATTGTTATCTTACAACTAAACATTTCTTTTTCATCAAATTGAAACCTTTAAGATCACAAACAAAACCAAATCCAGTCTGTATTTTTGTATCACTCGAAATACATCTGCTAATAAGCGGATGAAATACTTTATATTCATCGTTATCATTAAAACTACCACACAGTGAATGCACTAATATATTTTCAAAGAATGAATTAGCATTGACAGCCGTCCTCAATGCACAATCAATTTTTTCTCGTTAGTAACTTAAGATTCGTTGAGGGATCAAACAGTTTTGATGTGGAACAGTTCACACTGAGTTTATACTTACGCTTCTCCAAACTGTTGAATAAATCTTGTCTTAAGTAAAAATGGAAAATGTTTACATTATCTCAGTCCTTCGAAATAATCAAGTTTGTTTTCTTCGATTAATTTCTCACGCTTGTATTTGAAATTAAATGGCAAAAACCGCCTGTTATCTTTTTTGATGTCACGCAAACGCTGCGAATTTGTTTGCCTGAAAGATGAATAGAATCACCACAACTTCAACCAAATTTGAATTTCAATGCAGCTTTTTTCTCTTCTGACTTGGAAATTGAATTTGTTCTGAAAAAATGTCAATCACCGTGTCACTGAGACAAAGAAAAAAGTCCTCCGTAGTTATTTGAATTCACTCATTTATTTGTTCATTTATTTCTCTCTATTCATTTTTTAATTTATTCTCCCTTTAAAGATGCTTGGAAATGATATGAAAATGGGAACAATTTTGTTAAACTCGGAAACTGATTGACCCACTAACGACGAGGGAATAAGACGCAATTCACAATTATATCCCTGTCCGGCGTAAATAATGTTTTCATTCCCCTGACGCTTCTCTCTTCCATAATTTGAGGTACCGGTACTTTAAGTTCGGGAGGAATCATTCAAAATTTTGACGAGACAATTTTTTTTGCTATGCTTCGTGTACCTTCGCGGACTTTTTCTTGTGGAGTTTGTTGCCATGAAGTTTTGGTTACTGATAGTTGGAATTCTGACAGCGCGTGAAGAACAAAGCACTGATATTAGTCACTTTTCATTAGTTAGATTACGAGGTGTTAATCTCCGAGTTTGCGCTAAATATTACAGGGCACTTTTGGTCTCGATTTCATTTGTCCAACTGTATTGTCATCTTAGTACAATTGTCACGGTATAATTGAGTCATTCTACGGTAGAAGTTACACGGCAAAGACCGGAAACACGTAAAACTTGTTCCAACTTCATGTTCGATCTCTACCTCGATTTGCCGCTGATTAATCATGATGTAATTGGTTTAAAAGAATGCGATTTGACAACGGAGATACATGAGCCACATACACAACTCACTTAAAACCAAGAGTGGCTCAGATACCAATAACACAATACATCCGGGAAAAGAAAGAAAAAAACTGGATTGGTCTCTTGAGACTCAGGATATCGATAGAACACGAAGTACGAATAATAACTGCATCCTTTGACAGTTCCTCTAAGTTATTGTTTGAACAAGTGTTAAATGAAAATGTGAAACCATAATGCTTACAACGCAATTAGCAAAACCGTAATTTTGCGGTAAAATGAAAGAAGTCGGTTCACTCTGTTAACTTTGAGTTGATTTTTCTCATGAGATCCATTGTTCGACCATTAATTGATTTGACGAACGCGTGGTGTCCTCTCGAGTTTTGTTATTATCTAAAAGCTGATATTTACGCAACAATTTGTTTAGAAAACTCCCACTCAAGAGCGACCGGACTGACAAATATACAATGCAGCCAAAAAGACGAGTCAAATGAGGCCGCTATCATGGAAAAAGCCGTGAGGTTCGAGAATAAGGAGGACTCTGAAGACGACGAAACTGCTGTCAGACAGAGCCGCTCAAAGCATCAAAGCAGTCACACAAGTACACGCACAGAGGGTAACAGAAAACATGAAAGAGACAATTCTAGTGATAGCATAGAATCTTTGGCAAAATGGAGAACTGTCTCAAAACAAATTAGAAATGTTGTCTTGGTAAAGAACTCTGTGAAGCCTTCTCGCTCTCGAAAGCGTTCGGCGACTGTGAAGTCGCCAGCCACCATGGACCCATTCCTTCAGAAATTTAGCACACGGGATAATCGAAAGATAACTCCACCAAACAGAAAAAGAACGCGAATTTCCAAGAAAAGCTCTTCTTCGCCTGGCGTTTTGTCAAACGCAACCTCTGCACAAGAACCTCGACGACCACGGCTTTCTATAGAAATCGAAAAAGAGCTTGATAGCGAGTTAGCTAGTGGTTCTGTTTACGAATATGACCAAGCAGTTCATTGGAAAGACAAGAATTTTATTTTTGACCCGGATGGGCTACACATTTGCGTCTGGTTTTATGTTCTTGTGTTTGCAATTCGGTACAATTTATGGGCCTTGATTACCAGGATCGCTTTTCCTGCCGCTCAGAGTGGTTTTTTAAAGATAGTGTGGTATCTATTTGATTATTTTTGCGATGCAATTTACGTTTTGGACGTCGTTATTGCTGCAAGAACAGGTTTCCTAGAGGAAGGCATTCTAGTCATAGATACAAAACGAGTGTATATGCGGTACATTCGCTCTGTGGAGTTCATTGCCGATGTGGTGTCGTTGATTCCAACTGATATTTTATATGCAACATTAGGACCTCTTCCGCTTCTAAGAATCAACCGCATTGTCAAAGGATATAAGAGTTTTCGTATCAAAGCTGTTATGGAGTCACAAGCAAATTATCCTACTTTCTTACGCGTGTTCTTTCTCATGCATCTCATGTTCCTTCTTATTCATTGGAACGCTGCGTTCTATTTCATGATTTCCAGAGCGGAGGGATTTGGGACAAATGAGTGGGTTTATCAAGGCAATGGTTCCTTGTATCAGCAATATCTACAGTCATTTTACTGGTCGACATTAACTCTAACTGCGATAGGAGATTTGCCGCAGCCGACTACAAATCTCGAGTAAGTGATTTGTGTTTCTATTTCAGGTAATTTTAAACTGTGTAACTCATATAGTTCTGTTTAAATGCAGAGATTATAGCAAGTCTTGTCGTCTGACTCTTTGTTTGTTTGTTTTTCTCCGGTGAGAACCAGGTGCTCCACTGTATAATAAGTATGTAAAGTAAATTTTACAGCTCAACCTTAAATGTGTTGGACATTTTCCGAAAAAAAGGCGGTATTTTAAAGAAGTTGTAGCGGGCGAATGACAAAAACAAAAAGCGTTTTCGTTTAACAGTTTTTTTCAATACCTTTCTCTCTTGTAAGAATTTAAAATTCTGTACAAGATTTTGCATAATTTTAATATTCTTGATTAACATTAATGCTCCAAAATAGATTGACTAAAGACCCGTAGGGAATTGTACACATGTTGCGGTCAGCTTTTAAGACTTAGGTTTGAGTTCAGTTGAAGATGTACATTAGACTCCTGCGCTATAGCGCCCACGCTACCAATCAAAATGCGACGACGGCTGAGCTTTTATTTCTTTTGCTGCCCTGCACCAAAGAGAAATAGCAGGTGTCTGAAAAAAAAAATAAGAAAGTATTAGGGTGATATTTTAAGACAGCGTAGGAATAGGTATACAAGGGCGACAAAATTGAAAGTTTTATGAATGCAAGTTTTACGTAAGTCAAGAGAACTTGTGTGAGCCTCTTCATCGCAACTTGAGTCAATCTCATTATCAACCCTAACTTAGAAAACCTCCGTATGTAAGTTCTCTTCTTTTGGTTTTTTTTTTCATTGCACGAAAGCGCATAAATAAATTCGTTTATCTATCCAAGTTCTTTTGCATTAGACGAAGCCCTGCTGAGCTTTTTCCTTACTGCGTTAACTCTTACGAGAAAATGTTTTCGCCCCGCGTTAGTTTCCACCTGCTTCTCGTTTGCACTAAAAAACGCGCGTCCTGTTTGAGCTCAGCCTGGAACAACACTTCCTCAAGTGCAAGTTAGCAATAATCATTTTCGCTTTCAAACGTGGAGCAAAATTGTCACCAAGGACAAGAAAAATAATTTATCAAAAGGAATAAATCGAGTTTACCCTCCGTAGCTTAACAAAGGTTTATTTTACTCTAATGATTGTTCAGGGTTAATTTGCAAACATAAATATTGATCTCGTTTTCTTCCTTCAGCGTCAGTCATGGACATTATGAGGCCCTTTGACAATACGCAGCAATGCCTTTTTTACCTTCCATTTTTTCAACTGACAATGAATTAAAATCTTCAATACGTTTGCAACATTAATAGAAAAAATATGTTTGGTTCTTGGGATTTCCTCACCTACGCGCAGAAGTAACTTTTAAATTAAGAATCACGATTATTCTTTTAACATGAAAACAAGGTGTGACGTTTGTATACTGCCGAAAGAGATGCACATCAACTCAGGCATCGAATCTCGTTGACTTTCATCAAATTTTGAATTAACAGGGCCAAAAAGACACCAATTTTAGTCCCCATTTCTGTTTCTATAAACTTATCCAATGTTTGTTTAAGGATTTTCGGTTTGCAGGCAGATTGTTAGGAACCCGGCAGTCAATTTCCTTTCGCCGTTTTGAAAAAAGAAAAAAAGCACTTTTTAGGCTTCCTTTTAATTTATAACAATGGTATTTAATATACATTACGAGCAGGTGTCACAAAGTAGTCGTAACAAATTTCAATTTACATGGCCTGTATCCATGGCCAACAAACGAGAGTGAACGACAAGAGAGAGAGGCTGCTGGAGAAATGTTAGCTTTTCGTCGCCAGAAGACCCAACGAAAGACAGTATAACAAGACGTGAAACTTTTTGTAGAGCATTAGATTGTTTGAGAGCAACTCGTTGCTTTTAAAAGCGGGTATTTAATTCTAAATCAATAATTAAAACTTTGTGGTTCTGTACACTCGTTTTGTTTATCTTTTTTCAAGCGATGCCACCCAGAACTGAACAAAATGACATGAAGTGATGTTTTTGTCAATGCCTCAAACTTGTCAACGCAGTTGAATTTGAAAATAATTTTACGAGCGATAAGCCGGCTTTTAATAATGAAGATGACAGCGATCTTTTCTAAAGCTGGCTTTTGAGAAAAAATGTTAGTGAAAGCTGGAGAAGTTTGTCACCCAAACAGATCAAATCAATCTTATGACTCGGCTTAAATAAATTACAAGCCCTTCAGCTTTGTCAAAAAGTTCTGTTAATAACGCTGGAAAGCTGTAATGACACTTTACGATTATTGAACTAAAATTCATATAGCCTGCGGTGTAGGCGTCTTCTTAGGGCGAGTTAACGTCAAGAAGCTTGAAGCTATTCAACCGGCCATGTTTACTGAAGATAAAGGCAGCGATGAGGGGAGGGGGCGGAGAAAGGCGCTCACCCCCTTGATACAAATTTGTTTCTCTCCCCTGCTTGCCGCTGTCATTAAAATCAGAGATGGCGGCCACAATTTTCGCTAACTAATACTGAGCACTCGCTCGCCCAAATTACGCCTGCTCTGTGGGCTAAAGTTCATATAACATTTACTTCGTTGTTAGCCAAAAGAGAAGAAGACATTTGCAATAATTACGTGAATTTTGAAGTACATTTGTGAAGTGTTTGGGAAACATCTCGAACCTTTGGCCAGTTTGGCGAGGTAAAAGCCTCACTTGTACGTGATCTGGCGTGTTAGGCGAATTTTAATGTCGTCAGAGTAGTTTGCAGTTTTCAAAGGATTTTCCCTCCAATTTGAGATTCCTCTGTTTTTCCAAAACGTGGTGGCCACCGACTGTTTCTTGAAATCTACAAAAGCGCTCAAAGTCTTTTGAAATAAAAAAAAGAGAAAAGAAAGTACAATAGAAACAGAAGATCTTTTTCAGCCGATTCCGTGTGACTTGAGATTAAGTATATTTAAATGCTGAGCACTACTTGGTTCCCAGATCTCTATCCTTTGCCTCCTCCCCGTGAAGGTAGAAAGGAGGGAGCCTCGAAATGAATTTGATACTCAGACTATGGGCTGTCCTTTTTCCCAGTGTAATCCTTCGCGCCAATCTGAGCGGTTTGAAGAAGCCACTATCCGTAATCTTATTGATGCATGGCGGTGCTGAGAACATTTCAGAATGTCACTGAATTGACATTTTTTCTCAATTTTCAGATATGTTTACACAATCGCGTGCTACTTGACTGGTGTTTTCATGTTTGCGACCATCGTAGGTAATTCAGTTTTATATATTATTAAGTAATCAATACCTATCTGGTGGATTAAGGCATCTTTAAATGATCTTCAGCTCTCAAACCATCTTTCGTGCCTAAAATCGTCTGAAGGTCACCGACCTTGTTTTGGATTGGAGACAATCCATATTTATATTACAGACCATAGAGGGCATGTTGTGTAATTGTAGGTTCTCTGCAACAGCCAAAATAAACGTGGATGTAAGCGGACGCGGAAAGTTTCGAGGAAACCTTTTACTTACTGTGCATAGCATGGTATTCAAACCTAGAATGCTGAATTAACATTTAGTCATAATGTGCTTTATCTCGATCAGGTAATGCAGGAAGCATTATTGTGAACAGAAATGCGGTGAGAATGGATTTCGAAAAGCAAAGAGTAAGATTTCTCCTTCCTTAGTTCGCCTTTGTAAAGTTTAAATCTGAAATCTTTTGCTTTCGTCCTGCATCAGTCTCGTTTTACGAACGTTAATTATCTGGATTTTTGCAGGAAAATACCAAACAGTACATGAAGAAACACAACGTGCCTAAAGACTTGCAGAGGAGAGTGGTGATGTGGTATGACTACTCATGGGCTAGGTAAGATAATAAGTCGCTAATTATGATTGGTCCAGAAAACTCGCGTCACTTTTTCAACAAATCAGATTCAGATCGAATTGGTCACACGCGTTTCCCGCGCTTCAGGCAGTTTGCTTGTTTTTATTTCGATTTCTCATTGGCTCCTCCTTATATTTTCCTCGCTTTGATTGGCTGTTGCGTTTACTTTGGTTTTACGACACTCAATAGAAAAGCGCTCTAATCATAAACACTCTTCATCACTAGCCACTGATTATAAATTTATTATTAACGATGTTTTAATTTCATTGAACACTCCACCATCATACTGAATTTGGAAAACATGCTTAACGGTTCAAGTCATATTCCAGTTTGGTTGAGCCGTCGAACAAGTTGAAAATCATCATGTTCTGTTTTAGAGGTAGAATGAGTACCGGTGGAGGAGACCTTAATTCTCTGACGTTACTACCAAGTAAACTGAAGACTGAGATTGCTCTTCACGTTAATCTTGAAACGCTTCGAAAGGTACGATAAGTTGGAGATGAATTATTTTGGGGCTAAAGATAACGAGATTAACATCATGTGAAAACCTTAGAAATTTGCCGTCCGCTGGCTCGTCATCGTAACATAGCGTTCTATGAGACAATCCTCACTGATTTTATTTGTAAACCGCTTTTAGGCAATTTCAAAAATCGAAGAGGCCTGAAACCGTGGCTCCCAAGAGATTATAATCTCTCGGCGCTCCCCTTCCCCTCCCTCAATACCATATTCCTTGCCAGGTCTGTTTTGTACTCTGAGAGTTAGACTTTAGGTCTGCGTAGTTTTCCTTTGAGGATCTATTCCGCGGTCACATTATCATTGACATTTGAGTTATAATATGTGCTTATCTCATGCATGAATTTTTAAGAGAAAATTGTATGCAGATGTTTGTTGGTTTTTTGTTTCCTAATTATATTTTTTAGGTGACGTTCTTGCAAAAGTGCCAGCCAGAATTTCTCCATCTCCTTGTCCTTCAAATGAAGTTGCGAATATTCACCCCTGGAGACCTCGTTTGCAGGAAAGGCGAGGTCGCACGAGAGATGTACGTCATAATCGATGGAAAGATCGAGGTGATAGGGTAAGAGTCATAGAGAACAAAGTTAAACCTATTACAGGTATGCATTCCGAAATCAGAGAAAGTGTCCTCTTTGATAAATGAGAGTTTTTGCTGAAGCAGGTTAAATTAGTGGGGTGTTCATTTGTGGTTGCGGTCATGAGTTGATGTATGCCAACAGGAGATGCCTCCCTATGGAAGTTGTCACTGTCCTGAGGCGGAGACTTAACGGCAAAAGGTTTCATTCTAATGATCTAGTAATTTTAATGCATATATTAACAGGGATCAAGGCCAAGTCCTTAAAGTCTTATCTGGAGGGGACTTCTTTGGTGAGATTGGAATTCTCAGCTTGAGCGAAGGCCAAAATAGGTGAGCATTCCATGTAATAAACGTACGATTGATTGCAGTCTCTCTGTCCTAAAAGCCAGTGTCTACCGGTTTCAATAATAAAGGAGTCTTGAGTATAGTTTACTTCTATATGTAAATTAACTACAGTAGGACATAACGATAGTAGACTACGATCTCAATGGGGGACAACTGGGGTCTGGGCTGACAAAGCGGGGACGGGGGAGGACATCAAGAATAGATATAAAAGAGAAAGTTAACCTCAGAATATTTAGGGCTGTTAACTGTGCGGTCCACTGAAGACTTGTCTTGTTCCATGCAAAACGAAAAAAAGATAACACCAGAGTAGAGAAGTTCACTACTTAATTGTTCTACAGCCAGCAGTACTAAGCGTATAGCACCTATTGACTTGGAAGTATGTACTCCACCGGTTTATTCTTTCCTGACGCTGAACTAGTGAGAATATTTTGTATTCGTAGACGAACAGCCGATGTTAGGACAGTAGGATATGTGGAATGTTTTGTTCTTGCAAAGGAAGATGTGCTGTCTGCCATCCGGGATTACCCTGAGGCACAGGTTAGTGGCTTCGCAACATTTGTAAATTGAAGAATATCACTCGGAAATTACCACCAGGTATTCGCAGATTTAGCTGGGGCATATTGGGTCACGAAAGGCGGTTAAACCAATCGCGTGCGAGCGAGAAGATTTATTACATGATCATATTATTCAGCCGCATGCTATCACATTTTAGCTTGCTTTTTCACAAAACAGTGGAACGGGTTAATAAGTCTGTAAGTAGCTGGCTTTCTTTCCTGAGATGTTCCCTGTACCAAGGATCTTTTGTTTCAAACTCATCTTTTTAGGCTGTGCTTGCTGACTATGGAAAAAAACGTTTGGAACGTCAAAACAGCTCACACGATCCGCGCTTCGTGGACATGGACGACAGTAAAGGCAGAGACTTGGACGCTTATGATCTCATAAACCATCAAAAAGCTGAAGAGTTTCAAAGCAAACTGACAACAAAATCCGTTCCCAACGGACTTTGTAGACGAACAAGTGCAAGCTTTTCACCGCTCGAGCGAGCCCCTCAACCATCACCTCGAGCGGTCCTGGAGCCGATTCCTTTGGCTAAATTAAGCAGATCTAGGCGACTCTCGAGCGAAGTGGAAATACAGTCTGCGGAATCATGTAACAGAAACGTTTTAGAAGCGCCATGCAGTAGCGACGAGCTTGTGAAAACGCTGTTTCATGATTCGTACATGGAAGCTTTGAACTTTCTCAAGAAAAATTTTGACGAGAACCTAGTAAGTTGGATACTGAAAAAACATTCTTAATAATCCTTAGTAACCCGCCTTAGTAATGAGTGCTACCGTGCAGCTTGTATTTCAGGATAGGATGTTGACTTGCCATGTATTAAAGTCAAATGAGGGATGAATAAATCTCTCCGTTTCCAAATTTCACCGGCTAAATCCAATAAATATTAATCCTGGATTAACTGCTTACAATTACGTCACAATATCAAGCCTTCTTAGTAAATATATTCACTTAAGTAGTAAAAAAAGTGTCACCGTCGGAAAAGGTAAGGAGCTTGTTCAAGGCAGCTTAAGATAGTTTCGTTAATTTTTTTTATCATTAGTTCTTTTGCATATAGATACAACGAAACTTTTTTTCGTGTTTTGCCCTACAATTGGTATCAAATATGCTCAATTATTTTCACAATATGTTGTGATCAATTTGTGACATGTTAGGTTACCATAGTAACACAACAGCTTCTCAGAGACAACTTTAAGTGAGCTTTATTTTCTTGTAATTCAAAAATGAAAGAAAACCTGTACACAAGATTTAGAGCTAAAAGAGAATATCTTAAGGAAGCACACGAAAAAATAACGAAACCTTTATAAGTTGGTCGAAATCTAAGGGAAATATTTAGCTCCAGCAGACAAACTCGCAAAAGACTGGAGAGAAATTATAACATTTGCAATGATTCATCTTTGCGTTTCAGGCAAAAGAAATGACGGATGTTCGCAAATCCCTAAAAAGTAGCGAAGAATCTAATAGACTAAAAGACGTTGACATCTCTCACCTCAACACCCGTCTATCAAACATGGTAAGTCGGTCATGTTACTTGAACCTAATCAATTGGTAGACTTTTACTTTTAAGTATATAACGAATGCTACATGATACTTTATGAGATTGTTGGAAATTTTGTTTTATTCATATGTAGGAGAAAGAACTTGAAAAGTGGAAAATTCGAGTAAAAGAGCTTGAGTCAGAAAACTTTATCAAAGATCAGACTATCAAACAGCTTCGGGAAGAGTCTGAGGTAAGGATAATGAAATCAGGTTCAAGGGAACGTCGTCCACCCCTTCGCCTGAAATTTCTCTCTCTCCAACTTTCTTCCATTTTAAAAATCCTAGACCAGGACGCTCACATTGCAGGCTAGACACGTGGGGTTTTAATTTCTATTTTACATCGAAACTTCAAAACTGATCGGTCTTCCCCAATGTTAGGTCAGTTCTCCAAAGGCCATTTTATTTGTTTTCGTGGATGAGAGATAAGCCGGTCATCTGACTTAGAGGGCATTACAATGTGTGCTCTTTGTTTGAACGATGTCTGTTTGGACTCAGCGCACTGTGGTTGGACCACGTAATAAAATGATGTTTCTTACCTTCCATCATTCTAGCTTCCAGGACGCCCCGTAAATGTACTGAGAAGAGACAAACATGTTATGGATCTGTAAGTTATCATAGTGTTCTGTTCCAGTGTCACTGCGCACTTGCACAGAAAGGCACCGAGAAAGCCAGCTATGGTAACGCACAACTTGAACACATGCAAGTCACTGGATTACAGTATCACTGTTTATCGTGGTATTGGTCGCAATTAGAACAATTAAGACCTCAAACACTTTGATTCGAATAAAGTAGGCTGCTTTTCAGTTACATCTTTCATACACTACTGTGTGTCAATCTTTTAGGATAGGGAGCTCATGTCATCAAGATCAAGAACTATGAGCAGCACAGTGAGCTCGTCGTCTCTAATGGACATGGAAAGATCAACAACTACCTATTGCTGACAGAAATTGTGCGGCTACTAAGAGAACACCAGAATTAATCTGGGGATTTGGGATGGCAGACAAAATGTTATGAATTTTGAGATTGGGCTCAGAATTATATACAGCTGTACTTTTGACATGGCAGCTAGGCGTTAAGCGTTAACCCATTACACAGCTGGCTATCCACATCGAGATTGCTCACCATAACCTGCCTTGCAGTTACAAAAAGATGTATGGCCGCCATTGTTCCAAGAGCAGTGCATGACAATGATCTGACGTAACTAGTAACATTATGATATGGTAATCATTTTAACAACTATTAACAGCCATTTTGTAATCGCACTATAATCATTTTGAAAGAATATTTGGATCAAATATACCTCTTATATCTTTTTTACCATCATCTCAGAGCTCTACAAAGAGATACTATAACAGAATCATTAAGTCTGACGCATTCATTCATCGCAAACGTGCGAATTGACAACTTCAGTAATGTGCATTTTGCCAAAAAAAAAAAGAACATCACTAATTCATCTAGGAGAATTGACTTGATAATTTTGTAACTTTGGTAAATCCTCCAGAAACCATGTGACCACTTCAATCTAAATCAATGAAAAGGTAACTTAAAAATCATAGCTCCGTTTTGAGATTTTGCTTAGGGTTAAGGTTAACGTTAACCTAAGCTATCGAAAACTTTCTTCAGATGTACTGAAATTCGATTACGGATGAATCTTGCATAGCAAGCCACGGTCAGCCTCTTGGCATAACAAAGCCAAGATTTCTCCTCCTTTTCTCATATCTTGGTAACTAATGCAAGGCATTCTTATATTTGAACGTTAGGTTAGTGTTTGTAATCTCAGAACGTGGTAAGGATTAACTTATTGTTATGCTTTCTGATGACGGGGATAAAAAGAGCATGGTTTTCTAGAGCCTTCATTTCCTATATCAAAAATAAGAAATTATTTCAGATTCCTCGATGGAGAAAAAATGAAGAATAACAGACACCAACGATAAAAGAATCCGAACACCAGAAACTGGTGCACAGAAGCAGATAATATTTATACGGAAAGACATTGTTTTTATATCGCTAGAGTTACTATTATCAAAACCTATTATGCGGATTTTATGTTGACGGAAAATGTCACTTTGTTCAGCATAGCTTGAACCATCATTGTCCAGCATGCCTTATGATGCCAAATGAGATATTTAGTATTATATAAGGCTAACAATGAGGATGCCTATATCTTATTGGAGTAATTTTACCAATAAAATTGACTGCCAATGACATCTGCTCTTCTTCAGTGATAGAAATTATCTGACCAAAACGCCGAACTTGGCGCCGTTCCTTGAAAATTCCGTTGGATAGTCACGAAAACCTGTTTCCCTGTTTCACGTTTTGTCAGTTAAAAACGCTCAAAGCATCATTAAAAAATAAGTGGTCTTTGTCTCAATCTCTCAATTATCATGTCCATGTGAGTGCTCAGTTTCTTCAAACGAATAATCTCGTCTTTAAATTTTTTTAGGCAATTGGTTGACTAGTCGTTGTAGCCAGGAAGGATCTTGGAACAATAAGTCCGTTCACCAGTCTACTTAATACTTTTCAAATACACATCATAGCTTCTTTTCGCTCATTCTGCCGTTTCTCAAAAAATAAGTAAACGCCCTGTTACGAATAAGCGCCCTCCCTCTGAGTAGCAAAAGTAGATAAGCCTCCCGGCCGCTAATACAATTTATTAAGGTACTCTAAAGCGTAAGTAATAAAACGCTGCTGCAAGCTCGATTTCCACCACAGTCTCGAGTCCAATCGTGTTCTTAAGAAGATAAGGGTGGGGCGCGGGCTCTTTTCCCGCGCAGTGGTCGGTAATCGAGCCCATGTCGCTCCGGTAACTTAGATCACTCTTAGATAACTCTTACTGGGAATAGAGATACTTTCATTGGTGAAAGACAAGCCACCCTGGCTCCAACAAGTCCGCTGGCTAGAGAAGGTAGGATTGGGAAGGGAAGTGGTTTTATATCCAAGGTAACACGGTAACAAATTTATGTATCATAACTTACGCAGTGCGGATATTCCCATCTTTGCCTCCGGTCACAGTGACGACGCTACACAAAATTTGGCTAATTGTAATTCTTAACAAATGGCTTTATTCTAATATTTGAAAACATTCCAAAAATATTCCTCTTTTGAAACACTTATTAACTGGCAGTTAACCCTTTGATCCCTAAGAGTGACCACCATCTAATTTCTCCTGGTAATACCACCCCCCCCCCCCTCCTCCTCCTTCAATTCACGCACAGAGTTCACGAGAGTAAAGGAAATGATCACCAACTCAAGGTTTTGATTGATAGACACATTCTCCTTGTCAGCACCCTAGAAAATGTATTAAGGACAGCATGGAGATTATGTGTACTGATACTAGGGTGTAAATGGTTAACTGCACTCGTCCTTCTAACTGAGCAGTATTCCAACGAAGGCTAAAGCCCCGTTCAAACAGTCATGATAGTTGATATTCGATGATAATTTCAACTTTCATTCACTATCATCGATTATCACGTTTGCGTTCAAACGGGGTATGATAGTTGTTGATGATGAGTTGACAAATTCACGCAGTGAGATCTCGTTGCTCTAGACACGGATGGCGCGCGCTGAGGTCAGAGATTTGGGTGGCATTTGAAATTTCAGTCAAGAAGTTGCTAGTTTAGGATACTGAAGCCTACCTGGGAATGATAAGAATGAATCACTAGCCACTCTAAGAAATTTTGGTATTTCGGTTTTAGCCCGTTTTCAGCAAAACTGCTGACCGAAAAACTATCATTCACACTCGAAACGTCAGCTTTTGACTCTCAACAATGGCCAACCTACGCTATCAGATCAGTTGATAATACTAAATTACCCTGGTATACTCTCCCACCAATGCAGCACCAGTTTCTTCAGAAACCTACCCCCTTCATTCATCATTAATTATCATCCGCTTATTCAAACGGCAAATAATGTCATCAACAATTATGTCCAATTTGGACATGTCTGAACTATATGGTAGTTAACGATGGTCGATGTAAGTGTAAAATAGTTCATGTTCAAACGCGCGTGATAGTTGAAACTATCATTAACTATCATGACCGTTCAGACGGGGCTTAATGCTCGAAACACCAGCTCTTCAACATTCGCCTGGCCGGTATTTATACCTTACAGAAGCTAATATTCAACTAAAAGTTTTCACTTTCCCGCAGACACAACACAATTTTTTTTCAGAATCTAACGATCTTGTTAATATAATCTTTTCACTGACAATCATTCACTTGCAAGCCCCCAAATTCTGGGAAACAGCTGGGTGATAAGACAGTGAGCACATAACATTCACTTGCGACAGAAAAAAAATCTTTTAATGGTTCCCACAAAACAGAGGTTACATTTGTATGGCTTAAAAATAACATGTACGTTCAATTATGCTCAAAATCTGGCAAGAAACCAAATCAAGTCAAATCTCTAAATACGTTTGCATAAATTAGTACATAAATACATATTGTATGCTCACTTATCACTAATGATATGCGCGAAAAACTCAAGTTAAAATCTACAGAAAGATTCAGCACCACGTACAGAGTTCACTTAGGAGTAAAAGATCCTGGTTTTACTGGGGCTCAGCGTCACCATCAGCAGGATTATGATTCTGGTTCTCATCAGCTCCAGGCTCGGCTGATCCGGCTTTGTCATTTCTCGGCGTTCGAGAGGCAGAACGAGAACGTGATCTAGACTTCTGAGGGGATCGCGACCGAGAACGAGAGCGAGACTTTGAATGGGACTTTGATCTAGATCTCGAGTGCCTAGGTGACTTTGAGCGAGACTTAGAACGTGATTTGGAGCGAGACTTAGAGCGAGATCTCTTGCGTCTTGGTGAGTGAGACCGTGACCTGGTACGTGAACGTGAATTCTGGCGACGCGAGCGTGAATGAGAGCGAGACCTGGATCTAGATCTGCTTCTGGATCGCGATCGGGAACGAGATCGCGAACGCGGGCTTTCCTGTGAATTGAAGAAAATATGAAAACAAAGATAAGCAGTGGACATTACAGTCAAATACATGTATCACCAAGAATGCCCATCTTCAAGCTCCTGCAGTGTATTACAAGAAGAGATTTCTGATATCGTTACTTACGTCTATCAGCCTTATTTTTTTTCCATGCAGTTCAGTTCCGTCCAGTTTCCTCAACGCATTTTTCATATCTCTCTTGGTTGCAAACTCTAGGGTACTAAATAAAAGACAAACCAATTACGCACTCGATCATGGTCGGCTATTATCAGGCAACCTTTCCCGACTGTATTATTACAATGTGCTCCTCTCGCTGTTTCTCTTCAACAACAGTTGATGAGTACATACTATAATCGTCATCTACATGCTTCTAATCAAACTTCTGCAAGAGTATAGCTGCATTCAGAAAAGAACTTACCCTTCACCCTGCCTTTGCTTGTGGGCATCTCCGTATGTCACCTCACCAGCTTGACGTGCATAATCCTTCAGGTCCTGATAATAAGCAAAAATTCATGAGCTAAACCGTAATCTCGAAAGTCCAAATGTCGTTCGCAAATAAATTTTGTTCTGCAATTCTAATCTATGAAACTTCCATGCAGCTTTCTTCTGCACCAAAAAAATTGTTGTTCCCCCTGTCGAACGGATCAACCAGCTTCATTTAGACGTTTTTCGCTTTTCAAAAACTGTCCCTGTTTTTAGTCATACCAGCCACATACGCGAAACATTCTGCATTACCCATTTGGCCATAGAAAACGATTAGTACCATCATATTCAGTACGAGAAAATGAAATACAACAGTGAATGATTTCAAAGGGGTCCAACATCTTTGATTTACATGTACAATGAACTGGGCGCGTCATTCGTCATGGGCCAAGAAGCGTTTTTGCGTCATGCCTTTGTGAAAATCGTCTTGTCACAACTGTATACATTGACTTCTGATGGCATCAGTGCATCAAAGCCACTCATCCATCAGAGGGGAAGCTTTGAATCATCTAAGCATCTAAGCATCTGTGACTACCCTCACATCAACCCTCATCACAAGTGCATCTTGCAACTGAAAATATTTGAAGGCAATGCAGTAAATACCAGTAAAACCTGCAGTTCTTAGAGCAAATGGTACTTAACCCTCTGACTATACCCACTCCATTGCAATAAAAATACCAACATCATGAAACTCCAAGCTCAATATTAGATATAACTCAAACTGAGTTTTAAAAAAAAGAGGAAGTCACAATTGTTGCTTTATGTATCCAGCTTTGTAAACCAACCCCAAAAAACATTATTGTTAAGTAACCAATGGAATAAGAGGGCAACAACCTTTATAACACTCATCCATCCGTCCTGCAGATAAATTTACCACCCCTTACAGACTCATCTGAGTTGATAAGGTGAATTACAATGAATGTGCTAGCAAAAAAAATTAAATTCAAAATAACCCTACACAAAATATCAAGTTTTCGACTTTAACTTGTCAAATGCCAAACTAGAATCATAGTTCAGTTTGAGGTGAAAACTAATGGGCACTTAAGACATTTCATTCACCCAATCAACTCAAAAGAAAAAAAAAACCATCTTCTTTGATAGTTCACCTTTACTTCTCACTAACCTGCCAACTAATTCGTGTTGATAAGTTTTCAACAGTGATTCGCCATGGTGTCCTTACAGGTGGACCATACCTAACAACAAAGTAATACAAACAACCTTGGTTATATTTTTTTATCATTAACTTTTAAAAAGGGTTGTGGTTTCTGATAATGATGTAAACCCATTATTATGATAGAGTATTGTGTTATGACTGGTCTCATAGCATCATCATTTTAAATGATGGACATTCTAAATATCAAATGCAACAACAGTACCCTGCCATAAAATTGGGATGGTGAGACAAACAGCTACAAAATTGTGGTTAAACAACCTCCTAATTTTGAGAACATTTTATCCATAAAAATTCTCTTACAAGTACATCTATTATTAGTTACTATCCTCAGCAAAACAGTAATGTAAATCACACAAAATTGAGTCCTTCATATGATGTGAAAAAGATGATTTCCTGTGTTACTATTTGGATTCACTTTCTTCCTTTTCTTGTTGAGATGCTGACAGCAGGAATGTATGAAAAGCTAAATTGATCTGGCTTGTTCCAAAATTTCATATATTAAAAAGTATCCTCTGAGGAAAAATGTCCTCCTTATCAGCACTGTGATTCTTAAACTTGCTTCTTTTGTTGTCTTTCCTGATGACAAGTTTGTTTCTTGGAAAAGACTACTATCGTGAGAGGAAAGGGTTGGTTATGGTTACCATCTGAAAAGAACTAAACTGAACTCACTTATCTCTAGCTCTTGACTTGCGACCACTGCTAAAGCCTCTAGCAGTCCCACGAGAATGTTCCACCAGAATTCTGAATATAAAAAGGAAAGAAATCAACTTGCAAGGCACACAATCAAAATATAGACCTAATTAATTCTCTGCAGCTAAAAAATTGATACATTTTCAAGAAACTAGCAACACTCCTTTGAGTGTATCAATGAGCAATCTCTCAATGACTCAAAAAGCTCACCTTTCTCCCATCATTTCTCTACCATTGCATTCATAAACTGCATCATCTGCATCTCTCGGATCCTCAAATTCCTGAAAAAATAGGGCCATTCAATAAGTTTCCTCTGAACTCCTTGGAGATTAGCTACTAAGGATCTCTGACAAAACTCTATATGCTAATGGCAGGTGTGTGTAAAATTGATAAGAATATGGCATCTCTGTAGCATTTTTTTTTACACACATTCAATTTACAAAGGATAACCACAGAGGATGTGTCATAGAAGAAGTTTAACTTTGTATCAACTCTTTGGCACAATGAGCCACTGAAATTCCATTTTAATCCATTACCTGGTTTCTCTTTTTAACTTGTAAAATACATAAAAATATGCATTGTAATATATATCAGTGATGAGTTTTTCTCAAATGTGAACTACAATTGGTTCCATGGAGCTTCAGGCAAGGAGTGTGCAGAGCTAAAGGAAATTTTTCTGGTAATATTCTCCCAGTGTTGCAAAATATTAGGCTAAAGTTGCAATAGGTCTCCTGTCTAATTAACAATCATTATTTACAATTTCCTTTGGAGTCTTGGTAGGCTATGAGAAAAAACTTAAACATTAACCTTTTCTTCCTTTGACTGAAAACATTATACATTTGCAAACTTGAAAATGTTTCAAACCACAAATTACTCTTCGTCATGGGGCCTATGCAAGTTTGTTGGTATGAACAATTTACTTGAGCCATCTGTACCACATTTCATTTTGAATAGTGGGATTCCCTTACCAAAACAATAAGGCAACAAAGAAATTACATTTAGAACAAAATAATCAGCTCTGAAAGCATAAAAATTTCTTAGGTATGACTTAGGCTAGTCATCTCAAAAGTCTCTCTTTACAACCTGACGAGCTGTAGTTTTTCAATAAAAAATCGGCGGCGATTGGTTAATGAAAACGAACAACGCGAATTTTGCCATAGCCCATCTCTACATGTGCTTCAACAAACAAACTGCGCATTCTGTTCAAACCGCATCCTCGGCATGATAATTAAAGATAAACACAAGAAAAAGATTACAAATGCCTTACCACAAATCCATATCCGTTCTTTAAGTTAACTTCGCGCAGTTTTCCGTAGCTGCGAAAGAATTTATCAACGTCCTTTTCCCTCGTGCCATACGGTAGTCTTCCCAAGTAAACTCGGCAGCTCATCTTTAAAATGCCTCAAATATCACCCAAAATAGTTCGGATGGCTTTAAAAAGTTTGAGAGTTCGTTTTTAGTCAAGTAAAAGTTATCCAAAATCCAAGAGGAGTAGCGACAGTCGCGGTACTGCACACTAAACCGTCCACGGACCACACGTTCTCAAAATGGCGGCAGTTCAAGGATTTAGTGGCGAGTTTCGACACGTGATTTGTTGCCTGCGCAACGATTTACGTTTTATTCGCTGACCATCTATACCGAGGACTCAGCAAAAACAAACATGGCAGAATGGCAAGTGGCGCCAGGTTGCTTGACGTATTGCACGCTAGAGGAGAGAAAAGCAGACGGGGAAATACTTTATAACGAAATATTTAAGTGGAAAATGAAACATGCTCCTAGCAAAATTCACCATTTTTCTGACGCTTTTTTAGACGAGCAAATTAGAAGGGATTTAAACTCCTGGATCAGGTAGGAGGTTGTGTCCTTGGTGTGCGCCCGGGGCGGGGAAGTGGGGGGGGGGGGGGGGGAGGGGGGAGAAAGAGAGAGAGCGAGAGAGAGAGAGAGGTGTGAGTGGGGGTTATTCCTTGTGAGTGGGGGTTATTCCTTGTAAGTTTTGTAAGAGGCTATTAGGAATGTGCCACTGAATGTGGTAGCATTGTCATGACTGGGGTGACTATAATGGAGTTGAATTTTCAGTAGAGTTACTTGAAATGAGGTGGCACATTTTTGTTTTTATTTTTGGATAAGAAAATTGCGGAAAGTAAGGATTTTAGCAGGGAAGATTGGCTGTCAAAAGCTTTTAGATTTGCCAAAAAGTGACTGATGTGGGGTCTCTAACTGGCCACAGAATGGACTACAATGGGGTAGAAACAGAATGGACTACAATGGGGTAGAAACAGAATGGACTACAATGGGGTAGGGGATGTGAGAAACCAGCAGCACATACCATTTACAAATTGGCCCAAGTACCATCCTCACTCCCCCATGTTTAATCCGGCCTTTAACTTTATACATTTGACTTTCATGTATCTTTTTCTGTTAGATCTTTTCTGTGCTGGTGTTGTTCAGTTCTGTCCAAGGGCAAGGGAGACTTAAGTCATTGATTCTAAATATGATGCACCCTTCTGAAGTGAAGTTTTATTTTGTTGTTGGTCATGTTGCTAATTAAGAATTCTTATATTTAGTAAATTAAATTACCATTTGTACTCGGAGTAAGTGGGTGAGTGTAATCCTGAGAAGGTAGAGGTGACTGACATTTTGACAACCTGAGTGGAAGGCATCATCAATGTCAAGTGAATAGTTGTTGTCATCAAATGTTCTTAGTCTGGTTCGTATAAGCTGATTGGTCAAATTTGTTGTGATGTTATTGGCTGTAAGACTCAGGTGGCCTAAGTAATTTAGTGTTAACAACTGAAAATGTAAATTGGCCATGATAAAGGGTAAAAAAGCTGGTGTTTTGAGCGTTAGCCCTTCACCAATCACTCTGACGAAGGGCTAACGCTTGAAACATCACCTTTTTTAACCTTTACAGTGGCCAATTTACATTTTCAACACAGATGTTAACACTAAATTACCTGCTATACTCTCCCACCGACACAGCACCACAGTTTCTTTAGAAACTTACCCCCTTTATTCAAGTGGTGTAAGTTGGTTGTGATTGGTCTGTTTTGATTTGTTGGTAAAGCAAGGTCGTTCTGTTTGGTTTGTTTGTAACCCTAATGTGGTGAATAAGTCGTTTTTAATCAGTTAAAATTTTTTTGATGCTTATGTGTATAGTTATCATTAATTGTGCTCCAAGTGAAGGACCTTGATGTCCATCTGTTCATTTGTATAAATATGAGATTCGTATTCCATGTACAATGTAATGCATTGCAAAGTGTACTTGTTGATGAAGTTTCATATAAATAGTTATGTCAAACAAGAAAGTATCTTAAAACCTTACCATATGAGTTACACACCAAACAATTCTTGTGGTCAATCCTGGACATTCATGTAAGAGATACAAGTAAATCCATTCACTGGTATTAAATTAGTATCAATGGGATTGAGTAAAAAGAATTATTGATTATTTCATTACCAGTCCATTAACACAATCCATACTTTTTAACTTCTACAAGCACTACTAATAAAGTTCATTTTCAATTCAGTGCAGTGGAGTTACATTAGATCAATATGTGTTTCTTTTAGAAACATAGATGAGAGGACTTCATGCCAAAGACTACAGATCTTATTTTCATTTTCCGTCCCTTGTCATGAGGCTCTTGAACATATAATGAAATTAAAAGTTCCCATCATCTCTGCAGGTGCTGTGAGTATTCGCTATTATTTTACTTTTTCTGTTATGAAACTGCAAAACAATACAAGTTATGCTGGCAACAGCCACAGATTAACACAACTTCCACGAAATTCTGAGTGGTGCTTGTCGGAGAATCTTAGATCAGTCCCTAATGGTGGTTAATGTTCTATTGTTCTGTGCTCTTTGCTTGTATTTCATTCCTTTTTTTCCAAAAATAAACCTTTTCCTATGCCCACTCAACGTTTCTGCCAAGATATACCACGGTGTAAAATAAAAACGAAACAGTAAGAAAAAGTTTAATAATGAAGGTTTGGGCTAGTGCAGATAGTAGCCAATCGTTTCGCTAATTACGAGTTCGCTAACCTCTTAAGCCGTTTCGCCATTTTTTCAGGTAGGTTTGCTAACGTCTCATAGGTCGTTTTGCTAACTTATTACAAAATACCTCGTGATTCCTTCAGCAGAACTTGATCGACTTTTGATCGACCGAAAAAGTTTGAGGGGAGTTTAAGGTCGTTTCAAAACAAGTCGCTGCGAGACAAACTGTAGTGTATTCGATACAACGACAAAGTCGATTCGATACACGCAAAATGTCAATTTGATTCAACTTAAATCATTTCACTTGAGTGCCACTTCGCAGAACACAAAAATAAAAAGAAAGGAGCAACTACACAATGCAGCGCCACTTTTGAAGGAGCATATATCTTGTGGCTCGTTTGGCTCGGCAGTTGATAAAATAACGAGGAATACTGAAAATGCTCTTCAAGTCTTAGTCTAGGTCTTTATATATTAAGTGGCTCGTTTGGTTCAGAAGTGGATGAAAGAATGAGGAATAATGAATGAACACGTTAAGTCTTAGTGGCTCGTTTGGTTCGGCATTTTAAACAAAGGATCAAACGAGCCAAACGAGTGTGGATGGTTTTAAGTGGCCCTGTATTCTGTAGTTTACCTAAAATAGCGAAGAGAAACGTCCGTGAAATAATCTGAAACGTTTGCGAACGACTTATGAGACGTCAGAGAACTGACCTGAGACGTTAATGAAACGACCTTAGACGTTCGCGAACTGGTCGTCTGCGAAACAACTCGTGGGCGAATAGACTGCATTTCGGACAGAATTAATTCACATCTTGAGTTGTTCATTTTCGCTTGTAGGGAAATGGTTATTGGGAGTTTCTACTCCAACAGCGAGGAGCAGACATTGTGGCTTTTGATCAAAACACTGTGTATCCGACAGATATGAGATACACAGAGATCATGGTAAAATTGTTTTGTTTGTTTGTTTTCTGTGGGAGGATTAGTTTTGTTGTAGAAGATGTCACATTTGACCCAGTATCACACACAAGGTTTTACAGGTCAAGAGCCTGCCCACACTGCCAAGTTCCTATCTTTTTCAACTGACTTGAGAATATTCATTTCCCTAGGAAGGTGACCCAAGTATTTTATGTGATTATAAAGACAGAGCTTTACTGTTGAGCTGGCCTGATCATGCAGGTAGATATTTGTGTTACAGTTACCATGTTGTCTTGATCCCCACTCAATTCCCTTCTGCTTGGCGATTCTTCTCCCCACCAGGCCCCCCTCCTTGAATCATTCACCATTACTGCTACTAGTAAGAGCCATTTTCTTTTTTTTTGACAGAGGATTGTTCATTTTCACTGGACTGTCTGAAATACTACAGCGGAAAAACTATCATTCACATCGGCGAACTCTTTGGCGAAACACTCTCCTCAAATCCCTGGGGTCAAACTACCTCACGTGCTTTCCAACTTCGACTCGGGGAAACTTTTCGCTGCGTGTCACGTGTTCAGCTTCCAAACTGGCCTGGTCACATGGATTCATTAACAGTTTGGTCACGTGCTCCAGATGTCGTTGACTGTGACGGAGCTGATATGGTGTTTATTCCTTTGGAGAACACGAGATACTTTGGGTGGAGTGGCAATTGATGATATTTGCACTTCCTCATTACTAGATTGCACGCCCCTGATCATCATCTGGCTACGAATTCATAAAAATATGGAAAGAGTTTTCTAGCACTGGACTTCACAGAGGCCTTGTCAATAAAATGTGTGGTCTCGGACATAGTTTGATGCTACTCTGGTTTAAAGATTTAATGAATGTAACTGAAGAAGTTACAATTCATAGACCCAACATTGTGGTCTCATTAAGGCAGTGGTGGTAAACAAACAAGAATGGAAGGAAGTGTAGAACTCGAAGCGTTGGCACTGTTATGGGCGATGAGTGATTTACATGACGAAGATTTGTTATTATTTCGTAAGAAGATGTAAATTATTTTCTCACGAAAAGGATGTTGACAAACCCGTTTCAGGAAAAAAACGTAGTAAAGGAAGACAACAGAGCCGGTAAATCTTTATCGGATTCTTTATTAGCTCTAACCTAAAAAAATTAAAATTACTGTAGCAGAGAGGGCGTGTCACAAGAATTTGCGGATGTAAACATTTTTCCATGTCCTCAAAAAACTGATTGATCAGTCCACAACAGGGGAACTAATTGTGCACACTTTTTGTCTCAGCTTCGTGAAGCTGAGAAGCGGCCAAAATGAGCAGGTGTTATTGTTAATACTGATTCAGACTTGCATAACCAATAACGCTAGTGATTAAAACTATAGTTGAGACTATCAAAACTGAAGTTCATCGATTTTTTAAGAGTAATTTGAAAAGACGATCCATTTGAACAATTGGACAATAAGGCAAATTCGCCGAAAATGTTACAGTTACTCAGGTGTTCTGATATGCCTGATTCATTATTCAGAAGCTTCCGGATAACTTCCACATAATTGTATTACCATGTTGTATTACTATGTACACATTTGATGTTGATGTCAAAACTCGGAAAACCGTGAACACCAGATATATTTATGGAATGTTTTAGTGTGTCGAGGGAAAAACCAACAGTGGGTGAGCAAACTAAACCGCAAAAGCAACAGTTGTTTGTTTTGTGGTTTCGAGGTTTTCTCGCATTTCCCTAGCAGACAACCGACTTATAAGAAGCTGATCACAGTGTTCACGGTTTTCCGAGTCTCGCATTGAACAAGACGGACTCTTATTTGGGGAACACCGCGCTTCGGTTTCAAACGGAAAGGACTACCATCATGACTTACCAATATTTTCATAGTAAGAGTACTCTCACGTAATAATCCTTCGATCAAAAGCTGGGTTTTTTATACAAAAGGAAAGTTTAGACGGCTTTTGTGAAGAAAACGTCATCCGAGACTCCTTAAGTCCCATACCCAAGCAAGGACGATGTGTCGCGGAATGACTCGCTGATCAGTAACGTTTGAAACCTTTGCACATGGTTAAATGTGATTCCCAGTTACATTCGCCAAATATGGCAGATCAATGGCAAACCTTTCCATTTTTTTGACTACTTTTGAGCGCGACAATGATGTAACGGACAGATTGCCGTTTACTGAATACTTTCGCGTGCATTCTAATTCACTAATGCATAAGAATCGTCTATTTTACTATATGGTGACGATGCATTATTCACGAGTTCTTATAACTGACAAGTCACATGTTTTCCTCCATCAGAGGTCTTACTGCGCGAAAAGTGCTGCTCTTTTTAAGATTTCCTCCTTTCGGCGACTTCACCCAGGCAGATCCAGGACTCCACGAAGGGGAACGAGCCAACATCGATGAACGACGGCTCGGGCTCGACAGTCGGGATAGCTCGGAAATGACCGACATGCTTTCTTCATCGTCCTCGGGTTGGAAGACACTTGCAGGAGCTGCATTACCTTGGAAACATAGCATCTCCACTTGTTCGTGTAACGTGGAAGCGAGGTACACTGCACCAGGAGAGACCGCTGGACCAAGGACTCGTGGATTTTGAATTTCCATAAACTTGTGCACGTACCGACTACAGTAAAACGAGAAAAAAGTGAAAAAGTGAAAAAGTGAAACGTTGAAATTATTACAAATAAGTAAGGAAGATTAAGTGCAAAGGTACCTGGGATTTTCGGCGTTGATCGGTGGGATTTCACAAACGTCAATTGAATTAAAATGAGTGACAAACAGGAATGGCTCACTGTATGCTGTACAAAACAAGAAGGAAACAAAAGTCAAGTTAGCGACCTTTACATACTACAGACTTTTTTGAAAGAACTTGGCGCGTGGGTCGCCATTAGCTCATCCCAGCGGACCAGAAAGGTGAGCATCGTTACTGTGTAAATTACCATAGGGAAATTTCCATGAAGTGAAAGCTTACTTAATAGCTAATCAAATTCAGCCTTAGCCATAGTCTCTCTCTCTGACTGCTGATCAAGGGAACGAGGACTATGGCTTAGAACGATACTGGTGCATGCTAGTATGAATCAATCACACCCACATAAACTGAGCCCTTGATTCCACCGTTAAACATGGCTGGAATCAGTTTAGGCAAAATTATAGACATTTCAGAAGAATTGTACCAACGGATCGACAATTTCAAATGATGTTAGCAATACAAGCACGCGATCTGTGAATTTGGGTAAGCTGTCCCATTTGCAGACAATAATAACACTGATTCTTCATGTTGCGCTGCTTTCTGGTGTTCCATGTGCGCGTGAATCTCAAGGCCATAGTACATCAGAATAAATTAATGGGCCGTCTCTATGGCAGAAATGGAAAAAGGGGAATAGTAGTGAAGCAGTTTTCAAATGGTATCATCAAACTCACCAAAAGCAAGCGGCAGTCTGCTCCACATCAAAGGTTTTGGCCTGCTGTGAGAACCAAAGCAGTTCACAAACACTCCAAACTCTGGGACAAAGGGGAAAATCGAGATTAATGAATAGATTTGAACCTTTCTAAAAGTTTCTCACGAATCAAATGATACACTGAACATGCGTGCGATCCATTTTTGATTTAATTCGATGGACATTTCTCACCGTTAAAACAAAGTAACAATTCTTCTTGGTCTGAACCAGCAGAAGTGACATCGAGAACGGCGATTGGAAATATGTTCAGTTGAGCGGCTCCATAAACTGCGAAGGCCAATGAAGGGTCTCTGCAGTCCAGAAATTCTGAAAGGAAATATTTAGTTTTTTGTGTAAAAAAAGTGCTCTTTCTTTTTTCAAGTCTTGAAACTGATAAATCTGCGCTATATTAATTCTTTTCCAAACCTTTTACAACGTGTTGCTTTATGTCCAGAATGTAGAACTTCCCAGTACCATAGATTACGTTATTCTCACTGAAATGGATGCAGTTACATGGCTCGCTTGTCTCGATCTCCTGCAAAGAAAAACAGGTCCGCATTGAACCCCCAAAAAAAAAACCATATGAAGTTCAAGTCTAACTAGCTCTTATAAGCATGAGCATCACTCAGAGTCCGGCTTTTTGTTTTGGGGTTTAAGCCCCCTCACCATAGAGCGAGCACAGGCTTGTTCTCGGAATAGAAGCAGGTTATCCAACTTCAAATGAGGTCGAAGTGTCTTAAAAGAGCTTTTCAATTGCTGATTGGCAAAGATATAAGACTTCAGCCAAAAGAAAGGTTATTTTCCTTACCTTGCGGGTACAAAATGTCCCAATGCTTGCATTGTATCGCAACAGTAGAATGCTTTTGGGAGTTGCAGCGCAAATGTAGAAGTTACCCTCGCACTGAAAGAGTGGAAAAAGTTATTCATATAGAGCAACCTGAATTTTCGAGAGATTTTCCGCAGAAGTTTAAGTTACAATATCGTTTATGACTAAGACAATCAAACAAACAGGAAGAAAGCTATAAAAAACAGAAGCCGGAACATTATTGATTGTGTTATGGTCATCATCAACACATAATCGCAACAACAATGGAATAAACAGTCATGAACACAATTTATCTTTCATGCCTTGAATTTAGCATGGTGAAAATAATTACCGGTTGTTTTCAATATAATTCTGCAAAGTTAAAATATACGTTAAGTTGATTCAAAACCTTTTACATTTACTTAAAACAGAAATCAAAACAGTTGATCTGCGAGAACACAAACCTGCCCAACAGCAAACAAATGGCAATTGGTGATTTTTTCAATTCCCTGGGAAGTCAGCTCTAATATTGGCACAGTAGAGTTAGAATGCCGCGCGCGGCTTGTGACTTGCTTAAGATCAACACTACACAGCTGTCTGTCTTTTCCTGAAAAAGGACACCTCATCAGCCAGGAAAGGAAAGCGATCTGGCTTGAGACTGTGAACATATACCGAAGTGAAAATACTAGATAATATCTCTCAATGTCTTGAGCTCATTGGACAACTTATTGTACATCGAGGACTCCACAGTACACGATATAACCATAAAACCTAGAGATTTTGTCGTGGTCTTATTCCTTTTCAAATTTAAAAGACAAAAGCTTGATAAATTTTTACAAGAATAATGAACTTTCCTTGACCTTCACTGATTAGCTCCAAATGACTATACAAACCTTCGAATAACATGTTTACAACAAAAAGACCTTAAAATAAGAAGGACGGGATGTGTATATTTTTCATTTTACCTGCAATCATGATAACTTGGTTCAAGTCACTCAAGATATCGATCTGAAACGCTCTCTCGATTCCAGGGATGGCTCGAGGCGAGTGTTTTCCTGGAGCGTCAAGCGACAGAGAAAAGAGACCTTCTTCGGCGCCAAGGAGAACCAACTAAAAGCAAAGAGAACGTGGAGGAAAAGCAAATAAAACTAACGAAAAGTGGAGAGTAACTTATTACGATAACTTTCCTAGTCGAAATGGCTGCGAGGAAAGACTTCGGGTACCATCTAAATTTATTATTACCGTAACGAAAGATACCAGGCGATAGATGGCGCATAAATTCCAGGCCGAGCGTCAGCGACTTCTAATGTTGTAACCATCGCGTCCACGAGTTTCATTAACAATACTCCCGAAAGTCTATGATTCTTACCTCATCATTAAGTAGTTTTGTGCAGTTAATATCAAGACGCTCGCCCTCCTCCAAATGTAATAACACGTTACCCATGAGCTTCTGCAAAGAAAATCAAAACCACGTCAGGGAAAGGTTGCTCTGTACATAATACGAACAATAGAAAGTGTTTGTAACCTGATCCTCGCCGTTGATATTCTTCTTCTTAATCTCATCCAAGACGAACTCCAAAGAGGCGACCCATTTCTGTTTGACTGGGAATGAAGGCGCTAAGATGTAAAGATTCTGAACGGGCCAACATCTCTGGCGTGACTCCACCCTTAGTATGTAGGGCAGATCCGTAGGGGCGGTACCTATCAATTCTGATGACATGACAGCGGAATGAACGGTGACGTGACCATCTTTGCCACATAAGTGTAGTACTTCGGATGGTGACGAATTTTCTGAAAAAGAGAAACGTAAGAGTTTTATCATTACGGTAGACACCTTGAAGAATTGGAGGATTTCGAAATACTGTCTCACCGCCCATGTTTTCTTTGTCGTAAAGCTGCAGCATTTGATCGGCAAGGACGACCCACTTCTTCTCCCATCCATGCTTCACAGAACCGCAACTGTAAAAAGATGCAAAGTTGTTTGTTACCACCAAAGTGGATAATCAAAACTTAACACAAAATTTTCCTTTGCTTTTTCTATCAAAATTAAAAGAATCTTCGAAAGTCCAGCGTCAATTCAAAAGTTGATTATTACGGGTTCATCTTCGTTTGATAAAAACTGCGTTTTAATTTTCTTTCAATTTCTGCATTGCTCATCGATTATGCTGTGATCTCTACTGTAACAGAATGTTACCGAAATCAACATGATAAAACGTTACAGTATTTGTGACACGCTACAGTTGCTCAACATTACTTCAAGAAGCACTTCACAAAAAGGTCCGCATACCGTGGTACCCTTAGCCATCCTTCTCTCCTGCCTCCCAGCCGAGTGGTGCTCTGTGACTTGCCGTCATTTTTATCGTTCTTCTGTTCCTGAAGAGTTTCAGTGAAGTGATCAACAAACTCACTTGGTAGTCCACAGGTACGTGGAAGTGTTGGTGCACACTTCACGTGGCAAACCAGGCCACACTCTATAACGAAATGTATTAAAACCGAATAAATGATCCGGTGACGTACATCAGTTATCAGCGCGATAATATTTCAAAAACTTACCAGCACAACGAGATGATGGACGCACGAAGTGTAGAGTGTCCAAACACGTGGCACACTTAGTAGCACGCATGTTCAGGGCATTAACAAACCTGAAGACAGAAGATATACGTATTCTTTAATTTGCTAACGACACTACCTAGACCTGCGTTCGACAAATGTTGTCTCTGCAACTTATGAAATCAAGCAACCGAGTCACTCAAATTGACCAAGTGACTAGGTCTCCCAGAAGTATTGGGCTGTTCCAATAGGTCACACTCATTTCAAACGGGACTGTTAGAAGGAAAATAAAAACACTCCATAGGGAAGGCAACTCAAATGGTGATGCCAACAAAGTTGGGCCACCAATAAACTTGTAGATCATACCTGTGTGGTATATTATGATGCATCCTCTCTTTTGGTCTGTGTGATGTTCCGCGGCCGGCTGGGGTGGCTGCATTCTTTGGAGTCTTTGACTGGTTTTGAGCACCCAACGGACTCGGTTGGTTGCTGGGCGACTGTTGGATCGCGGACAAAACTGCGTAAGACTGGGCCGGTTTTGGAGTAGCACTACCGGTGTTTTGTGATTTCCAGTGTACAGCTGTCAAAAGGCAAAAACAACGGTAAAATGGTAAATATGGCCTTCGACTGTGACAAGCTCCTTAAAGAGTTAATTTTAACCGCAAAGGTCCCATCTCTGAATAAATTTGAGAGAGAAGTGAGGGATATTTCAACCCGCCACCCTCTCCCTCATGGGAGTGCCCCGGGTAGCTTTTTGTACTCTCCACTTTGAGAGGAGGAAAGCCAATAACGTTTAAACTTGGTATACAGTGAACCTGGATAAGCCGAACATAATACAGGAAAGTACGTTTAATTTCGTCCACGAGAAATGTTCGTTTTCTCCTGAAGAGAAACTGACCTACTGGGGTTTCTCCTCTACAATCTGAATTTGATGATCATTTCCTTGGAACAGATTGTTCTGAGGAAACTAACAGGTTCAGACTCAAAAGAAGCAAAATTTTGACTGTAAGTCTCGGTCTGTAAGCATGCTCCCCTTCAAAAGAAGCGAGGGTATGACGAGCGAGTTTAGCAACTGAGAACTTTACTTCCTCTCTGGCTAACTTTAAGCCATCTTTTGAAAGAAGCACATCAGACGGATACCTTCCATTTTAGCAGCCTGCATTTCTTGCCGAATCCTATTCAGTTCAGTCTGTAGTTTCAAACTGGAAGCTCTTTCTTTCTCCAGCGCCTGCTGCAGGTCTCGCCATTGTTGCGGCACCACATTAATACTACTCTCTGGTTTCTTACGCCACGACTTACTGCCACCGCCGATAAGCTAACAAACATCATAATTGTATCACAGTTAACGTTTCTAGACACTACTTGCAACTTAACAAGTCATATCTCAAAGAAACTAGTAAAAGTAAAATGGTTTAATTGGAAACAGGAAAACGATAGAAAAATGAAACTTACTATGCAAAGGCTAGATACAATCCAAGAGCAAAGATTTGTTTGGGTTTCATACAAATATTTAGCGCTTGTCCTTTTATCAACAAAGCAAAACGTTGCGCAGCCAAATATGACAGTTAAAGTTTTAATAATCATATTAAAAAAGAACCCACAACGTTTTTTCTCGCTCCAAACATGGGACCTCCAAGTTCAGTTGTTAGTAACGCCCAACTAGTATTCGTTCTAACGATGGGTTAACGTTCTAACTTCTGTGCCAGCTAAATAGAAACTCTCTGTGGTGGCCAATGTACAGTATTAACTCAGTTGATAAAACTAAATTGTCTAGTTTCTGAGAGGTTTGAAACGAATCTCGTCGAAGCATGAATTGTTTTCATGCTTCTTTTAATGCAATTCTTTAATTGCTCTGACGAAGGGCTAACGCTCGAAACGTTGGAAATCATTTCTATTAAAATACACCATGAATTCCGGGAGAACTTTACCTTTTTCTTTTTAGATGCTTGGCCTTCAGCTTTGCACTGCAAGAAGTCAATCAGTTTGGTCTGTTGAGAGTTAGTTGCCTCTAGCTTGAGGCGTTCTTCGGCATGCGAAGCCTCCATGAGATCAAGCTGCTCAGCTAAAGCAGCCCGTTCGCATGTCAATTCATCGCACTTCTCCATAGCTGCCTCGATGTTCTGGTTCAACTCAAAATTACTGGACTTCAACTTGGAAGTTTGATTCTCGAATCGCTCAACCTCAATCTTCAGCTTGTTGTTGTCTTCAATTCCAAGTTGAAGTTTGCGTTCCAAGGATTTAATATCCAGTTGGGCCATTCCAAATTTGGTCTCCGCTTCGCTGAGCTGTAATGGGTACAAATTTTGCTTCTTGTAAGGTCTGGTCGCTTGCCAATAAATTTCATTCAGGGGCGGTTTACTCGGAATACGATGATCGAAACAAACAAATATTCTACGTAGCGAGGTCATGAAACGAGCCAAAAAAAAAACGTCGAGGGTAAGATGGCAAAAGATACATTTTCTTTCTTTGTTTTTCATTTCTTTTCCCAAATTTTTTCAAAAAGGACCGCACCTTCTTCTTACTATGGAACTCATTACCATAATCCGTGCGCCATCACGATAATCTTGCGAGCTTTAAGACTACTATAAAGACTAACTTATTTCGCGAAAATTTCAATTGAAGAAGTGCCTCAGGAATAATGTAGATAATAGAAATATTATAATACTAAATTATTATTATTATTTTTTTAATCACCAATGTAATTTTTTTAAACCTTACTCTGACATGTGCTCATGGACATCCTTTGATTATTCATTATACAGTTTTTCCTTTCTTTTCATGATTTGGAATTTTTTTCTCCTTAAATTAACTTACTATAGCATTCACAAGTCAATTGTCTATCGTTTCCGTTTGCTCGTGATTAGATTAGGACTGAAAGTGCTTTATCTGAAAGTTGATATGGGTCGCACGCATGTTTTTTTGCGCGCCACCTAGAGACATGCGCCGGAGGGAATAATTGACCAAACTAGAGCTTACCGCTTCTGTCAGCTCCTCGCATCGTTGTCTCTGTCTGTCCAGTTGAGCGTTCATCTCACTAACCTCCTTGATATGAGTGTTTTGCACTTCTTTCAACGCATCTTGTAGCTTGGATACTTTCTCTTCGGCAGCCAAACTAGGCAATATAACAAAGTCATTTAACATAGCCGTTGAAAGGTTAATTGGCATATCTCAGGGATATAAATCCCTTTTAGTTCATCTTTCGAAAAGGGAGGTAAAAGACACGAACGTTTTGCCACTTTGACTTTCCAAAGAAAGTAGGAGAATCCGTCGAAGATACTTAACAGATATATTCTCTTTTCCTTACCGTGCTATTTTTTCCTGTTCCAATGAACGCCGATTTTCCACAAGTTCACACTCAATTTTCTCTCGTTTTTGCTCCAAATCTCCCCTTTGAAGAAAAAAAATATATATCAAGGTGAGTGTTTTGGTTGACTCACGAAATCGGGCACTGCACCTCCGTGGCCGGAGAATAATCTAATACCTTGTGATATTCCATTGTAACTGTTTTTCTTCAAAGTCCTCGTTGATAATCTCCAGTTCCTCGACTTGATTTTCCAGCATAGTACAAGTAGATTTCAACATCGAGTTGGTCTGTGAACAAGTACGTAGATAAATCATCCGACACGCACCATTTATGATTGATCAGAGGAGTTTCACCAGTGTAGCAAGTGTTTGGTGATAAACTCACGAACACATTGACAGAAATAATTTGATACAAAGCAAATCTGCAGACGGAAACAAAAGTTACTAAACTTACAAATTCTATGCCTTCAGCTGCCCTCTTCTTTTCATTCAATTCATCTTCAAGTTTCTCCTTTGTAACCTTAAGATCACAATTTTCGTCTGTAAGTTCTTCAACCTTCTTTTCCAGCTCCTTAAAGAAGATAAAATAAAAACGATCAACACAGCAGACGACAAGAGAGAAAAGACAAGAAGAACAATGACACTTTCCGAGAACTCTCACTTCTAACTCCTATTAGAAACTCATACACGCTGTTTATTAACTTATTGGCACTGCAATACCTCAGCCTGCTCCAGTAAAAAATCAAGAACTGCACGAGGTTTGACTTACTTTGGTTTGTGCCACCAGTTCGTTGCAGCGATTGGACATTTCACTTAGTTGAACGTGGATTTCCTGAACAACCTGTGTATCACACAGAATAGAAAGGAGACATGCATTTAGGCTATGAATTATGAGGTAAAAATCAAGTGTGCAAGGAAGCTGTGAATAACAATAATATAAAAAAAATAAATGAAAAGGCGTGCTTACCTCTGACCGATTCTCCTGCATTGTTCTGGTAATCTTATCCTGCCTGGCCGAGGCCTAAAAGAAGTAGAGAGTGAAATGATTAAGTTTTCCCCATGATGTACTCATATCGACTCTAACACTGTATCATCGCATCTTTCGTTTCAACAACCTATCAATGGTACTGAGAAATGGCTGCACTCGAAGACCGAGGGCGACGACACCTCGAATTTGGATTTTACATTTAATTAAAGTGACTTGGGGACACAAAAATCTTGCTAAGCCGCATGAGAAAGAAAAAAGGATTTACCTTTAGCTCCAACTCAAATTCTCTGGTGTCAATCTCATTCTGAAAAGAAAACGAAGAGGCTGAATAACCCTAAATATTAAATCAACAGCAGATGTTCAGGTTCTTGTGGAAAATATTTGCTCTCTAACTCTGCAGCGACGGTCTTTGAGCCGACTCTGACAGTCACCTCATGTTTTAGATATGTTCTGGTCTCAACAGGCCAAAATGTAGATAGCAACATGGGAACGTCATTGAGAAATATACGTGAAAAAGGGCCGAGTGTGTGTACCTCCAATTTGAGAATGGTTTCCTCCAATGCCTTCTTCGTTGATCTCAATTCAGAACGTTCTATAGAAAGCTGTGAGGAGAAAAAGACCATAAGTGATTATCAGTACCAAATAAACTGATTATGCCGAGACTTGAATTCAAAGACACAGCGAGCAAGGACCAACTAGGTTGAAATTCCAGAGCATGTCAGCAAGCGTTAAGTTCATAATCATACAGCCTGCTGAGCCGAAAACCCAAGTGATTTAGAGGAGTGGAGGCGAGATGGGAACCACGCACCCGATGTTGTCTTATCAAGCAAGCGTCAAGAGACAGCTAAGCAAGAAACCTATCATCCAATCCTCCCACCCTTCAACCCACTGAGCTCCACCAATCACCAACCTCATTTAGTTGCTTCTCAAGTTCTTGCACCTTTCGCTCCATTTCTTTAGCAAGCTAACGGTTTAAATCACAAGAAATAAATTTTTATGAGTGCAATTACCGTTCCCTTCAAAATCCTTTACCCCACCCTCCCCTCCTAAACATCTTGGAGGCTAAACTCAATTCAACATCGATTTGGTCTTACAATCAAAGAATTATATGTACAGCACTTTCGAAGACTATATTGGTTCCAACATTAAACTTTTCTTCCCTGGCCTGACTTTATCAGAGAAAGAAAAAGAAAACGTTTTGGACAGAGATTGTTAACAAGAACTCAATGATGAAGGCAATCTGTCCTGTCTCAAGATATTCGCTATAGCGTAGGCCCGTGAGCTTTTTCAGCAGAGACTTTCCTAACAGTTCAGCAGCATACCGTATCATGCAATAGGCAAGCCAATCTGTAAAAGATGTGATAAACCTGGAATTTCCGGATATCAAGCTTTCCTTTTTCTTACCTTTTTCGAATTATGGTCTGAATCTTCAAGCTGCTTCTCCAGAGAGGAGTTTTTCTGTAAACCACACGCAAGAAAAACGGGTTCAGAAATGCACAACAAAGAAATATTATTGCAACAAGTATCACTCGCCAGTACCTGCTGTTGAATTTTTAAGTCACTCTCCAGCCCGGTCAACTTAATCGTCATCATCTCTTTCTCATCGCATAACTTTTCCAATTCAGCTCCATTGATTGCTCTAAAGGAGGACAAAAAGGCAGTCGTTATATGAGTCGATCTCACTGTGTGATTAAGCCCTGCAATATGCCACCGTCAAGACGTTACTGTCTAAAGGGGCGTAAGAATGTTTTAGAGTAGAGGTTAAAAAGTCCCACACTATAGTCCAGGAGCATATGTCTGATAAATAATTCCCGTAGGTTTTTTTGGAAGAGAGCAAATCATTAGCCTAGTAGTGTTCATTGGACCACCAGGATTCCTGAAAACGTTGTTGACAATTTTGTTAAGCATTCAGAGGATAATTATGGCGTGTTTAAAAAGGGCCTAGCTGATGCAGCATGAAAACGAGGCTAAAAAACTATAAAGGGCCATTATTTCTTTCTAAATTCAGGGAAACTCAACCAAATTCACCAGGTACAATAAGCAAGCAACCCCGAAGCCAACGGATTAGTTTAATTCACTAGCTTTACAATGGCATCTGGGAATTATGCTTGGTTGTTTTATCATTCCTTGTTATTATTTTCTTTTGCCTCCGAAGACCCCACATCAAGGAGGCAGCGATTAAACAAAGTCCATACTTACTGTTTTCCATTGTTGTCATGATCTGCCTCTGAGCTTCTTCTGCTGAGTTCAACATTCTCTTTAAGCATTTCCTCTAATGTCCTGCACTTTCCCGTCAAGGCACCAATTTTCTTGAGTCAACATACAAAATCATTCACAAATTAGTTGTTAGCTCCCTTTCGTATTCAAAAAGAGAAAAGTAGAGAAAATTTTGTGTCGCGATAAGCCTCGTCATTTGCTATGAACGTCTCTCAACAGTGAGAGAAGTATGAAAATCGTGTTCCTTTAATTCGTACCACATCTGCAGAAACCTGCAGGACGGGCGCTATCGTTTTTGCGTTCTTCAGGTAAACAAATGGAAAGGCAAGGCGAGCACGAGAGATGATACTCCCTCTCCCCATTCGCTCAAAGATGTCATCAGTTCTTCCAAATAACTGTGTTGCTATATTTGAAGAGGATAGAGGAGTAAAAAAGGCTCCACTGACCTGATCTCGTGACGCCATTAGCTTTTTCGTTTCCTCCAGCTCACTCTCAAGTCTGTTGTTGGTATTTTCAATCTTTCTTTTGTATCGTGATAAAGTATCAATTTCTTTCTCCATTTCCTGGTAACATTGGAAACATGAATTTTTTGGTTTATATAGAATTGACTGTGGCAGATGCGGTTATCTAATGTTAATCGCCAGATCTGAATCGATAGGTGTGGGATCAAGACCCGGATGGCTCATTGGGTCGTGTTCTTGGGAGACACACCTTAGTCTCACAATGCCTCTCCATCCAGGAAAATCGATGGGTGCCCGGGAACGTTCAGGAAATCTTGATGAATTACTGGAGGATAATTTGTATTGGCCAAGTAGTCGTTGCAGGAGGAGTAACAATGCCTCTATATACTATATACAGATGAATGCACGATATGGTCCGGCAGAAAAGAGTAAGTAGGCTCATAACACTTCCACTAACCACCATATTCTCCGACAATACAACCAAACAATCAGGGCGATTATATGAGAACTCAGCTTAAAGATTACAATACAGACTGAAGTAAAGTTACCTGTATTTTTTCCTCCTGAGCCTGCCTGTTTGCAGCATCCTTTTCTAACTTCTTTTGTGATCTCTGGCTTTGAAACAATTGATCCTCTAAATCCTGCGAGAAAGAAGTAAAATCATCGCATACAACTCCTCATTTCACCAATTAGCTAATAGACATACGAACAATCAAAAGTGAATTTCGAAAGTACACGAAGACCTCTATGATACATTAATTAAAATGCAACGCGTTGATTTCATTGAACAATTTTCTAACACTCCCAATCCAGTTACGTAACGTTTCGAAGATTCTCTGTGGACCAAAGAGTGAGCAATTTAGCGTGACCACTCTGAGGGTATTTTCCACTAACCAAAACTTTTAAAGTTTCCAGACTGTCCGTGAAACGGACGCATTTCACAAACTATTTCCGTTGACTGCTGGCAGGTGATTTCAAAGTTCTTGGAAGTGTGCCATTTGGTCAGAAGAATTCTCAAGATCACAAACCGTGATTTTGTGAAAGCAACTGATACTCAAACGCTCCAAAGTCGGGATCTCCTCATATAAGCCTCGTAATAAGACAGGGCCGTTCAACCAAAAACAAAATTTAAGTTCAGTTCATAAAGGATATTCATTTTGCAGCAGAGCTAGATGAGTTTTCAGTCTGGTTTATAACATGGACAAGCCTTGTCATTCAAGTTTCGTGCTGCTTATCAGGAAGATGGAGTGTTAGTATGGGGAACCTCCAACCCGATTTCCGAGATCTCGGTAACTGGTTCTGCCCAGTCCGAGTGTAGCGAGGGGACATGTTGAAAATCAAGCCAGTCTAGTTGACCGGGTTCACTCCATTTCTTTAGAAGATTCCAAGCAGGCAGGCTATGGATTGGTCTTCACTTACCATTATCTTACTTTGAAGCTTACGTACTTCAGCCGATTTTTCTCTAAAACGCTCTCGTACACTGTTATCGCCCTCTTCAGTCCGCTTGATTTGAGCATCTTTACACGACTACGAAAAAGAAAGAAAAAATTTGTTTGAGTATTTATCCGACTGTTTATGCGCTCACGATGGCAAAGGTCTTAATGTATGACAACATTAGAGGTATTCGATCTCAATGTTTCCGTACACCACTAACTCCACTTAAACAACCTCGTTCGCGGGACCCTTGTCCTGGATAAATGTACTTATTTCCTATTAATATTCAGTTCTCACCCACACAAATGCAATTTCGTTTGATTATATATTCTTTCGGACACGTTTAGCCTACCATTCACACAAGTCCGAAGACGTTGGTTAACACACAGACAGTCTCAGAAAAGGAATCTTTAATAAACGCACAGCCCATTTAGAAGAAAAAACTTAAGGCTTCTGAAAACGGTCACAAAAAGAGCATCATGTAGGGTCGCTTCTATCAGCGTTTCCGTTCGTCTTAGTGTTTTCAAATTGAAACGCACTTGTGTGGAGTGGTGAAGACGAAACGAAAACACTGAGCAAAAGAAACTGGCTTCGTATTGAATAAGAAAAAGGAAACTTTTGAAAACGCTTTATGTTGGTGAGGGCTTGGTATCTATCTCCCCAATTTGCGCAAACTAATAACCTATCTAACTACCTCAACCCGTACTAAATGTTAATTTCCTCTTCTATCTCTTTACCATTATCCGTTTAAATATCTCCTCTGCTAACTCTTCTTTGTACTTAAGTCCTATAACTGCACTATCTGATCTCCTTGTTGGTGTAAAAGGCTAAAAGTAACAAATAAAAAAAATGAACAATTCACTAAATGATTAAATGAAAAAGTAAAGTTAAGCTGTAAAGAGGAGCAAGGTAACTCCAAACGTTTTTTCTATGCGGATTTAACTTGTTCAGAGCAAAACTTTCAGACAAGAGCTTGAACGACGTTCATCGAACCTCAATTTTCACGGGTTGAGGAATAATTCTTACCTTTCCTCCCTCTTCTGTGGAGTTCGATAACTTGCTTGACTTCTATAAAAGTTAAATTGCGCAAAAATTAGAGTTGGATGAAATGTTCAGCGTCCAGTTTACTAAATAAGAACAACTATGACTCTGGCAAACTTGTGACTGCTTACTTTCCTGTTACCTTAGACCTGCCAGGGAAGGGGGGGGGGGGGAGAGGAGGGGGAAGTTCACCATATATGTCAATGCCGAAAAAAGGTAGTGCAGCGAAAACCATTTTTTGATATCTTAAAAAGCTTGAGAAGGCTCCAATAAATGGAAGGTGGAAATCATAAAAACAAGTTATCATGATGAAAATATTACCATCTTCATACAAACCTTCAGCTTTTCGAATTCTTTTTGAAGTTCGTCTTTAGTTTTCCGCACGTTTCCTAACAATTCAGTTGCTTCTTGGTTTGACTGTAAGGACTGAACAAGAACACTTCCGTAATCAGATTTATGTGTGGCATATTTTCCTTGTTTCACTTCAAGAGAAAGGGTCAAATTGTAAATTGCACTCGATCTCACGATACCCCCTTCCCTGGTCCTTTTTCTTTTGTTTTATAAGCTCACTTTCTTCAGAGTTCTAAAAGCAAGTATCACGAGCACGAGAGAGTAGACGCTGACCGTTTTGCGCCGCCTGACAAATTAAACGTTTGTGCGTGTTGGTGTACATCCCTCGCGCTCAAATGAGCCGTGCCCCTCAAGCAGGCTAAAGAAGTTTTTGTAGGTGCATTACTTACTTTCGTCAACTTTTGCTGTAGTTCCGTGATTCTTTCGTTGCTGTCCTTAGTGACTTTGTCCAGTTTTTCTTGCCATTCTATCATGCTCCTCTTTGCTTCTTCATTCATCTTGAAATGGAAAATCGGTTTAAACTAATATAACAGGAACAGGGTGTAGTGTATTTCGGTATCTACCATACAAAAGTAGTTGTGTCAGGACAGCGCTTAGCACTGATCGACAGTCATAATGAAAATTTGGTTTTGATTTTGCACGCAACAAAGGGTATTTGATCGTATCTGTCTGTGGGGTTTTATCTTACTGCTTGGCGAAAATACAAAACATAATCGATAAAATCGTTCACAACACCTTAAGAAAAAGGCCTTACAAACCAAAACCCCGCCTGTACTTGTGCCTCTAACAAAAAAGATAACGATCGATGGATCAACAGAACACACCCCACTCTTAGTATACCCTGTAGACATATTATGCGCGATTCTTTATTTACCCAATCCTGACTCAGTTGAGGGGATAAAATTGAAGAGATTTAGTGGTTGAATAATATGCTGGTTATATTGCAACGTTCGCTGAACAAGTTCACAGAGTTTACTTTCACTGCTTCGGTTGACCTTCATATATGAACTGTGACACCATGCGTGGAAACAATATCCCAACTGCGTTCAACGAGAAATCAGACTCTCAGCCAACTTTAAGTAAAACAAATTACTTTAAAAGCGAGTCAAGAAGTAACTCAAAGGGCGCAGAATAATAAGAAGACAAATTTACCTTTGTCATTCTGGCTTGATGGTCATTGATTCGGCTCTTACTGACTTCAAGAAGCTGTTAAGCAAACAGATTCAATGATTCATGTTTTGAATGCTATTGTTGCATGATCGCTCATAGCGTTTTCCTTCGTTGCTGGTTTTTAAAATAAGCCATACCGGACATCGAACGTTATGGCGTATTACCGAGGCATGACGTTCTCTAAACAGTGCGGTACGTGCAAGGTTAACTGCATGCATTTATCCTTTGCACCCTAAATTTAATATGCATATTCTCCATACTGGTCTCCATACATTCCTAAGGTGCTGACAAAGAGAATTTGTTGAACAATCAAGAGCTTCTTTAGTTGCTGATCATTTCCTTAATTTTTATGACCCTAATGTTTGATTCAGAGGTGATATTGTGAGGAGAAATTACACGCTGGTCAGCCTTTGGGGTCAAAGGGTTAAAGCACAGGAACGGTCTAATATTAAATGGAAAAAATTGTAAACTCGAACAAGAAGCTAGTAACAAATTTGTGGGGTTCATTGCTAATATACCGCAAGGGTTCATTTAGGAGAGGAGTTATAAAGACAATTGAATCTGTATACCGTTGAGTTTCAATCAACAAAACACTCTTTCTAAATACATTTTTACCTTTTCTTGCGATTTCAGCTCTTCTTCTAATCGTTGAGCACGTCTACTGGCTATAAACCGATCGTTTTCCAACTGGGCTACAATTTGTTGAAGGTCCTCGAGATTCTCCCTGCACGTTGAATTCAAACCAGACCATAACGATAAATACTTTTGTTGGAGATCAAGCATTTTGTTCAGGATTTCTTACAGACTAAACGGGGTGCGTAAGAATTATTCTCTAGGATTCACCATTTGTCCATTTTTATGAGTATTTAACAAAGCGTTCTCTCTTTTCCCAATGAAAAAAGCCATTTTTAGATTTTTTGGCAGGTTGTACGTTCCTCTTCCTGTAGCCCAGAGACGTTTTCGGAGAGATCTTAAAAAGGTCTCTCTCTCTTAAAAAGGACGGATCGGAGGGTTGAAATAAAATTTCTACTCTCTCTTTTCGCAAAGCGCATGCAAAGAGCAAGCCATAAGGCCATTCATATTAGCGCGAGAGACCTGACAAGACGGTGGATTACAACTATGCACTCAAAACTGGGCTTATTGATGGACAAAGTAGAATCTAAATTTTTGCATTTGTTAAGCCTATCCATAAGCTAACCTGCTCTCCTGGTTTCTCAGTTCATTCGCCTTTTCACTGTCTTCTTTCAGTTCCGAAAGCAGTTTAAGAGTAGCAGAGTCCGTCTTGTTTCGTTCAGCTCTCTCCAGATCAAGGCGTCTCTGTAGGTCCTGTTATGGCCAAGCAAAATAATATGAGGAAACCCGCCAAACCGAACATAATCAGTTACATTCTAGGGTTATAATTTGTTGATTTCAACGGCGGTTTCAAAGGAAAATAGTCAGACTTCCGTAAGAAATTAACAGTGAAATATCGCGAAGCCACATTACGAAAACATTGCACCCTTTCTGAAGTCTAGGTAAAAATTTCCAAGAAAAAAGAACCAGCGTTGGAGATACTCACAAACTCTCCAGAGAATAATGTAATTCTGCAAATCTCGGAGCAGAGCGAAATTCAAAAATTCTATTTTTAAGAAATCTATGACTAGAGACCAAGCAAGGTTCACAGTTAGAACCTCTAAATACATGTACCGTTAATACAACTTTTCTGCGTCTTGGAATGGAAGCCTCCTTTTTCTACGTTACGTGCTTACTGTACCTTGACTTGAGTATCATAGAGGACCTTCTCCTTTTCAAGCAGATCTCTTTCATACTCGGCGTTCCTTAGCACTTTGTCTTTCTGTTCTAATGCGCTTTGAAGTTCTTCCAAGCTCTTTTTCATACAGACACTTTCATCTTTTAGAGTGTGACATGACTGCAGCGCATCCTTCAGTTCTTTAGCCTTGATCGTCAGTTTTCGTTCCAGACGGCTCGGGGGCAGACCAGATGACATGGGCGAGTTGGGAAGACTTCCGGCTCTGAAAGTACAGATGAAACAGAGTTATGTGCGAAAAACGAAATAAAATCGATGGATGAAAATGAGCGTACACAAACTTTAAAAAAAAAAGTTTGCCATGATATTTTTACTTTTTGATTGCTGTTACAGAAGTTGAAGGAAACATCGAAATAGTAGTTTGTTGAAACAGGAAAACGTGAAAAAAAGTAACATTAAAACTGAAAAGAACGACCGCGCCAAAATATAATTATATCGCAAAATCTATGTAATACATTCCTCACCGCACAAACTGCAACTGCGACAAAATCAACGAGGCTGCTTCAGGCTTGAACCTGACTTGAACGTAAACAACATTGTCCCTTTCTCAGCAGTCATAGGTCAAGTCTGGCAGCAACAACGAAATACAAGGCGGCGTTTGACCGTCTCTGACACACGGCATGTATGCAAGAAATATTTCTATTGCTCACTATTGTACTTTTTCATATTTTTTAAACACTTTCATTTTTACTGCTGAATTTCCTTCTTCTTTGCATCTTGAATGTTTGGTTCAAATTTCAAGCTATGTCGAGAAAGTAAGGTAGTATTGTATGCCACAGGAAAAAAGACAAATAGAGAAAGGGACGAATTGGAAGCAAGGCGCGAAATTAAATACAAAAAAGCAATCCCGGCTGCATAAATATTTACACTCTTTTGATTTGATCCTTCTACATCAAGCTTTACTTACTTCCTAGGAGAAAAAGGAACACTGTTGGCAAGATTTCTTGAGAAAGTGAAGCCGACAAATGGAAGATCTTTGCCTGTGAATCCCTTGCCGTCGTTTAAGTTGTACTTTTCCAGGTGTGCTATCACATCAGGGCTCTCGGGTTCAAATTCATCAAAGTGTGATGTGTCTGCTGCACCATCCAGGTTTGGGACGTACGGCGGCACGGCTACAGCACATAGAATAAACTGTATGAACGCTAGTCATATTGGCGTGGACCATTCAAAGGATGGGTTCAAGGGAAAGACTTTTTTTTTTTCTCTGTCCTCGCTTTTTGTGTCTTCTTTTTTTTGTTCCACTACAAGTAACTACATTTTTCCCTTGAAAAGTATCTAAAAAGTTTTTAGTCCAGTGACTGGAAAGGTACTTATATCAGACCAGGATGGGAAGGGTAGCCATACACTCTGAGCCTACTTTTACTTGATGATCAGACTCAAACCACTGCATGGCCTGATTTGACTTCAGTGGCTCCCTTTTTTCGTGTGTGTGCATATTATGTTTCTTGATCTACACTCACAAGTCTTCTATCACCCAGAAGTACTTTGGTACAATGTGAGATGTCAAAAACAGAAATTTCCATTTCTCTAATTCCCAAATGGATTAAGTTACAGTGGAAGACCCACTATGAAGGTGACTGTTGAGTTTCTGCTACGTTTTATCCCATCCTCACAAGTACACTGTAAAGAACAGTTTGACTTACTCTCTTGTAAATTATTCCACTCAACGCCATTGAAGAACTGGTGACAAAGAAGTCCCTCATAACCCAATCTTGACTTACAGTCAGTGCACAATTTTAGAATCAAATCCCTTGCGTTTTTGCTGACTTGGGCATCCTTCGAAAACTGCAAGGATGTCTGGAATAATAATCAATTTAGAGACCAAAGGTTGATTGAATATAGTTTTTACAACTATAAATACAACATAGCAAAAGTTAAATGGATGGTAAGTGTCAATGTAGTTTAAGTAATGTGTGCTGTAGTTCTAAATAATAATAACAATAACATTAATGATAACAAGAATAGTAACCAGAAAACTATAATTAAAAAAATGATTCATGAAAAATGACAGAGATAAAATGACTTATAAATTAGTGCCAGGTACCTTGTAATTCATGATCTTGCTGTAAGTTATCACTACTGAGTCCGCCTCAAACGGTGTCTGTCCACACAACATCTCAAAAGCAACAACACCAAGTGACCACCAATCACATTCCACTCCATATGGACCACCTGATCCATCCATACTGGTTAACACTTCAGGTGCAATGTACTCAGGAGTGCCGACTGGCATTTTACTGTGTACCTATTCACAAATACAACATCAACCACAAAAAGTTACTATTTACATGTACTACAGTAAATTATGTTGAAATCAAAGAAGATAAATTGCTGATGGTTAGCTAACAAAGGGTCCAATATTCTGATGGGACTTGCAGAATGTTTTATGCTAACTGAGATTTTAAGTAATAAGCAAACTATCTGCAGTAATATTCAGTAACCATAAAGACAATCAAAACAATAATTGGATGAAGACAGTCTAAATTACTTTATTTTCAAAAATAAAAACTTGTTAACCTTCAAGAGAGGATTTCCTACATGGAAATTTTGCATAAAGTACCAAACAATTTACAAAAAAAACAGACCTCTCTTGGCCTTGCAAACTTGAAATCTCTTAAAAGATTACGAGTCACTAATATAAGTTCCCCTTGGTTTCATAAATATATTTAATTAAGGATAAATTAATTTAAGTAATATGTATTACCTTTTTTTCTACTGAAAGTCTGGCTGATGAACCAAAATCTGCTAATTTAATGTGTCCAGTTCGATCAAGAAGGACATTGTCTGGCTTGATATCCCTGTTGAAAAAAGGTACAGCAAGTTTGTACACTTGTAAGTCCCTGTTATAACTGTGTCTTCTGTCATGAATATTGTTAACTTTCACTCAGATTTCTATTACAGTAACTATGAACTACTCTACTTAGACCAGGCTGTCAGATTTCTAACTACCGCACAATGTAAATCAGAGTTAACAAATCTATAATATGTGACGAAAAGAAGTCTAAGAATTTTGGCTTTTGAAATTCTAACACCAGCAGTAAGAGGAATTTACCTGTGCACATAGCCTAACACATGAAGACTGTGAACAGCCATGACCATCTCAGCAAGATAAAACCGTGCAACATCCTCCTCTAGTATATCGTCATACTTGCTTAACAAAGACAATAGGTCTCCACCAGGGTGATACTCCATCACAAGATACAAGTTATTGATGTCTTGAAAAGCGTATTGTAGTGATGTTATCCAAGGATTATTGCATAGTGCCATTATTTCTCTTTCTTCATCATAGAAAGCAACCTTTTGATAAAAGATCAGTGGTAAAGAATAAGCTGTGAATAAGGAAAAGTGTTACGTTAGGTAAACTATTCAGCAAGCAATTTAAGATTGCCACTGTCATCATCAACAAAATAAGTATAAGAATCTTCAATAGCTCCAGATGTACACATACAAGACTGTTAAGGCCACAATTAACCATTATTCACCCAAGTGGAGATGAATAGTGATGGATATTTACCAAGCCAATAAGTGGCTAGGTACACATAAATATCCACCACTTTCACTGACCTTGAGTGAATAATTGTTTAATAATAATAATTCTGTCTCATTCGCTGCTCAGAGGTGAATGATACTTGATATTCACTTTAACACTTGCCCATCTGCACATGCAAAAAGTGTAATTCACTCATGTGGTAAATACTAATGACTACTACAACCAGCAAAGATGCTGCTCTCCAGCACTGTTCTTCATGTATCATGAAATACTTTAAAAATGGTAAAAATATTAATCATAATAAATTGGTGTGACAGCCAATGACCATATGATTTAAAATGTTGACAACTTACAGTTTACAATACAATAATTGGCAAGAACTTCTTGATGTAAAACATCAAGAGGTGTTTCTCACTTCATAAATATGCACACCATTAAATAAATAAATTTCTATTCTGTTAAGGGTGTTTTTAATAGAGAACACGTTGCTAAGCATCATGGGCTGTTAGAAACATTTAATGTCTGCTTAACAATGCTCAGTTTATCTATATACTCACACTTTCCTGAGCCAGTGTTTGACTCTTCTTCAATGTTTTCATAGCAAACACATCCCCACCGTGTTTGTCTTTGACAACTTGAACCTGTTTTAAAAGTTTGAATAAAAAAGACTCTAGAGGCATGTTTCATCCTACCAATAACTTTTCAAAAAGCTTAATATAATATTTTAATCTGAAAGTAAAATGAAAACAGTATCCAAACCACTATATTGTTCATGTAAGTTTTGAGATTCCATTGGGTAAACTATAAATAGAAATTTTCAAAGTGTCAAAAACATTTATGGAATTTCGTACGGTTACTTTCCAAAAGTAAATTCTCCTTTCGTTGCAATTTTAACGTCTGATGGAAACCTTCAAACTTCGAAATAGATTAAATTCCATGTAAAATAGTCACTTTTCGATCGAATTCGATTTTTATTATTAAATGTGCCGGTGATATTTCAACAATACCTGTCCGAAATGCCCTCTGCCAATAGTGTTCAAAACCTCGAAATCATCCTTGCATAAGCAAATCTTTCGAAGATCATCAACCATCGGCTGATCTGAAGAATAAAAGGATTAGAATGGAAACTTAATTAAATAATGCCATGAGGCTAAAACACTATTACTGAACGTACATGTACTTACGAACATACAGTTGGATACATAGATTGCCATGGATTGTTCATAGGTCAATTTTTGAAGAGAAACTCCATTATATCCTTAAACTTTGGAACTGAAATTGTTCTTAATACATTTCCACACATAATCATCAGGTAAATTATTACAAAAAAAGACCTAATTAATCAAAGATGGCAAGTCTAACACTCTTACAAACTTACAAGGACTACAGCTGTAGACACGAATGTTGATGCAAAGTAACAAAGCTTTCCAATCCAGCTGAACACTCGTTTAAAACTCTATCACTGAGTAAAAATAGCGAAATAGTTCTGATACTTACATTTCTTGACAAATCCAGAAATATTCTTGTCCTTGAGCATGTACTCCGAGTTACATTCATCGAAGAGTAGCAGAAAGGCATCCAAAAGTGCTTCGCGAGTGAAAGTTCCGCACGACTTACGACCAACATTTTTTCCGGCAAAAATCTGGTTGAGTTTCGCACAACGAGTAGATATTGAATCAGCCATGTTCTATAGAAATCAAACAGAACATCAGAAAAGCTAACTATTTATTCCGAAGAAAGAAAATCGGTTTACAAATTACAGGAAACCCGTTGGAACCGAGCTACTAAACCGTTTGCATGCCGGAGATTGCGCCGGCAAACTTACCAGCGGAAATCCGCTAAGCGATCTCTGATTGGTTTAGAAGGGCATTTTGAATGGTCTGATTGGTTGACTATCAGAAGAGAGCGAACTTCGAAACGTTTGACAGGTTTGTTTACAAAAATGCGGGAAACTTCTGGAAATTTTGAAGTTTGTCTAGATGGACTTTTCAGCTAATTGTTCAGAAATCGTTAGAAAACAATTAAATGGCGGCTTTTTGTATAGAATTTTGCCTGATATTTACCTTCCAGATTTATTCAGAATTGTTAGAGACGAGCAAGTTTCTAAAGAAACTGTGGTGCTGCGTCAGTGCGAGAGACTCTATAAGATACTACACCTCTTTACGGTGGCAAATTTACGTTATCAACTCAGGCTTGATTTGTTCATCTCTCTGTAAAAGAAAACCTTCAAAAAATGCAAGAACGAATTAGAATCTCTTTAACGAAAAGCTGCATCGATCAGCTGGAAAAAAATACCAAGTTGGGGTGGCAGGGGCATCTCATGAACACAAACTCAACCCCATTCCTCATCACGCTTTTTGAATACCGGTATTTCCGCTTCTTTATCGTAAAAATGGAAAATCTTAAGTAGTATCTAATGGCAAAACACTTCAGTCATTTTGGCTACTTCGTAGCGATACGTTTCGGGAGAGATATTTTATCTCGTCTTTCAAGCAATTCGAGGCAAAGAGTTCATATTCGACTCAGAATTCTTCCAAAAGCAGTACTTTAGTGGCAAGGGCCGTACCTCAAATGACATATTTGCTGAACTTGTCATTTATACGGGAAGAGCGATGCACGAGTTTTGAGGACATGATGGTGAGACACGAAATATTCGAAATCTATTTGAGGCGACAAGATGAATCCATAGGAAAACTTGGCGAGTTGTTTCCCCCCCCCCCCCCCCAATTAACAAAGATACAAACAGTCCCTGTAAAATTCTCGTGTTTGACCGCCAAGTGATCTGAAAATCCCTTTTGTGTACAAAACTTTCGCGTAACTTGAGCAAGAGTGAGTTGCTGCGTGATAGTGACAAAAACTCTGACCATTTGTACTTGATTTAATTCGGATGGTTCAATACCGATATTGTGGGGAAAATTTCTCTCACAGAACTGTTGAGTCGTTTGCACCCAGAAGATCTGATATAGCAAGTTATAAAGAATCCTGAAAAAGTATTTGATGGCCTAGATGCATTTAAAAGGTCCCCAATAGGGTTCTTCAATCCCGCGATCCCTACTAAAATTATCTCTCAATCCCGTAATCCCGATGGTTTATACCGGCGAATCCCGATCCCGTTCATAAATTTTTTTCTGCGTCCAAGACCTCAACTTAAAAGGGCCCACTAGTTAAGTGGTATTCATAACTGCGAGGATCGCCTTCCTATTCATTTCTTCAACCGCAATTCACATTTACATGATTTTCGTACATTTGCAGTCATTAATTCACCATTTGAGGGTTTATTTAAAACCAACATAACAGTTGGCTTTTTAGGTCAGTTTGTAGAACGCTGCACCGGAATCGCAGAGGTGATGGGTTCAAATCCCGTACGGGCCTCAACTTCTTTCAGGTCGTGTTTTCACTTCTAGTTAAGATGTAACGGTTGACTGATTACTGGTATGGCTGACAGGATCATGGGACGTTTGGGTACAGTATACCAAGACTTCGGATTTGTAAAATAGTATGCCGCCCAAAGGGTTGTCCTCTTTAAGCCTTCCTTAGCTGCGTTTCCAAAGTTTCTCGCGTAACAACAGTCTAAGACGCCACGTTACCGTGTGGGCCATTGAGGGTTTTTGGTAAATTGGCAACCTCGCCTCGGATAGAAGTTTCATTCCTGCGCAATAACTGAAGAGTGTCGCTGACCAGCCCGACCGCCTCTTGAATACTAGGGAGCCTGTACGCCAGGTGCCTTTCATGGACTGAGAAGGCTTTGTAAATCTCGCCCAATGCATTAAAAAATTCAGCGGTTTGCTTCAGCGAAGTTAAGATCTTAATACAATTTGTCTGCGCATCACAGGCTTAACCAACGTGATCGAACTGGTTAATAGAACTCTGTCCTAATGGCCATTCTATCCATATTTCCAGCTCTACCAGTCTCAGCAAAGACAACTACTTCGTTGAAGTTTTCCTTCCAACGCAGGATCGGTGGCTTTTGGATCAACATATAGAATGGCAGTTATATATGAAACGATACTTGAGCTCAGTGAGATGTATGAAACACCAAGACAAATCACGCGCACCCTAATCAAGGACGAAAAAGAGATCTCGTAAATACCCTGAAAATGGGAGGTGTATAAGCATTGTCCGAAAATACACATCGAACCAACCTATTGCCAATCTGTTTCTTACTTGGTCCGTAGTAATGCCTCTCCACGAATTCCGTATCCATCCATCTTCAAATTGATGGCAAGAATAGAATAACTTTTTACGCAGGCCCCAGACGAAACCAGCATCAACCACGTGCCGGTGTCACAGCGTATTTGGACCCCCCGCGAATATGGACCCCCTCTTCGCAGATTCGGATCCCCCTACCAGACTTTCCTTTTAAGCATCCTTTGTATCATATTTGGTAACTAATTCTATTTGCAAGCTTTTTGTCGATGTTCTTTTCAATCACAACACAAAATCAATAAAGGTATTCCTACTGTTCATCACGGGAAAACTTAAAATCCTAAAAGAGATCGCGACCGCAAAAAAAGAACTTCCGAAATTTTATCGCACGTGGGCTTTTTTACTTTAATTTTTCATGCTGCTGTTGCTTTAGGTTAGACTTATACTTAATTGCATAAATATTTGTTTAAGCTATATCAAAAGTAAATATCCAAAGAAATGTAGCATTTTTGAGAACTGTATGTTTACTTGTGATTGTCTTTTAATTGAAAAGAACTTTGTAAACACGCCAACCGTAAATTAAATTAATGTTAATAGTATTGTAATACATGTATCGTAATGTAGTGTATGCATAATTAGTGTAAGTATAAGTATCAGTAGTGTAAGTAGCAAGTACAATGTAAGTGTAATTAATACTGTAAGTAGTGTAAGTGATCGTCTTGTAAATAAAATTGTTTTAAAAAAATAAATAAATAAAAAAAAATAAAAAATATCAATAAAGGTAAAAAAAAACCCAGCCATTTCGTTCCAATTCTACCGCATTTTTTATAGCGAGTCATACAGTATATGCAAGAGTTAGATGTGAACAAACTACTGCATTTGAACTATTGAAATTGTTACAATAAATCTTTGCTTCTTCTGATGCGAATCAACATTGATACGAAACGTCATAAAATTAGTAGAGACTATTCAGCGTCCTGTCACAAAAATAACTCAGTCTAATATTCTAAAATAATAACATTAAACAGTTTCTGAACAAGAACGAAGAAACTACTCCTACTACAAGTCGTTCGTAAAGCCTATGATAAGTAAAAATGTTTCTATTCTTATGAACTATTGGAACTCTCAGCTTATTTTCAGATGCAAATCAACACTAATGTGTACGTCTTAACAAAAGTGGAGACTATTACATCGAACTCAATCTTATTTTCTAATTTTAACGATTACTAACTGTTGAGGGATCCGAAATAACACCTTAACAATTACGAAGACGTCTAGAGTCTGGCGATCCGCAGACAATGCAGAGCCACTCGTCCTCCAGGGTAGTCTTAAATCCCTCGCAGCTCATGTGTAACCACTCCTCGCATAACTCGCACTGTACCATGTCGTCCCAACACTCGTGCATTGAACAATGACAAAATAAATTAGTGTCACAAATTTTTCTCTTATTATGAATCCAGCGGTGTTCGGCTATCGCGGAAAAGGTTCAGAAACGACCTTTCTCCAGACAGTAAACTGAATTCTTGCCCATTTTCCCTTGGTCAAAAGAAACATCCGACGGGATGCTAGTTCGTATGCATTAACGATATGTATGTTTTAAATTAAAAACATACTTTAGTGCGCACTGGAACGTAAAGTATCATCCATTTTTACTAGAACGTTAAGGATGATGTTTTCACTCAGTTTTGTTGGGGGGGTCCATATCCGCTAGCGGATTTGGACCGGGGGAGTCCATATCCGCTAGCGGATTTGGACCGGGGGTCCAAATCCGCTGGGACACCGGATTAGCCTCAAATTGAAAAGTGTTTTGATTCTCAGCATCCCAGAAGTTGATCTGGTCTGAGTGGAATCCTCTCGCTTCATAATCGCGTTTTAACTCAGAGACGTTTTTTCTCGATGCCAGAATTCATTTTGATCACAGTTCCGCCAGGAGCAAAGCTGAGTTCATTTACTTTCTCCAACACTTCGCCACGGTTTCTTAGTTCATTGACATCGACGCAAACGCTTCCCTTGACCACCTTGTGGAATTTGATTGGACCGTCATTGCCAGCTAGAGATACGACATTGTTCTTGAAGCGGACTTCTTTGGCAGCAACAGACTCTTTAAGAACTTCAACATTTTGAACCGGGTTGTGCAACTGAGCCATACACAAATTTCATATACCCGTTTCTTGATTCATGGTGAGAAACAACAGGCTGCTGTAGGGACCCACGGCGATATTGATGGGATGAGGATACATTCCCACCCTGTTATGCTCAGTAAAGTGATTCATTTCTGGGATAATTGTGTGGTTTACGAAGTCCAGCTGCTGGAGGTACCCGATAAGCTTTTCTTCAGCCAACCTGATTACTACCGCTGGACCCTGGCGTTCTTTGTTTCGTACATGATTATTTCTGGGTAGGAACTTTCGCATTGTCTTCCTAACTTCAGGACTTGCCTTGTTTCTTAAAGTTTTCAAAACTGCCAGATTGCCCCTCTCGTTTTCGAGCTTCAAGTACCACAAGGGACCCCCACAAGCGACCCAAACATTGTCTACGTCTAACAGCGCTAGTAAGATGTAAGCATAATAATAAATAGGAGAAATTTTAGCGATTTAAAATCGTTATGTCTACGAAATGTCGCGCTCAACTCCAGGGAATTATTACCAAGTGACTTTGTACAGGAGCTTGTTGTGGGCTTCTAATGAATTTTATCGTGCCAATCTATAAGATCAATGCCAGGTTTCCTGTCAGTTAATTTTTCTAAGAATGTAATATTTTAAATCACTGAGGGAGCCGTCATTTGACTGGACACACCAAATCTGACAAATCAGCTTACTTGCTCCTCCAACATATCGTTGATGTTGCCTGTGTGCTCTGATACGTATCGTGATGATTACACCACAGTTCTACTGCCTCGAAATCGAAGGCTTGGTGCCTATGCGAGCCGTTCTCAGGTATCGCGGCAATGGAATGAACCTCTCTGTTCTGGTAGATGTACTTTTCACCCCTATAATCTCTTCAGTTTTGTGGTAGTTGATGGAAATGTAATCGGTGTTGTTACAAAGTGATCGTTGCTTTAATCATTTTGATGTTTTGTTTCTCAGGTCTCTCCGCTTTCCTTCCAAGTGTGAGCAGTTGATAGGTGCGACGACTCCCAGAATTCAACCCAATACAGGCAACGCTAATAGGTACTGTTTTTGAGCTTTTATCTACTTTTTTAGTTGGGGCTATCATGTCTTTATACTAGAAGATACTGCTGAAATGGCACTGAATACTGGAACGTCCGATTTCCTCAGCTCATTTCGTCGTTTACTTAGTAACCAGGATCAAGCGAATAGCTGTCAAAAGTTCCACGCTTATCGTTTTGCGATAGACACATGAGGATATAATATATTAAAGTTCACACGGCAACCAGGTGGACAATCAGACATAGTTTGATGCTACTCTGGTCTGCAGATTTAATGAATGTAACCGAAAAAGTTACAATTCATAGACCCAACGTTTCGACACTCCTGTCTAGTGCCTTCATCAGGGGTGATCTAAACGCTGCAACAAGAGGTCCTTTTATATGATCACTAATTAGTGGCCTTTTTCTGACGAGGTGTAAATAGGCGTCAGGAAGCAAACCGCCATCGTCACGATTTAAAGGAGCGTGGGCGGAGTTAATATGCCAAGCCTCCAAACAAAGGCGCTGGTGGTAACGCTGATTAGTGGAGATAATTTTAGAATTATCCCACCCAATTGTATGGTTAGTTAGGCATGTATGCTCCCATAAAGCTGAATTTTCCTTTTTGCAAAGGAAAACTGCTTTTTGGTGCTCTTTTAACCATGTACCTAAGGATCCTGTCATGAAAGAACAACGAACCGACGCCATTTATTCTATTCCTTGCAATGACTGTGACAACAAATACATCGGACAGACCAAACGTCGGTTTGGAACTTTTGGAACTCGAACTTTACATGTGCAGAACCTAATACCTATTTGGGTTGACCCAAATAATAAAGTTCAGCTGTTAATTCAAATGTTGAACCTAATTAAGTCGAACTGGATTGGAAAAGTGAACATGACAAATGAATGTTTTTCTTGCAAGTGTGATGAAGGTAACTCAAGATGCAGTGAGATTAAAGGTAAAGACAGACTGACACGGACCCCCCCATTTGGCTTTTTTGAACGCGTCACATTATTGTCTTCAAATTATGTTTTTTGCTCACACAAACATGTCTTTAAGGGATTTTCCCTTTTTGTAAGAAATGATTGGAGGTTTGCTGCCACAAGAAGACAAGTTTTGAATTTAGCTTGCCTTCTATTATTGCTCATTTCCTAAAGAAACATCACTGTTCCTCATCCAGTTTGCACTTGTCCTCAACTAAAAAGAAACTCTGGCTGGTGGCATACAGAAGTAGTTCACACACTTCAGGCATGTATATCTTGTGCTCTTTCAGCTAGAGGAACATATTTTCTGCTCTTCCTGCCATTTTGTTGCAAAATAAGTTGTGTGTGCATTACAAACATAAAAAATGTGGAGAACTCAGGGTAAAAATTTATTTATTTAATGTATTTGTAATGTATACATTAGATTTGGCACATGCAATGGTTTGACATACGATATGAAGTTGATCTTTTGCCAATCTATCCGACAAGCCTGGTCAAGTAGAGTGGCAAGTCGATCCAAATACAAATCTGTTGAACCTAATTAATTCAAATGTCAAACTTTTCATGTGCCGATCCTAATTATTGGATTCCAGGTTTGGTCTCTGCAAAATAAGGATAGGGAAGGTATTAGAAAATGACAAACACAAAGAACTTAAAATTAGGAAGAGTCCTCAAATAAGGACTGGTAAATTTCTCATATAAAGAATGCTTTTCCTGAAAGTAAAAACCAGTGTCCTGACATGAAGAACATTTGGCCCTTAAAAATTGGCATACAGTTCTCAGTCCAGGACTACAAAGATGCCTTACTTTAAGATTTCTGTTCCTCAAGGAATGACACGGGGCATCTAAAGATGAGGAGCAGTAAGAACCTTGAAACAAGGAAAATCCCTGAAGTAAGGACCATGAATGGACCTGTAACTGGCACCTTATCAACCTTGAAAGGTTGAGCTTCACCAAGAATGTTCAAGTTCTTTGTTGACAACTGAGTAAAAAGACAATAAATGCAAGCAACATACTGAAACACAACTGAATTACTCTTCAATAACTTTATTGTGAACTTTATAAACTAATCACAAACTTCCTATCAAGTTTCAAAAAGTGATGGTGCTGAAATCTGCTTGTATTTAACCCTTTAACCCCTAAGAGAAACTAACTTCTAATTTCTCCTTACAACATCATCCCTAAATTAAATTTAAAAGGTCATGAGAATAAAGGAGAGGAACAAATTCTCCTCGTCAAAACCCCAGGAAATGTCTAGAGATTAGTATGGAGAATATGGATACTGATAATAATGTTTATTTAATAACAATACTGGCAATAATCGGAGATTTGGGAGATGCATTCGACCAACAGGCAAGGGAGTGGGGTATGGTTTTTGATTTTAGGATGTTTAAAAATGTCTAATTCCTTTTTTCAGAGTCATTTTACTTGGCTTGTGAAATAGTTACTGCACTACTAGTTATAATTACACACCAATTCCATTGTGTCATTTTGTTTTGTTTTCAATATTACGCATTACGGTTGGTCCTCTTTACAAATGAATTGTTTGTCTTTTGCTGTGTTGAGGTACATTTCACTTCTGTTTGTTTTCACCCTAAGATTCTGTAGAAGGTATGTTTTGTTTACTTCTAATGAGTCCACTCAAGACTCCCATAGCACAAGTTTAATGGAGGCTGTTGTGTCATGTATTGTTTCCTCTTGCTTACGTAACACTCCTTGGTGTAGAGTTGATATTATTTTTCTTAACACCCAATACATGGGCAGCCTCTGCTTTAACTGTGACCAGTTGCTATGCAGCAGCTTGATTTATAGATGAAATGGCCATTATTCCTCTTGCTGTCTAAGTTTCACAGTAGTTAAATGGTACTTGGGCAACAGGTGTCACTGTTGTGGCTGGTCCAGTACAATGTCACCTGTGAGGGACTTGTTGTAGTTACTCACTCTCACTGCAGCTTTGGTTTGGTCTAATGTTTTAAGCTCTGGCTGTTTCTGTGATACAAAGCAAACTACACTTACAGATTCTGCCCCTTTTTGCAAAGTACAGTCGAAATATTTCTTGTTTGATGATTTTGCATTCTTTACTAGGGAGACAGCATGTATGTAGCAGCTGACTAGTGGATCTGCTGCAGATTCTGTGATGAGAATATTATTTCTGTTTTTTAGTTTATAGAAATAACATAATGTCAAGATGTAAACGAAGAACAACAGGGATGAAAACTAAATTTTGACAGGACTCGATATTGGGTGAGTGTCTTTAATAAATGCATCAAAAAGTGTAAGGTTTGTACTCCTCCAAGCAGTTTTCACACTTGTCCGGGCAAGTGGGCAAGTGCTCATTTCTCATAACCCTGCAACAATAGTGATTTAATCACTATAATTATGTAATGACATGTATACATAAAATTTACATGAATTATTATTATTATTATCTAGAAAGCAGTTGTGGTTACACTAGCATTACAAAAAGTTTTAATATTTATGGCAATGATGTTCAGCAGGAACATTTGATGTGTTGTTACTTTAATGTCAGCATGCCAATAGTTAATAGTTATTAGTTAGTCTAGCAATTATAATTATATTATTATATTATATTAATATTATATAGCAATTATTAATAGTAGTAATAATGTCTGCGGTTTTTTTTCTTTTCACTCCTTTAATAGTTAATATTAAAGGAATAAAAATAGTGTGCTAACTTACCTTGTAGTTTATTGCTGTCTTCATTCATGTTTTCTGTACAGGGGAGAGAGAAATGCTACTTCTAAAAACACACTCCTATCTATGACAGTAAAGAGCTGGCCTGAGTCTTTCACAGTTGACTTCTCTTCCACAAGGTTAAATGCCAGAAGTGTAGGTGAATTGCTTGTGGTTTCTTTCCTGATGAATTACTTTATGTCACCAGGGGCCTAAAATGAGAAATGAAAAGGACAATCAGAGATCTGTCATCTTTAAAAGAATTGCTGCAACATCCCCCTTTCATAGTTCAATTATTATCTGTTTATGATGATTGGCAATGTCTGCCAGGGTTGACTTCTTTGTCATCATGATCTGCTGCTTATTCCAGATTGGAGTGATGCTTTCTACAAGGCAATCATACAGTTGATGCATAGAATTACATAACAAGGTTCTGATGATGGTTGTTACATTTGAGTTTGCTGGTATTCTATAAACTCTCTGGAGAATGTCTTTCCTCACCGGTGTGTTAAGGGGTGGATGATTGTTTCTACCTTTGAGTTCTATGTGGCCCTATTGTATTTTATCTTACAGTTGATTCATCTTATGTAATTCTTTTATTGGTTTGCACTTGTTGTTTGGGAGGGTTTCTGTTGGTTTGCATAATTTGATCTGCATCTACTGTGTTTTGACTTCCTCTACAGCACCAAATTGCAACAAATCCCCTTTAAAATATTTATGAGTGCCATCTTTTGAGTTAAACAACTTTGAAGATTCACTGAAAGGTCTGTGAAATTAGGATGTGGATGTGACAAGCCAAAATGATTTACCATGAGGAATTTTTTCATTAACGATATTCAACACAAAGCATCAATCATATTTAATGTTATGGATGCCTCTATTTTTACTCTTTTGGCTGATAAAGTGATATAAGCATCACATCAGTTAAGATAAAATATATATGTATATACATACAACAATTTATACTTTTATATATTATACTTTTTATTAATAGTCTATTCATGAAACGAATAAAAATTATACAATGAAATAAACAATTTAAATTAGGAATATGTATATATAAATATATGAATAAATCAAAACCACTCTCTTATTTTGCTAAGGTGTTCACGCAGTGGACTCTATAATCTAGAATCATTCTCTATGTCAACAATACTACCTGGAGGCTTGTTTCACTGCTTAACTGACAATAGGAAAGAGGTTATCTCGGGCTGGTTGCAAATTGAATGTAATGTTAAAAATGTCTTGGTGTTACCACTCCTCAAAGTTTGAGATAAAGGAGTATGATGTATGTCTTTCTTAATATTAATATTTCCATGTGCAACCTGCTGGAACATGGCTAACAAAGAGAGGTTCTTCTATCTTGAATAGATGACCACTCCACTCCTCTGGGTTCCTTCTTAATAACTGCATAACTCTCTTGTTGGTTCAGACTTGTCAC